AGGCAGGTGAACGCCTGCAACAATCGCACATGGCTCCTCCGTCTCGAGACGCTTGAGGTGGCTGTTGCCGGCATTGTGCCGCTCGGTTGTGTCTTCGGTCTCCTCCTCCGCTGCTGACAACCCGAATGAGCATGACCCTACGACAACGTCTCACAGCGCGCTTGGACCCACACACTTCTGCGTTCTCAATGGCTACGAGTGTTGGACTTGTTGCTGCCAACGATCCTCGTACTCAGCGGCCTCGGCGTCCGCTTCGGCGTCTGCAGCTGGCATGGATGCGGGCTTGTCCGTCGCTTGCGCCTAGGTGCAACTGCCAAAGCAAACTGGAATGCAAGGCTTTGCAGGTTTTCAGATCTTGTGATCCTGTGTGCCCCAGTGTTTTCGCTCAGCTTTGGAGGCCTTGCACATGCACCGAGCAAAGCAGACCCCGGGTTCAAGAGTTCTCTCCGGCACGACCCCTATTGCCTGAGCTGGCTGCCTGGGCAATTATGCAAGCCAAGCTTCCTGCATTGACGCCTCAGCGTCTACTTCTGACTCATCCATATCTGCCATGGAATAATCCTCGCGGCGGTCTGTTGCAAAAAGCCCCGGGCAAACACTAAAACTGTTGTTCAGAAGTATGGCTACATCGCTGCCACGCTCTGCCACATGGAAATATAATCATCCCCTTCTTTTTCATTCAGAAGTCGCAATACTCATGCCCGACTTACGATGTTTGATGCTTGAAAAGTATAGTTCAACCAAGTCAAGCACAAAGGACTTGAAGGTTCAATCGCAGAGTTTGCCGAACCTTGCCTAAGCAATGAATACACTATACGTGGGATACAAATCTTGCAACCAGGCAGTTGAAAGCGCACATGGCTCCTCTGTCTCGAGTCGCTGGAGGTGGCTGTTGCCGGCATTGTGCCGCTCGGCTGTGTCTTCGGCCTCCTCCTCTGCTTCCGAATCAGCTTGACGCGGCGACAATGCCTCATGTTGCTCTTGGACCCATACACTTCTGCGTTCTCAATGGCTACGAGTGTTGGACTCGTTGTTGCCCACGGTCCTCGTACTCAGCGGCGTCGGCGTCGGCTTCAGCATCTGCAGCTGGCATGGATGCGGGCCTGTCCGTCGCATGCGCCTAGGTGCAACTGGCAAAGCAAACTGGAATGCAAGGCTTTGCAGGTTTTCACCTCGTTCGTTTTTGTGTGGCAAAGTGGCTTGACTCAGGCCTGGTACACGCAAAAACTGAACCCGAGTTCACACCGGGGTGCTGCGTTATGGTCACACAGGGTTTGCATAGACTAAAGGCAGTGCACCTGCGAATCGAAGGCTGGCACCGTGCTGCCACGGTACGTTTGCATTTGACGCGTCTGCATCTTCCGGGTCGAAGTCATCCATGGAAAAATCCTCATGAAAAGTATGCAGCACCAATTCAAGAAATGAACGGCCCAAACAAAATGCAACTTCCAGTCAGGTAGCAACACGTCCTTCATGCATGTGTTGCAGCCGGCTTGCTCTGAATACAGCGTCCCTAGCCATCCCTAGCCCAGTTGCACAGTGATAGCAAGTAGGCCGTGCAATCCGATCGCTCGGGGCGCCATGGACACGGGATTGCGGTCTGCAGGGTGGGGTGTTGGTCTTCCTGCGTGATGGAGGTGCACATTTCTGCAGGATCGTCGCGCCGTTGTTCAAAGCTCCGCTCTTTCATGAGCTGGCAGATGATGGTCGCTATACCTATACCCTTTGGTGCTCTCTTCAGCATGGAATCACAGGTGTCAGTGTTTGTATCGTGTCGGTGGAACAAGTTGGCCGTGTTGGAAGACACTCGTCCGTGCTTAGCCGGATTCGTGTGTCAACCAGTTTCGCAACTTGGGGTTTCCAAGGTGCCTTGGATGCATGCAATACATTGCAATACCCTTCTGTGACTTTAAAGCGCTTTTCTTGCACAATTTGGAATGAAATTCAGCTCATGGGCACTGCAGTGGCTAGGTTTCGTTTTGACTACCGTGGTTTGATCGCTGTCTCTGTGCGTACCTGCGGGGACAGCACTTGGCACCTTGGTGCTCTTGGAGAGCGCTAAGCGCTCGTGGTTCACCTTGTGGTGCCACAACCACGCAGCGCGGGTGCTCTGTTCTGGGACACCCATGTGGCACCAGTGCGCGGCGCACGCTTTGCATATCTCCGGTTGCCACGCGGCGCCCCAATCACGCAGTGCGGCTGGTACTCTGTGCCCGATTGCGCGCGACATCTCGGAAAAGTCCGGAAAATGTGCGAGCGACCTGCTAGGTCTTTCTTGGGTTGACGATCTTGAGCCGGAACTGGCAAACAGAATTGAGACGCTGACCTGGGACCAACCCAAACCCAAAAGTCACGACACCTGGAAACCTCCGAACCTTAAGCTGCTCCTCCGTCTCATGCCGCGCCATGCCGCCATGGCGGGCCTTCGAAGGCTCGTCGGCCTCGTCCTGCAAAGAGCTGCAAAGGCCGTGCAGTTGTATGCACCTCACACGAACTGACACTTTTGGTCCCAGAAAAGGCAACAGGTAGGAACATTTTCGCACTCTAAAGCAAACGAATTCTCGCCACGATGCCCTCGAACTCCTTATACGCGACGAACTTGCACGAGGAGCGGATCGGATCCTGTTAACTAACAAGACGTGCCTTTACCAGACGAGGGGTTTCTCATTTGCTGGGAGCGGGGGCAACCGTGCTTCTGGTTTCTCATGAACAATCGTTTTCGTGATTAGGGGGAAGCGATTCAACCATGGATGAATCCCAGCTAAACATCACCGTGAGGGCGGACATGCTCGATGACCCGCATCGCTGGGTCTCGACAAAAGGCGTCCTCGTAAGCATCAGCATAAGCATCAGCCTCCGCATCTGAGTACGCATGAGCATCGGCTGGCGCAGGCGTGTCGGGATTGTCCGTCTCTGGCGCCTTGGCCAACCAAGCTAGCACCACAGACCACATGGCAATTGATCAATATTCCTGCTTCCGACGCCACCTTCTGGAGCCATTTTGTTACTCTTGCAAACGTAGTAAGCATGCCGAGCGCTGGCAGGCTTGCAGCTGGCAGCGTTAAATGAAGGCAGTCGCTATCATTCGCCCTTGCCTCGCTTGCCACTTGCGCTTACCAGAACGGCTCCGTCCTGGGCCCAACCTGCGGAACGTTGCAACAAGCTCAATGGGCTTTCGCCGGTCTATCGTTGATCTTTCGCTCCATTTTGACCCAGCCAACGTTTTGCTTTACACCGTTCTCAGCACGGGTAGGGAATCAAGGATGCAAGTATAAATAAAGGTGCTGCACATACCGCCGTCTACAAGGGTGTGGGTCTGCATATATGTAAGTGCACAGGCATACCAGCAAGAACCCAGCACGAATCTTCTGCGGAAAAAAACTTCGCGAACTCCATTGCTGGTTTTTCGCGGAGGATTCAAACCAACACCGGTGATCACCAAATAAACTCCTTTCAAGGACCCATGCTGATGACTCGTGTTGCCAGGCCGAGCTGCATTAGCCGGGGCATCTGCGTCAGACGCGTCAGCCTCCGCATCTAAGTCCATGGAGTACTCCTCATGGAAGGTGTTGCTGACGACTTGGACGAGTAAGGAGGAAATAAGCACACAAGTGGTTAGAGAGAGAGAGAGAGAGCGAGAGAGAGAGAGAGAGAAAGAGAGAGAGAGAGAGAGAAAACAAAAAGAAATGAAAGAGTGAGCCTAGTGCAGGCTACCCGATTGCCAAAACTGCGCCGATCCACGGGCTAACAGCTTGGGAAGCAGAGGAGCAGACTTGATCCCGAATGTGACATCCATGCCTGGAAGCCCGAGTCACCCGTTGCGCTCAAAGCGTCTTGGAACAAACCAACCACAGCCACTGTGAGTCATCACCGTCATGGATCTCTCGGCATTCCCCCACGCCTCGTGCGGCATGCCTGTCTGCCGGGCCGTCTGGTCGTCGCCCTCCTGCGCTGCGACGCCCCTGCAAAGTATGTGCTAGGCTTGGCTAGTTAAGTTGTGAAATGAAGGCAACCGACAAGGGCCAACACGCGCAAAGCTTAGATCAGTCTGATGAAACTGGGGAGGCAGGGCCAATTCGACTACCCAAGCTTTCCACGGACACCGCTCAGCGGCGAGAGCCCAAGCCTGGCCGTAGTTTACCGTGATCAAAGTCACCCCCGTTCAGTGGCGAGTGAAAAGGAAAGAACCACATGTTCAAACAGTCAAAAAAACAGAAACTGTCAAAATCATGATGTTCAAACAACTTTGATACCCCCAGACACCGTCATGACCCCAGCCCTACCCCTCCTTCTCCGCCTCACTGTAGTCGCCCTCGCTCCCGAGACCGCTCCCAGCGTCATCCTCGAAGCCTTCGTCCTCGAAGCCTTCCTCCTCGAAGTCCCTCGAGTTGTCCTCGAAGTCATCTTCCTGGGCTGCCCGTTTTCGGATCCCCCGCTAAAAGTGACCAACTGTTGGTGGGTTAAATGGAAACGCTGAACACTAAAAGGATCTAAAAAGCTAAGGGGATGGGAGCCAGCAAGCTTCAAAATCATCGTCACGAGGCATGGTCGCCGCCCTACATTGAGCCAGAATGAGCCGAGGCGAGCTCGGATTCCGGATTGGGGGTGAAGCCCGAAAAACGCGGCTGTCTGTCACACGGCCTTGCACATGGTCCCAGGCATGAATTCATTGAGTCATGAAGCTGCTCAATGGGCCATGTTCGCATCAAAATGGGCCAACCAGGCGAAACCATTGTAGAAAGACATCTTAATGGAAGTGAGATTGCTGTATGGGCTACAAGTCAATAAGTTTGGCGACCAATGACATCACAAGCGCAGGCGAATCGCTGAGGTTTTGGCCGTGGAGAACCAGCACACCAGCACCCCCCGACTGCTTTCCCCAGTGGCCGTGAGACTGTTCCAGCTTGATGTTCAAGGGAGCCCCCTGCAAGATAGGAACAAAATAAATGCTTCCATTTGCTTTAGTCCCGGTAAAAAAAAAACAAACAAACACATATTTCCATATTTCCAGTAGTGATAGATTCCCTTGAACACCAAGCGTGAAGAATAAAACATACTCTTAGCCAACAAGAATGCGGAACCGCCATGGGAAAGAAAAAAGCCGCCGCTCCCCCGCCCCTTTTGTGCCCTGTCTTTCTCGCTCCGCAGCCGTTGACGCCTCCCTTCTCGCTCCAAAGCGGGCGCTACACGTGCAGCGTCGTTTTGAGGCCTTTGAGCCCCGAGATCTGAGCCATCTCTGAGTCGGAGAGCGAGAAGTTGAAGACCTGGGCGTGTCTCTGAACCAAACCGCCCCCCCCAAAAAAAAATAACACGAACAACTGTAATTAACTAGGTCCTCCAGTAGAGAGGTTCGAAAAAGCGTACCAACTTGTTTTTCAGCCTACTTTAGTGGGGGAACCCTCCCCCAAAAAAGTGGTCAAAGGGGACTACTGGGGGACCTGCTTAAGTTGCTCCCAAAAGGCCGAACCCTGGATAGAACATCTGATTGTGCCGTGGTTTTCCGGTATCTTTGCCTTGTGGCGTTTAACTATGAACCATCCCACTGGTGGTTTCCTGTAAGGGGACCCTGAAACGGTTCGTGCCCTCATTCCCTACTTATCGCACCAGCCATTTTTCAAGGAAAGGCCTCACCTGAAGGTCCGACTTCATGTGATCCTGCAAGACAAACTCAGCCGAGTTGATTGAAACGAGAAGAAGTCTTCCAAGAGACAAACAAAAAGCAGGGAAGGCTTCTTGGATTTGCCCTGTGAAGATGCCTGGGGTGAAAGGCGCACGTTATTCAGATGTCTCCTGGACGTGGCTAGTGACTCTTTGGGTGCAGCAATGGTTCTAGGCAAGGTTGTTTGCGATTGCGTTCTTCTTTGAAGCCGCCAGTGCAAATCCTGTCTTGCTTAAGCAGGCTTCCGCGTTTTTCCTTAGATTTCCGCGTGTTTCCAGCCGATGCCCCAGCAGTATTCGCCAAACATTTTTCCAGCACGAAGGCTGTCCCATGCCTTCTCTTCACCGTCACCCCTGCAACTGTGAGCCCCCAGGACGAGAAGCAGCGGCACTAAGATCAACTTGGGCCAAGCAAAGATCAACAGGCCCCACCAAACAAATATCTCAACGCCAAACCCCAATAGCCATCCTGCAACTCCGCAACCTCTGGCAGTTCTTGCTGCAGGGCGTGTTAAGTAAGGCCCGGGTTTCTGAACACAATTCCTCCGGAGGGCTTTCTGTCAAGTTCCCGGGTGAGAATGTAATTACCCAGTCATCCCTGCTCGGACAGCGCAAGAAATCAGTTGAACCCTTTTTGGCGGCCCTTCCCCTTTTAGTGGGTGCTGGACTCTGACCCAACTTGCCGTGGCCGATAGGCAGGCGGAAGGGGAATCCCTAGGTTCATTCCCAACACCATGGGTCATTCCCATGGAATATCGCACCGATCACAAGCCAAAGGGGTCACATTCTCTTCTTTCGGGTCTCTCCTTGTTGTCGGTGCCCACCACGACGCTCACATCTTGCTGCAGCGCCCAGCGCAGCACCACCTAAACCGTGGTCTCTTTAGGCACGTGGCCGAGTCTACCGTCTACCTCTTTCAGTTCTACGTCCTCCCAGTAGAGAGCTCAGAACAGAATAAGGGTACCCCTCTTTTCTGTAGCCTATTTAGTAGGGGACCCCTCCCCAAAAAAAGAAACGGTCAAAGGGCACTGGGGGACCTAGAATTTGGTTGAGCAGGAAGATCGATCCCAAACCTGGGGTTCTCCAGGAGCGCGTTGAACCCTTCCGTGAGACGGCCGGCCTGGAGATGTTCCGGTTGCTTGAGGAAGTTGCGCTGGCCCCGGTGCACAAGGCAACTTCAGAGACCCCCAAAACCATCGCTCAACCCTCGGCCGGGGTCCAAAGCTGGATGGACGTGTCCCCATCTAAAATGGACACCGTACTCTTGGAAGAAATCCTGGCCCGGGATTGAAAAGTCCCCGGCGCTTGGCTCTGGCTTTCAGCCTATGGCTCGGATGGCCCAATGACCTTGGCCCGAGGAGGCTTCCGCAAGGTTGCCTCGTCTGCCTCTTGATGCTGGCCCTGAGACACCTAGGTCCTCCAGTAGGGAGCTTAGAATAAGCGTACCTTTTTTTTTCTGGAACTGATTTTAGTAGGGGAACCCTACCCAAAAAAAAAGAGAGTAAAAGGGCACTACTAGGGCACCCAGACAAAGAACGCAACTCGTCGGGGGAAAAAATAAACATAGTTGGACCGCGGGATCTTTCAAGAACGAGACGGAGTTCTTCTATGTCCGATTGCTTAAAACCTGGTGCAATCTGCCCAGCCACGCTACCAATCGCACCTCGACTCGTGGTCCTAACAAGTCGACCTAGAGCCAAATGCCACAAGGCCCCTTTGCCTCACGCCAAGCACCTATTGAACCCATGAGACCGGAAACTGGCAATCGGTTTTTTGGGGGCCGGAATCCATGAAACAACTGGGAAGATGACCCATCTCGAGAAATGCGACATCAATAAACAAAAAGGTGCCTTGCACGATGTGCTTCTTCCGGATTTTGTTGGAGCAAACCAAGACAAAGCGGGATTGTCTGCAGCGCTAGGTTGGTGACCGCCGGACCAACCAATTCGTTTTGGCTTCCTGAATCCAGCCAAAAGACAAGGTAGCCTCAAAACACGACACCTGTGCGAAATAGTTGGTCAAATTATACTTGCTTCCCCTGAGCATGGAAAGCCGAGTGACTCCCGCCCCAATTAAGCCGATATTTTTCACCAAACATTCTTGCCAACCCCACTCCAATCCACCCACCCACCCCAGCCCAGCCCAGCCCAGCCCCACCCCACTCCCCACCCCACCCCACCCCACCCCACCCCACCCCACCCCACCCCACCCCACCCCACCCCACCCCACCCCACCCCACCCCACCCCACCCCACCCCACACCTCCCACCCCACCCCACCTCCCCACCCAGCGCCTGTGCGCCGGAGACGTTGTGGCTCTTGGCCACCTGCTGCACCGTGGGGCTCGCCAGCGCCGAGGCGTTCTGACCCGACAAAGGGGACCAGGCCTCCACCTCCGGATCAGACCCGAGCGGAGCCGGGGAATCGGATCGGGGGGGGGGGGGGGAACTTTCTGCGTAACAGGGATCCTTACATTTTTCACCTGAACATTGCCTTGTACATGGTGGTTCCCCTTTATTTTGGTGGAAAAAGCCATGTTTCAAATAGAATTTGTGGTGATGGGACACTTACGAAGGCGTGAAACCCGGGGGACTCGGGCCTTTCCAGTCCAATTTTGGGGGTTTCACTCACACAAACCCTCATGAGGTCGTCTTTTGTCGTGGGTTGTTGCTTTCAAATGCACACGAAGCCATGTTTTTGTCATGTGTTTGTTTGTTTTTGTTTGTTTGTTTGCTTGCTTGCTTGCTTGCTTGCTTGCTTGCTTGCTTGCTTGTTTGTTTGTTTGTTTGTTTGTTTGTTTGTTTGCTTTTGGTTTTTGTTTACTGCCATGGGGGTTGGACGTGTATTTGTGGTTTTCTTGATTTATCGAATGCACACGTGAGAAAATCACAGCCCTTCGACTAAACACCCGAGAGCGGGCAGAAACGGGTCCCTGCAGGGCGGGCGGGGGAGGGGGGGATCAAACTATGTTTGGAAGAGATGGGTTTCACGATGCCCATACCCTCAAACTACCCTACAAATTGAAAAAATCATCAATGTTGTGTTGTTTGCTTTGCAATAAACTCTTAAAACCTGGACTTGTCAAACGATTTAAGCAAAAAGAACTCGCCAAACTCTTAAAACAACATCAGCAATGCCCCCATTGTATAAGTCGAAACGGTCCAGGTACCTGCGCACCTTGATGCCATTGGCATCGCAGTACGCCTTCAGCTGGTCATCATGGTGGAAGGGGTGCCACTCCACCTGCGGAACAAAAACACACGTGTTACGTCCGGTTGCTAGCGCAAGGTTGCTGGACAAAAAATAAGAAAAATCCTTCTGGTGGTGGAATCGATTCCCTTTACGGAATAAGCAATATTCATTTCAGTGAATGGAAGTTTAGGGGTATGTGAGTGTCAAGTGGAGGCCCAAAAAGGTTGTGGTCCGTTTCGATTCCCGTTGAACCACGCTGAAACAGGTAACCTCAAAAAGCAGACACATGCGAGATACTGCAACCAGTGGCAGTATTTGCGCCCCAAGAAGCACGCACACGCCCGTCTTCTAATCCAAAGTAACCTGCCTGGCAAAGAACAAAAAAAACACGCTGCTTATTGAAAAAACGATTCAGAGGTTGACTTCGTTGACTCCATCTTCCCTTTGCGTAAGCCCCCTAGAAAAACCTATTTCCAGTAGTGATCAATTCCCTTCAAAACCAACTGGGGGAAGCATGGAAAAATATGCTTTACCAGCTAGAAGTTGAGGACTCCAGCACACGGGGTCGAAGCCTTCCCATGCAGTGATCGATTCCCTTTTACACAAAAGGGAATCGGAGAAAATTGCTTCACCAAATGGAAGCTCCCCAAAAGGTTGCCTTCATTTGCTTAAGTCCCCTGGAAAAATATATTCCCAGTAGTGATAATCGATTTCCTTTTAAAACCAACCGGGAAAAAACAATCTTCTTAACCAAATGGAAGGTTGGGGAAAACCTCTCGTGTTTCCATGGAGGTTGGGCCTGGTTCACCGCCGGCCGCTCCGCCAGATCCGCGATCTCCTGTTCCGACTGCAGGGGGCCTTTCTGGTGGACATTCGGCTGGAAGAGTTGGTTCCCAGCACAAAAGTTGTTGAGTTGGCTATGGGTCAAAAATGCAGCAACCCCAAAATGGCTTTCCCTGGTAAATGGAAAAAACAACTACACCCAAACGCGAAAGTCCTTGCATTTTCGTGTTTTTCTTGAAAGTCCGCAGCCTGCCAGTAAAAACAACGCAACGAGTAGTCCCGGCAGGGTCCTTGCAACTGAGCCTTCCCCACTGGCACACGGCGCCCAAGTGTCTCCTAAAACTGCTTTGTTTGAGTACCACTACGGACGCAATCCCCGTGGCACATCGCATGTTACAAGGCACTTAGACGCATTTTAAGCATACACGTTTAAGTACGAGTAAGAAGGCAATCCCCATGGCATACCAGTTGGGACCGAAATGTTGCTTGACTATGTGTGATTGCACGCCAAAAAGAAGGCAATCCCCATGGCACATCGCATGCTCAACAACATCGAAACAAGTCTTGCAAAAACAAGTTCGTGTGCTAGTACGAAGGCAATCCCCATGGCACATGCATACCCAAAGGCAACCAAACACATCTCAAAGACATCTTTTCGAAGCACAAAAATGAAGGCAACCCCCATGGCACATTGCATAATCAACCGCAATGTGTCTCCTAAAACTGTTTTGTCTGAGCGCCGCTACGGACGTGATCCCCCGGAGGCCACATTATCTTGGCCGGAGGCAGTGTGCCATTGCGATTTGTGACGGGAGTGGGCCTCAACGTGCAACAGCGCCCCTTCACCAAACACTCCTCAAAGTACCCGGTCCCCCATGGCACACCAGACACTTGGCTTTGTGTACGGTGGGGGGCTGGGGTAGCACTTGCATCGTCAGCAACATCTAAGTGAAACGAGTGTACCCATGCGATTTGATTCAAAATGGCTTCATGCCACACATCATAAAAGACAGCATGATCATGACCCTAAATAGCTTTCCCCACTGGCACACTGCTTGCGGCGCGAGATCATGGCTTGCGGGGCGTGTAACCACAAGGACCCAGTAAGTGTCTTTTTCAGGCGTGTGCCAATGCAATTGGCCACCCAAAATGCCTCAACATCACCAACACAAACCGCGATCGAGGGAAGGTGTTTTCCATGTGTGCCAGTGCGTTCGGCCTACCCAAAAGACCTCAACTTGATCAATGAAACCATCTCAGGGGACCACGTTCAGCATGTATTTCTCTACAAAAAAGACCTCAATATCACGCAGCAATTGTCTCTTGAAAACATGCTAAACCAAACGCCACTGGCACACGGAGTTGCAACGACCCTACCGGATGCGTTTCGTGTGCGTATTACACGAAAAACATGCTGCCAAAACCAAACGCAACGACTTTCACAGGTGATAGTAAAACCTCGGTCCCCTGGTGGTTTTGGAAATCCTTGAAGTTCTGAAAGATTTCAGTCTTGAACTGGAAGAATTCATGCCAACCTTTTGAGTTGGCTCCCAGTTAAACCTCGTGACGAAAACCTGAAACTCAACAGGGCAGGCTCAAGAATCTAAGAATGCGGACGGAGCGTAGTGTCAAGGTCGACACCTCTGAGGGCAGAAAGCGTAGAGGTTGGGGTTCCGGTGGCAGACTCCACAAACACCCTCCGGTTTTTGTGACGAGAAAAACGCATCCGCCCACACTTTGGATTGACCCTGCTAAGACCCAAACCAAAATGAAGGGAATCGGTTAAAACAGGGCCCCGCACCAAAGGAATCCAACAACAAGGCGGTTCCCCCAACCAACTCCCCCCCACCCCCAAACCCCCCCCCGCCTACTCCCCCAAGACAAGCCTCTGATTCGCCCCCCCCCTTCCGGCTCGCTCGCGCGCGCTCTTCCCGCGTCCGCGTCCTGCAGGTGGCCCACCTCATAGTTGGAGACCCCGATGGCCCTCACCTTCTTCAGCCGCAAGGCCAACTCCATGGCCGCCCAGCTCTCCCGCCGCGCCTCCCGGCCTGGCGCGCCCGCAAAACGCGCGCCCGGAAGGCGCACCCGGAAGGCGCACCCGGAAGGCTTCGGACACCAGCGGAAGTCCGCAACTTCCAGTACTTCCAGTTGGTTAAGCGTACCTGTTGTTCATTCCCCTTTCCGGGGAATCGATCTTTCACTGCTGCAAAAATTTGGCTTCTGTCTTCTACGGAGCTCAAGCAAATGGAAGCAAATGGCCCAAATGAGACCTGGACATTTTCCAGGCGCCTGCAGGTGACTTTTTTGCTACCCGCATGAACCCCACAATTATCCTTGAAGACGGAACTTTTATCTAGCCTCCCAAAGAATGAAGGACGACTAAAAACTGGAAGACAGCGCAAGGCTGGGCGGGACTGTTCCTTGAGAAAGGGAGGCTTGCTTAGTTGCAGGTGTCGAACCTACTCGACCCGAAATCCGAAGAATCCCCTAGATGCCTTTCCACATCAAATGGGCTGACGCATCCACACGTTTGCTCCAGCCATCCCGCAATAAACGCGCCCCCCATATATTTTTTAAAAAAAAACGGCCTGGGTCCACGTAGGGCGGGTTGCAGGTGGGACCCTCAGCGCCCACGCACTCGGGCTTGATGACAAAGGGGAAGTGGATCAGCAGCAGGTCGATGTAGGGAGCCTGCATCCACCGGAAAAAGGAGAAACAAAAGAGGCAAAAACAAATATATATATATATAGATATATATATATATATATGTATAAATCTATATATACATAATCCGCCCGCGACGCCGCGGCCCGCAAAATTCGACGACTGTCTGGCCTCCTGACAGTCGTCCAAAAGGGAACGAAACGCGCTGTGCGACAAAAACCGCGAGGCAACCGCTGCCGACTGGCGCAACTGGCAAACACCTGCCTTGTCACCATAGAGGCCCAGCATCTGCAAGTTGTCCTGCACACTTGGGCAGGAAAGCCATGACAACTACAAAACCCATCCACCGCAAACTTGCACCAGGGGCTTTTGCAGCCCCTACCCCAAAGAAGAAAACGAAAACACAACAAACACCCAGATTGAGAGTCTGCCACATCGCATCAAGAGAAAGAACACATCCTTCGTCCTCCACGCACTGGAGAGTGGCATTGAAGCCCATGGGCCCCGGGCACTTGGTGGTGATGAAGACCTCCTCCCTTGGCACCTTGCTGGCCTTGAGGGCCTCGCCCACCTAAGTTCCGAAGGGCTCCGACGGACAAGGCGCTCGAGCCTTTGACTCGGGACTCGGGCGGAGAAATCGGGGCAGTTGCCAGCAGCCCACCAAAAACCGCTGCTTTCGTGTCCAAAAGCCGCAAGGGCTGAAGTGGATTGGAAGGTTTTCGGTTGAGCCCCTTTCATTTGCTCCAGGCAAGGGGTCAAAAGGCGAGATATCCCTGGCCAACTAGCATCCACCCTCGCTCGTGGGCCACAGCGTGCTCGCTTGAAGGGCGCAGTGTTGAGCGAGCTGGGGAGAATGGACTCCCTAATTGTCTGAGATCGAAATGGCCATAAGCACGCGAGTGCAGGAACACTGGCCGCAGGTTCGTTGGAAGAGCCTTTCTTTTCAGGGAGGAGCTTGCTCATACCGCTAGATGGAAAGGAGTGTAGCATCTGTACTCCTCTGGAAGTGGCGAAGGGTCATCCGAATGTAGTTCCAAACTTAGTTTCCATTGCATGCGGGAAATGTTGAAGTGTGCGCCAAACAACATGTTAAGAGACACACCTGCAAGTCTGCAAACCACAGCTGGCGTTGGGGAATGCCTGGACGAAAGCAAGTTTCATGCCTGACAGCTTTGCACTCTGAAGCGCCCAGAAAAATCTCGGTTGCTTTCTGCTCCCCTGCTAAAAGTTTAACTTTTAGTGGTTTAATGGAAAACCCATTAGTTGGCAAAGAGTTAAAGTCCTAACATCCCTTGGCAAAATGCAGCAAAGAAATGGTGACGGCTCCCCGCCTGAATCTGGGTGCGGTAGTCATTGGCGGTGTCCAGGTGCCTGCCGCCCACTTCCTGCAACCAGCTCTGAAGTGCTGATCTCGCGTGCTCTTGCGCACAGGTGTAGTTGTCCCCCGCGCAGTCCTGGTGATCCAAGTTTTGCGCTCAAGTCGTCTCGAGTGAGTGGATGAGCGGCTTGGGTTGCATCTAATTCAAAGCTGATTGGAGCCATTTCCTAAACCAAAGTCAAAACCACCAATTGCCCGGCTTATCCCACATTTGTACTTTAGCATGCAGTCATTCAAGAGCCAAAAAAAGGGCGGCTGGCCATGGCAAAAGCACCTCGCCGGTGCCAACCTGACCTAAAGGCTCCTCCAATGGAGAATCACCGCCTTAGGACCTTCCACTGCATGTGCTGCCTTACGGTGCGCGAGAAGCTGTCTCTGCGACCTAAAGGTTCCTCCCATGGAGAGTCACCGCCTTGGTACCTGCTCGCAGCGCATATGCCGCCCCACGCCCCGCCCGCAAGAAGCTAGAATCGGTCCTTGTAGCTACCCCTCCAGGAGCCCAGTGCCACCATTGGCATGGCCACGCCGTGCGGCAGCTGTGCGCAGGGCACGGAGCCGTTCTTCTTGTCGCACAGGCCCTCCTTGGCCGCAGCCGCGACGGCCACCACACCCACCAGTCGCAGCATGGCACAAGGCGCCGCTTGCCGCTTTCGCCGAAAAAACGACGTGGTTGGCCCGGCGCCGGGGTGAAAGAGCTGAAGCCAAAGCAGCAAGCAGCTTAGGTTTGCCTTCCTGAGCCCCTGAGTGCATGCGCGAAACACCCACAGAAACCTGTGGCCCCCCAACCCAAAACCTGGCAGAAGAAAAAGCAAGAGGCTTGCGCTTGCGTAGGCCTGATGTTCAGTGGCGAAGGCTTTGTGCACGAGATCTTTCTCCTCCGCACTTGCAAGAGGCCTTTAGCCCAAGCAGACACTAGCCAAACTTCATAGAAGCCGCCGCATCAAGACCTACCAGGCAGGTCTGTCTCTTCAGGGCGTTCTTTCTCATTTCACGGTACGGATTATTCACCATTCATGCCTTCCTAACAAGGGCACCAACATGTTTTTTTCCCGTAGTCTATTTTCCTAGCGGAACCCTCCCAACCAAACAAGGGGGCTAAAAAGGGCACCTGGCTGGGGGACCTAGTTGACAATGCCCGCCCCTCCAGCTCATCCTGATGGTCCAACTGCATGCATCCACAGGGATTATTTAATTACACCTGAACATTGCAACTTGTACATGGTGGCTTCCCGTTATTTTGGTGGGAGAAGCCATGTTTCGAATGGGCAAAATGTATCTTTTAAGGAGCCCTGATCCACTGCCACAAATACTGTCGCCAATGCCTTTGAGACCTGCCAATCAAAGCTTCAACGCGGCTCAGGCTGGTTCTGCCTCACGCAGGGAAATTCTCATGACGCACTAGGCGAACAAGCAAGTGGTTTCGCCTCCTATACTATCATGTCGGAGCGGAAAGAAGGCAAAAAATCTGAAGCATCTCCGGAAGTGGCAAATGCAGTGCCGCAAATGGTTGAAAATGTGGCTGCTCAATCAAATCAATGGAGCCGTGTTGGGCAAGAGCAAACCTAGCAGCGAGTGAAGCCGCGGCCGTCATCATGCGATCAGATAGTTTTCCCTTTTGCGTTTAGTCATAGGCACGGAGCTGAAACGGGCCGACGTCGTAGTGACAGTGTGCCCTGGCAAATCGCGCCGTCTCGCTTTGCGGACGTCTTACTCCCGCACTGAGAGAGGAAAACTAGTGCGACGTGACCGGGTGCTATTGCGCAAAGCCGATCCATCCACAAGTAACTTTGAAGGCCGAAATGTTGCAAGTCGAAAACTACGTCCGCCATTGGCGCCGATCTATCTGGTTTACTTGGTCTACTTAGATGACTTGCAACATTTATCCGAGTTCTCAGCACCAGGGTACAAGGTCCCAAGTATTTTGTGCGGACCGGCGGTAGCAAGTCAAAAGAGCCCACCGAATTTTCCAGCAGATTAGCACAGGAGTGCTCGGCACTGTGTGCGGTTACAAGTTTACAACTCAGGGGGATCCTGTTTTTCCAACCCCACACCTGTCGTTAAGCCTCCATGCGTGTTGGTTAATGGGCCAGCGGTTGGGGGTCGCAAAAAAAAAGGCCCCCTACAAGTCAGCCCTAGGTACAACTCCTTCTGCGCGCCACTACTTCGGCACCAAAATGCTCGCAGCGCGCACTGGCCAAGAAGAAAAGCCACGGGGTCTCGATTTATGTTGGTGTTCGGCCACGTCGGGAAGTGTTTAGCAACCTGGGTTACAACCCACCTTCCCAGAGGAGGCTTAACCTTCTTTGCGGGTTTAACCCAGGTGGCTAAGCACTTGGAACGAACACCTGGGCAAAGGAAGACAATGCAAGGGCGCCAGCTGCAAAGGGCTGGGGACATTTGCGGCCTGGGCCGGGTCCTGGAAGATCTGACCTCGCATCGCCCTAGGCTTCCTTCCACTCAGAAGGTTACAAGCTCCTGACGGTGACAAAAGCGACCCTCCAAAAGACACCGCCACATGTCCCTTCGCACATGGACTCCTCAAGAACAAGGTACCTTGCAAACAAAAAGGCACACTTCCTTTGGCCCAATGTCCCTTCCGACTTCCCCGTAGGTCCTTGGGGAAGAATCGCATCCAATGCTTCTCCTCCGCCGCTGTGCATGACCGAATGCCCCCGTGGTAGCCCCCAATGCCGCAGCGCCGCATGACCCCGTCTCCCACCACCACGCGGAGTCGATACCTGGCACGAAGAAAGTATGAGAGGAAACCCAAGGCTACCAGTGCAAACCGGCATGCAGACACACACACGCACACACACAAGCGCGCAACACACAAATAAGCAAACAAACATAAACAAGCAAACAAACAAGCAAGCAAACAAAAACACACAACGCACACAAAAACAACAAATAAATAAGCAGACAAACAAAGTAAGTAAGTAAGTAAGCACGCAAGTAAGAAAGGAAGAAAACAAAACAAGAAGGAAAGAGAGATATACGCAAAGACACAAGTAAACAATCAATAAAAGACAAAATAAAGAAATGAAAGCACGAAAAGACATATATCAAGATATAAGCATCAAGTAGAGAAATGAAGAAATAAACTCACAATACCTAAAAGAAACAAACAAAACAACCAATAGAAAGATGGAAGGAAAGCAAGAAAGAAGGTTGAAAGGATCAAAGGAAAGCAAAAACAACAACACAAGGACGCGCACACACACAAGCAAGCAAACCAGCAACAACTAACAATCACCTGAAACATGCCCTGGCCGCATCAAGCCCTGCACTGAGCGCTGACTGTTCGAGCGAGTCAGCATCAAGGACTATGTATGCGGGTATGCGGGTGTGCGCTCCAGGCATGGCATAGGCCAAGAACATCTATGTCGTTATGATGTCATAAACAACTCAAACAGCGCGTGCACATGTGCACTGGGGTAATTACGGTATGGCTTGAGCAGCGAGCTCCGCAAACGTGCAAACGCCCACACAAGGCCCGATGGCACTGCAACGGTCAGGCGCAAGATATGAGATCAGAGTTGCCTGCGACAGCAAAGGCAGCGCCAAAGGTGAGCCTACACTGCCGTGCTATTTGCACTCTAATTGCCACGTGTTTGTGTGCAATGATGCAAGCCAAGAGAGAAGGTATTCTGCGTCTAAAGGACTTGTTGCAAAAATAATCATGTGAGCCATACTCGACACCTGGTACTAAAGCGGCCCACCCAGAACCATGCAAATAATTCTCAGACGGCGGATGTCCGCACCCATGTATGGTCAGGATTATCCCTTACTAACCTCTATCTACGCGGGTTTTGAGCAAGTGGCCCACGTGAGCTTTCACAGGCTTGCAAGGGAGCTCAGGAACGAGACCAAGTTTTGTCACTTGAATTCACACGACGCCTGGCACATGGGAAGCCTTACTTCATCTGCAACCTCGAAAAACCACAGCGGACCTAAAAACCAGAACCGCGGGCATTGCTTTTGCCAGCTGATGTCCTCTCGCAGCTTTTCCTGCAACATCTCTCCTGGGTCTTGGTTAATCTCAAGTTCTTTTGAGTGTTTCAAAAATTGATACCCTCCCTCCACAAACCTGCGCCCCTTGAAGAGGAGAAGAATCCTCCAATTTTGCGACTGGCGCTTCGCATGGGGGCGGAAAGGTGTCTGGATCTGCCCACCAAGGGTGCTCCCGGCCGGACACCGTGCGCAATGCTTTCAAAAAAGACACTACCTAGTCTTGTCACGTTCACATGTTCAACACATTTTGGGCGCAGCATGGACATCGGACTTTATTTGAGTGCCTGACTATCTGATTCATCAATTCTGCTTCGAAACGACCAAAAAAGCCTTAAACAAAGGCAGCAAAAACGCAACAAGGCAAGTGGGAAGCTCTGACTATCTGACTCATCAATTCTGCTTCGAAACAACCAAACAAGCCTTAAACAAAGGCAGCAAAAACGCAACAAGGCAAGTGGGAAGCTCTGACTATCTGATTCTTCAATTCTGCTTCGAAACGACCAAAACAGCCTTAAAAAAAGGCAGCAAAAACGAAACAAGGCAAGTGGGAAGCTCTGACTATCTGGTTCATCAAGTCTGCTGAGAAACGACCAAAACAGCCTTAAAAAAAGACAGCAAAAACGCAACAAGGCAAGTGGGAAGCTCTGACTATCTGGTTCATCAAGTCTGCTGAGAAACGACCAAAACAGCCTTAAAAAAAGACAGCACAAACGCAACAAGGCAAGTGGGAAGCTCTGACAATCTGATTCATCAATTCTGCTTCGAAACGACCAAAAAAGCCTTAAACAAAGGTAGCAAAAACGCAACAAGGCAAGTGGGAAGCTCTGACTATCTGACTGATCAATTCTGCTTCGAAACGACCAAAAAATACCTTAAAAAAGGCAGCAAAAACGCAACAAGGCAAGTGGGAAGCTCTGACTATCTGATTCATCAATTCTGCTTCGAAACGACCAAACACATGGCGTAAAAGGAGGCACCAAAAGCGCCACGAGCGTTTTTGAAGCGGGCCTCCTGCGGCAAACCCGAACGACTCGAACCATTTTCGAACCGAGGCGCCATCGGGAGTGCTGCGGGAAGTGTCCGAAGGTGAGCGTCACCGCGGCGGTCGCGCCTTTTCTCTCCACATGCTCCACCACCCCGTGCCACCAGCCGAAGGGGCTGCCCACCTAGCGGCTCCATTCCCAAAGGGTGAAAAAGGCCAGAAGCCGAAAGGCCAAGAGCCAGGGTGAAAAACCAAAAGCCGAAAACCCCAGGCTCCGAGGGGGAAAAAGCCAGGCCAGTTTTTCGTGGTGAAAGGGGCCAAACGTGCCATGCCGCTTTCTCGCTTTTGGCCAAACTTTGGGGCCCTGTGCCAGGAACCCTTCCCTGGACAGATCGATCGGCCCCGACAGCCCCCCTTAAAAGCGATTTTTTAGATACCCCCCAGTCCCCAGCAACAGCCACGGCTCCCAGCCAACAGCTCTGGCAGCAGGACTCCGCTGGTGCTGAACTGCTTGTGCGCTCTCGAATGCTTGAAGCAACTTCTAACAAAAGGGACCTTTGGAAGGTCATCGTTGTCAAAGTCACCTCAATTCAACCTCTGCAACCTACCCATCCGAGAAAATGAAGCGCCCGTTGAACCTCATCACTTGGATGTGGCAGTGCCTGTGCTTGGCGGGTACGTTTTGTAGCCTCTCACCATGCGAAATCTGGTTACGCTCTCCACCCTCAATGTGTGTAGAAGTTCTTCCAACTGGCTAGCTTGGGCCGAGTTGGCACCAGAAATCATATGCTTGCTCGCTGCCCCATCGGCCCACCTTTAGTCAGTGCAAATCCATTTCAACAGAAAACTCAAATGACGGAATTCACCAACCTCAAACCATTTTCTTCCTCCCACTAACGTGGCCTGACAGGGGGGTCCCTTGAAGAGGAAACTTATCTTCCAGGTACCCTCCAACAAATGCGTGTGGGAGGATTGGTAGCCCCAGTTGCTGATGGAAAGGGATGCCAGTTTTGGGCGGGTTTCCCACCAACCTCAAACCAGTGCCATCCACTTTCGGCCAAGCCAACCTGGAAAGGACACCTATGCCCTGCTTGCTTTGTGAAAAGATCCCCCGGTTTTGGACGGGCTTCCCCCCACATCTACGGGGATCCCCGCCCCCCACCTGCATCTTCCACTGGAGCTCCACGCCCCTGCCCACCTGCAAACCCTCAAGCCCCGCATAGACCCGGAAGGCGTAGATCTCGCTCACCCTGAAAACCAGTCTCTCGGAGCGAAAGGGAAGCACCGGTTTCGTTGGGGGGAGGGAGGTTGCACATGATACACTTCTGGGCTAGGAGTTATATATATATATATATTAGGCAGTTGATCAATATTCCTGTTTCCGGAAAACGCCATCTTCGCGAGAACAAAAGTTTCTTTCGCGAATCTTTCGCGACTCCATCGCCAAGCCCTTTTGTTTGCCCTTTTGTTTGCAGCGTGCGCTCTGGAGCCATTGTGGCTGCTGCAGTTATGCTTGCACATAGGATAGCCGCAGCTCACCTGCGTGCAGTACGTAGTGTTAAGTGCAAGCAGTCACCGTCATTCGCCCTTGCCACTTGCGCTTGCTGGCGATGCGCGGAACCTTGCAACAAGCTCCCTGGCCTTTCGCCAGTCTTTCGCGGATCTTTCGCGAAACTTGCTCCAAAATAGCCCAGCCAACGTTATTGACTTGCGCCATTCCCAACACAGGCAGGGAATCAATAATGCAAGTGTAGGTGCTGCGTATCTCCCTCTACAAGGGAGCGGGGTCTGCAAATATGTAAGTGCACAGGCATGCCTCCAAAAATCCAACGCGGAATCTTTCGCGAAAAATTAAGTTTCTTTCGCGAACTCCATCGCCGATCTTTCGCGGAGGGATTTAAGCCAAGACGAATGGTCACCGATTACATAACTCCTTGCAAGGACCTTTTGATCAACCCCCATATGTGTGTGTGTGTGTGGTCTTGGGGGCGGGGGGTCTTTCAGGTGTGGCACATGGCACACTAAAACCAGGGTACACAGGAAATCAAGAGTTTTCTGAGTCTGTTTCATGAAAAAGCTCTACCTGAAAGTTCAAAACCATAGTTGCCCCCAGGTTTGGCACTTGGCACAAAAACTGGGGTACAGCAAGCACGAACAAAGTCTTCCCAAAAGTAAAAAACAGCTGTTTGGAGAGCCCACACCTAAGATTAATCAACCCCAGTTTCTTCATAGGGGAGTGTCTCTGGGTGAAATGTGGGGATTCAGACTTTTGGAGGGGCCCCGACTCCGATATTCACAAACTGGGGTTGGGGGGGTCACACAGAACCATGGTTTCCCGAGTCCGTTTCACGTTAAGTCTGCCCAAAAGTTGCTTTTACAAAAAGAAACAAGTAGTTTGGAGAGCCCAGCCCTACCCAAATCCTTGCAACATCCGCCCTTGCCAGTTTCTCCCTTCGGCTCCTGGGCGGTGCCAGCTCAGGTTGGAGCTGGTCGCGCACATTGGGCGGGCAGAAGCGTAGCCGGTGGACCTCCCAAGTTCCAGCCGAGTTCACCAAAAGCTTTCCCTGTCAAAAGGTGGTCGGACCAAATCCTGCACCCGAAATTGGAGTCCCTGAGTTGCAAGGTCCTCCAGATTTGAGAGGTTAGAATAACGGTACCATCTTTTTCTGTAGCCTATTTTCGTAGGGGAACCCTCCCTCAAAAAAAAAAAGGAACTACTGGGGGACCTAGTGGAGGCCCTGAGTTCACCAAAGTCTTAAATCTGCCTTTTCGAGTCAAAAGGTGGATGGACAAGAGATCCTGTTTTACTTGAGTGTGTCTTTAAAAAACGGGAATCCTGCAGATGGTGGCCGCCCCCTTTAACTGCCCAAAGAAAACCCCGGAAAAGGTACCCTCAAACAAAACGAGCCGCACCCAAACAAGTGGTTTGTCCCAGCACCCGGCCTGGTGCGAAATGGGTTTCGCATGCTGCACGGCTTTTCTTTTTTGGAAACAAGCCATCATATGACTGAAATCTTGCTTCCTGAGCGGAGTTACTCAACTGAATGTTTGCCCTAACACGGTCTTCCCAAAAATTGCCTAAAAGTCCATGAGCTCAGCGCGTGAGGGATCGTCTTCAAATGAGTTCGCCTTTGGTTTCCCGGTGCCCTCACAGAAACTACCCTCGTTCTTTTCAACCACCAGATCCGTTTTCCCTGGGATTCCCGAGGTGTTCTAGAAAGGTTCGGATCCCTGGAAAGAATGGTTGGAAGCTAGCCCCAAAAGAAAGAGTCTTCCACTTGCAACCTCACTTGCTCAAAGGCTTCTCGAAAACCCCAGCCATTTCTCGAAGTGTTGGGTGGTTTTCTAGATCCCTGGAAAGAATGGTTGGAAGGTACCCTTAGAGATCTGGATGCGTACCAGCCACCTCCGAGGTGGGGATTCTCTCCGGCACCACGTGGCTGGCGCTCACATAGCTGGCCACGTAGCACCGCGTCTTCTGTTCCCAGGAGACCTGGCGCAAACGCCCGGAAAACTGGCTGGTCCATCGGTTCGGTTCGCAGGGAGTGGCAGGGAATGAGGAATGGACTCCCTGAAAAAATGCAGGTGCTCAAAACGGAAGGAATGGAATGATCCCCGAGAGAATGCACCACCCCATCTGGCGCTAGCCCCTCGCAAAACTTGCGATCGGTTGGGAATGAGGAATGGAAGGAGCCTGGAAACAATACATCACCTTTGTGGCTTCCTTGAAAGGATTTCCTTTCTGGTTCATTCCCAACCCCCCCCCCCGATTGCCTACAAGAAAACGGCTTGTTTTTGGCGCACTCGGATCAGCAACTGGGACCAGTCCCGGACCAGTGATGGGACCGGTCCTAAATCAGTCCCGGGAGCTGTCCTGGGACCGAACCCAGCCCCGGCCCAGGACTGTCCTGAGAATGCACTTTTTGTCGGTTTCGGGTGTGTTTTTTCAGGGAGGGACATCATCAGGATTCCAATCACTTCATTAGGATTGCATCCCACACCGGTCCCCTCGACCAGGCTAGGACGAGAGGCAATAAATTTCGCTGTCGGCCTGCTTTACAAAAGCATCCGCCAAGCAAAGTGATCTGCTCACTGATCCGTATGTATCTGATTCTGTCACAACCTGCTTTTTTGACAGTACCCTTGTTGGGGTGGGCCTTGTCAAGGGGAAACCAAGAGGAAAACCCGCACACGTGTTTTTTTGGGGTCCGAATCCCTTGGTTGTTGTTGCTGCCCGGGCCTTGGCAGTCATAGCGGACATGCAAAAGCCCACCTTCTTCTCCCGGTCGAAGATCTCCAAAATCTCCTCCCTCCTGCCATGAGTCCTTTCCTTGTCCCCATCAGGGGGGAAAAAGCAACAACATCAAGGCCTGGGGCATTCTTAACGTAGGTGTCCTTTTTGGGAAAATAGATGGCCCTCGTATTTGATTCAACCACCAGGTAAACCAGGGCCTTCTATTTTTCAGCCAACTCAACCAAAAAGGACACCTGTGGTTCTTAACGGGGCGCCCAACTTTCTCCAAACGCACCAACTGGATGAAGTGCCCCTCTTTGGGCAGCAAAAACTGAAACATCGCCAGAGACTGACTCACTCAAAATTGGCGCGGAAGATGAACTCCCCAAAGACCATGTTGGAGTGATATTGTCACTTCCTGCTAATTCATGCGCCCCGACAGCAGGAGAAAAACACACTTACGAATATACATGTGTGCCCCTGGTGTGTCATTGCATTCCTTGGGGCACACGTGCACTTCCTTAAGAAAGTTTGAATGGGTTGTTTGCACGTCAACTTCTGATACAAGCGTTGCAGGGAGGCAAACCATGATGCATGCTGAATTCTGGCTAGCTCAGACAAGAAAGACATGCTGGCTACTTGCTCAATCCAACTTTACAAGACGTTGACTGCTCTCCTTCGGTGGTTAGTCTCACTTCTTAAGCGGATTGGCCAGAAACAGTTTGAACACTTCTTGTCTCTGCCACTAATAAAGGGCCTTCCCAAAAAGGATAAAGTCCAGGAACTCAGGGAGTGCGCTGGGAATCGGCCGGTGGCTTGGAACAGGGCCTAGGAGTAACTGGAGTAGTTTGGGCTCCCGACCGACGAAAACATTGATTTGTACCGTGGATGGACGAAATCCTGCGCCACTTTCAAACGATGAGAAACCATTGTTTGCTGGCATTCACAGGAGGAATCGTATCATTCCGTTGGGTTTCCTGGGTGGTGCGAAATGGATTTCGTCCATGCACAGTACTACTGGGCACCCATCGGATAAACCCCTGCCTGATTTGGATCGGGGTGCCCCCAATCAAAATCAGATCAAACTATGGGGCTCGACACCAGAAACAGCGGGCCCAATGAAAACGACATCTCCGAAGAGATCATCTGGGAATGGAGAATGAAACTAGCAGGATTGGACCGCGCGTTTTTTTGTCCTTGTCGCCATTTGCCACGGGAGATAGATGCCCTTTCACACCAAAAGGGCATGGGTCAAAACATTCCCACCAAGAAAAACCGCAGATTTCAGTCCCTGTCTCCATTTGCCAAAGTTACCCATTTGCGAGTGGCTAAAAAATGGGGATCCAAAATGGAACCCTGGCAAATATATAAAGCTAGACTCAAACCTGCGTAACCGCTGTGTAATTTGGGGCCACACCCATTTTGGGGTGACCAACTCCTACTTGACTACTTGACCACTCTCTCCAATTGCCAATTAGCTACCCATTTTGGGGTTCTCTCTCTCTCTGATATGGTTGGCGCCCCTGAAAAAAGTGGGCTGCCAGCGACTTTTTGACAACCACGCCGTCTCCTGCCATGGACGGTCTGCTGGAAGAGGATCTCCCAATCCTTCGCCTGGTTGTAGCACAGCGCCTCTCGAGCCGAACGAGCGAACGAGTGAGCCAGTGAGAGCCAACTCGAACACCGGCCAAAGATCTACACCTGAAGCCAAGGATGGCAAAATCCTGCACCCAAGGATGGCTTTTCCATTTCTACCCCAAAAATGGCTACAAATGGAAAAGCCACCCTTGGAGGGTGCTGGAACTCAAGCAACTGTCAAGACGCGAAACAATCATAGGAGTCCTACGTTGACTTGCTTGAGGACGATTGACCAAGTTGCCGCATCCTGGATGTGGTATTCGTACCCCTTAAAACTCCAAGCCCTGAAAAAGTTAATCTTGTACAGACATAAAGCCCATGTTACCCCCAAAAAGTTGAAAAGTTGTGTTTTTAAGAGGTAAGTATTACGATAGTACTTAAGATAGGCTTCACTAGCTGGTCATCGACCGTGTGCCTGGCCTAGGTCCAGTAGAGAGGTTAGAATACCAACTTTTCTCTGTTGCCTATCTATTTTCGTAGGGGAACCCTCCCAACCTAAAAAGAAACGGTGAGAGGTCGGGCACCAATTGCGGGGGACCTAGGTAACGTTGACCCCAGATTTAGCAACCCAAGTAACATGGCACCTCGCGGGTTTTGTTCAGAAGCAAGTTGATCTTCCAGGTACCCAACAGGTGCTATGCTAGGGACCGAAGGACCTCCCCCGAGCACCTCGTAGTGCACGGGCCACTTCTCGCGAAAGACGCGCTCCCACTGCCAGGCCACGATCTGGCGGCTGGTCTCGGAGATCGCCTGCCGGTGATCTATTCATTGGGCAAAATGTGATGCATCCAGACCATGGCCCCAAAAAATAAAATAAAAACTGAAGGATGTTCAAGTTGGGGGTTTAGGCCCTGGCCCCCCCCCCAAAAAAAAAAGAGGAGATTGTTCAAATTGGTGGTTGAGGCATGCGAACAAACGGGTTTAAATGGCCAACCCTGGTGATGTGATGGCTTGCTGTAGGCTTGGACGTCAGAGAGAGGGCAAGGCCGCAAGCAGCAAATGCAAACTTCGAATCGATGTTCTAGCTTCTCCCAACCCCAGGCATCTATGGTGTCTTTTTTGAGGGTACCCCTTGCTTCCTGGCTTTCAAGGGATACCAAGAGGACTCCACCACTTGCCCCAGACCACCCCACAAATCGAGCCCAGCTCAGCCTGACCCAACTTCCGTCGGAGTCGCTTTCTTGCTGGGGAATAAGAAATCGAATGAACCTGAAAATTCGCGAATCAAGGAAACCACCAGCAAGGGATGGCAACTTCCTTTTTGGGGTCAGACTCCATTTTTCAGGGCCCCGATCGCATCTCATTCGCACCAAAACCGCAAAGCTTTCAGCACTCGGTTGCTTCTGCTCCCCTAGTAAAAGTTTAACTTTTAGCGGTTTAATACGCAAAACCCATTAATTGGCAATAAGTGAAAGTCCTAACATCCCTTGACACAATGCACCAAAGTAAGAACTTCTTAGGAACAGGGACCCCCTGAAAAGGCAATCCTTCACTACGAGGAAAGTCAATCAATGGTCCACAGGTGGCAAAAAGAGAGTCCCTGGGCACACAAAGAGCAGTTCTCTCCAACCCCGCAAGCTCCGAACCTGAGAATTCGCGAATCAAGGAAACCAAGGGATGGAATTTGTTAGTTGTTCGCACCCGCCTCGATTAACGTTGTTTGGGTTGGCCGCCCCCGCCTCGGTGGACGTTGGGCTTGGGGAGCGAAAGTTTGAAACATTTTAGCAGTTCAGTGGTTCACTAGATGGTTCAAATGTTTCCCAAACCACAAAGCAGTTAGGATTTCAACCACTAAATTTTAGCAGTTAGGATTTCAACCAAACCACAATTTGCGCAAAAATGGTTTCAAAGGTTTCCCAACCATGCCACAATCAAGCCCGAACTTCCAGCTTCTCCGCGCCTTGGAGCTGAGTCGAAAGAGGTTGGTGAGGTCCAGGGGCTCCGACAGGAACTCCGAGATGTGGGTGGCCAGCGGCAGGCACAGTACGTGGCAGTAGGAGTTCAAGGCCGGCGCGAAGAAGTCCTGGGGTGTGGCGAGCATGAAGCCTGGGAAGAATAGGAGAAACGATGTCCTGGTGAAATCGGTTCCCTTTAAAAGCAGGCAACAAGAAACATGTTAAAACAAAAGCAAAAAAAAACGCAAAAACAACAACACGCACAGACACACACAGACACAGACACAGACACAGACACAGACACAGACACAGACACACACACACAAGCACACAAGCGCACAAGCCCACAAGCACACAAGCACACAAGCACACAAGCACACAAGCACACAAGCACACAAGCACACAAACACACAAACACACAAACGCACAAACACACAAACGCACAAACACACAAACACACAAACACACAAACACACAAACACACAAACACACAAACACACAAACACACAAACACACAAACACACAAACACACAAACACACAAACACACAAAAACACAAACACACAAACACACAAACACACAAAAACACAAACACACAAACACACAAACACACAAAAACACAAACACACAAACACACAAACACACAAACACACAAAAACACACAAACACACACAAACACACACAAACACACACACACACAGAGACACACACACACACACACACACTTGTGTCCCAGCAAAGCTGGTCTGCAGAGATTTTCTCCAAGGGTCATCAATCAAGCAGCCAATTTTCGGGAAACTGTGGGCCAATTGCAAACTATGAAAAAGGTTGAGTTCAAATCGTAGCGCCACTAGCTGCCACATTGGCCCAAGTGCACGCAGACAATGGAGTTTCGCCCCATCCACCAGGTCGGGCTCGTCAGTATGACGCCCGATGGATTGTCATAGACTCCGGAAACAGGAAAAGAAAAACCGACCCTCTGCATGTTGAAAAGTTTGCATGACTCTTGAAACATGCAGCGAATTACCAAAAGCGGCATATGCAAAAATCCTTGGAAACAGGAAGGGACACACACACACACACACGCACACACACACACACACACACACACCACACACACACAAGCACACAAGCACACAAGCACACAAACCCACAAACCCACAAACCCACAAACCCACAAACAAACACACACACACACACACACACTCACTCACACACACACAGACACATACACATACACATACACATACACATACACATACACATACAGACACGCGCACACATACAGACACACACACACAGACACACTTTTCTGCAAATGGAAGAGTCCCGGACGGCAGAGCTGGTGGGCGCCTGCTGCAAAATCTCCAGCAGCCATGCCTGCCGTCGGGGTACTGCTGCTACTGCTGAGGCTCCACATCTTGCAAGGGAATACGCCCAACCCCCTAGCTCCTATGGAAAACAAAGCATCGGCACTCTTTTCTTTGGCAGTTGATCTCAAAGGGTTCCCCTCCAAACAATGAAGCAATCGCTGGAGAACAAAACCCCCAACATACCGTTTCGCCGTTTCAATGGAAGTACTGTGGAAAAGCGCCAGGGCGCCTGCTTTTAGTTGCTAGCTCCCCAGTAGATGTTAGAATCAGGTACCCTTTTCTGTAGTTTGTTTTAGTAGTAGGGGAAAGGGTAAAAGGGCACTACTGGGTGACCTAAGTTGGGTTGACTAAAGTTTGCGGGCAGGTCGCGGCCCCCCCAAGCGAAACGGCAAACCCTGGCACTTTGCACATTGAGACGCACAGAACTCACAGACCTGAATTGACCTTTGACCAGAAAAGGGACATCTTGGCTGAGTTCGCTCCGCAGCTCAACCCACTCTCTGCAGAGCTCATGGATGGTCCATATGATGTCCTTGTGCCGCCGCCCTCTTGGCCCCCGACACTGGGCAGAAGTTGGCCTCTTTGCATTGAGCCCAGCTTTTCTCTGGTCAAGCTACTGAATCCAAGAAGCATATACGCATGCTGTCTGCTGTTGACCCCTCTAAAAGTTTAAAACTTGTTGCGTGGCCAATGGGAACTCCTGTGTCATAAACTAGTGCTTGGTGCTTCAAACCTCGATTTCCTCACCGCCCCTCCCCTGCCTGGATGATGAGGCAGGTTTCCTGCAGTGACAAGCACGGCTGCTTGGCGTCTCGGTGCATTTTCTTGCGTGGCACATTCCCGGGACAAGAGCGGCGGCTTGCAGCGGAACCCCGTGGAACCTGAAGCTTAGCCTTGTGCCATTTGGCCAAATGGAAACCTGGGATCAAACCAGGGATCAGACCAGGGCAACCAACACGTCAGGTCGGCCAACCACCCGCCCACCGGAGGAAAAAACGCAAAAAAAAAAAAAACGCTCCCCGTCCTTGGCATGGTAGCTCCAGAGGGCCGTCGGAAGATGCAACCAGTCGCTTGTGCACACCAAGGGCGGTGGCGGGAGTTTCCGCGCCAGCTCCTTCTGTAGCTCGATGTGCAGCAGGTGCAGGTCCTGCGAACCAGCCATTCGCGAATACTTTGTTGCGGGCTGTGGAGGGGGGGGGAGGGGGAGGGAGCCCAAATAAGCCTTAAATAAAGCCTTGCTAAGGGCCTTTAATCGCAACAAGGGGAAATAAAACAAAAAACAATTAGTAAATCAAAGCTTCCCAGGGCCTCCATAGATTCACCAAACTCAGTAGTAGAGAAAAACTGTATCCATTAGCAGCAAATGGAAGCCATCTGCTTTTTTGGGGGGGGCCCGCGCCTCCATGGATTTCACCCCGGCCCAGTTGGGCACCCGAGTCACGTTCTTCACCGAGATCTTCAGCTCCAAGGACCACAACTCCACCAGGCCCACCTGACGGCGCTTTACGCGGCTTTCGGCTTCCGGCCCGCAGCTTCCAGCGAGCTTCCGGCTGTGCGTTTAACTACGCCCCCTGGGGAAAACATAGAAAACATATTTCCAGTCGTGAAACTTCAGTCCCTTTAAAACCATCCAGTGAAAATACAAAACATAGTCATTTGAGTAGATGAAAGCCTTTTCTGGTGGTTTGGAGCCCTTTAAAATATGGACACCCCTCCTTAACTACCAAACCACAAACCAATCAGAGGGGACCTGAAAGTTGGCTCCAGGCCTATCAAAAAGTTGGTCACTAGAAGATCACTAGAGGAGCAACGATTACTGGAGTGTCACTAAAGGTCACTAGCTCCCGATGTCCGGATCCGCCTGCACTTCCTCCTCAATCGGATCCCCCGCCAACTCCCAGGGGCCGACGTTGGACTCATTGGGCTCAGTGGGCTCGTAGCAGACGGGGCAGTCCATGGGGAGCTGCGGTCTGGGGGACCACTTGCCATCCGGGTGGTCCAGCCAAGGCCGAGACTCCTTCCCCTGAAAGTTTCCCATCGCGCAGCTTTGGACCCCAAAGGGTCAAGAACTTCGGCGCAGAAAAGATCTGGGAGACGCCTTTCAGCCAAAATGGCTAAAGCTTTCTCGACTTCATCCAAATTCGCAATCTTCGTGTGTGTCGTGGCAATTTCCCATGGCGTGATGCATGTTTGCCGCGTATGACAAAAAACAACAACAACAAGGTGCGATTCGGAGGAACAGTAACAACCAGCGTCAAAGGGATATGCGCCATGGCTCTCTCCAAGCAATCTGCTCACAACTGCCGGAGGCTGGGAGATGCCCAGCACCTCTCAGGTTTGGTTCAAGAGGAGACCAAAGGGAAACTCCCCCCCGTTGACTTGTCTGGGGTCCAGTTTTGGCACAGACCTACTTGAAGAATTCCCATCTTGCAGAAGTCCTGTGAATTGGCCTCACGGATCCGGGGTGAGAAAAGCTGGTGGTGAAAGGTGCGGCTTGGACGCAAGAAAAGCCGGGTGCAGGATCAACCAAAAATTATTTACGGGATCAAAACGAAATTATCGACACCCGGATCAAAACAAATTATTTACCGGATGAAAACAAATTATCTCGCCTGGGGGTGCCAAAACGCTGTAAGTTACATCATTTTCGGGCAACAGCGCGCGCATTTTACGGCTGCAGCTGAAAAATAGACACTTTCCAATACAAGCGCAGTACGCGAAGGCCACTTTGGCAGCTCCAGTTCGAAATGCAAGCTCAGCTCTATCAATGAATCTAGCATCGGTTAAATGCCTGTAGGGTTGGCTTAAGGTTGTGTAGGGTTAATGTAGGTTGGGTTTCGGGTGGGTTTGGGTTGGCTTAGGTTGGTTTAGGGTTGGCTTAGGATTGGTTTAGCGTGGGTGTAGGTTTGGCTTAGGGTCTGTTTAGGGTGGGTTTAGGGTGAGTTCAGGCTTGGTTTAGGGACGGTTTAGGGTTTGTTTACGGTGGGTGGATTTAGGTTGGCTTCGGGTAGGTTTAGGGTTGTTTAGGGTTGGTTTGCTGGTTTAGTTTAGGGTGGGTTTAGGGTTGGTTTAGGGTGGGTTTAGGGTGGGTTTAGGGGTGGTTTAGGGTTGGCTTAGGGTTGGTTTAGGGTTGGCTTAAGGGATGGTTTAGGCTAAGTTTACGGTGGCTTAGGGTAAGTGAAGGGTAGGGCTAGGGCAGGTTTAGGGTTGGTTTAGGGTTGGTTTAGGCTGGGTTTAGGGTTGGCTTAAGGTTGTGTAGGGTTGGTTTCAAGGTTGGTTTAGGGTTAATTGTGGATTGGTTTCGGGTGGGTTTAGGGTTGGCTTTGCTTTAGGGTTGGTTTAGGTTGGGTTTAGGGTGGTTCTAGGTTGGCTTCGGGTAGGTTTAGGGTGGGTTTAGGGTTGGTTTGCGGGCTTAGGGTGGGTTTAGGGTTGGTTTAGGGTTTAGGGTCGGTTGAAGGTCAGTAGGGTTGTTTAGGGTGGGTTTAGGGTTGGATGAGGTTTGGTTAGGGTTGCTGTAGGGTAAGGATGGTTTAGGCTGGGCTAAGGCTTGGTTTAGGGTGGGATTAGGTTTGGTTTGGGGCTTGAAGGTTGGTTTAGAGATAATTTAGGGTAGGTTCCGGGGCAGGTTTAGGGCGGGTTTAGGGTTGGCTTAGGTTGGGTGTAGGTTTGGTTTAGGGTCTGTTTAGTGTAGTTTTCGGGTGCGCTTAAGCTGGGTTTAGTGCCGGTTTACATTTTGTTTAAGGTTGGTTTAGGGTAGGTTTAGTGTGGGTTTAGGGAGTGTTTAGGGTTGGTTTAGGGTGGGTTTAGGGTGGGTTTAGGGGTGGTTTAGGGTTGGCTTAGGGTTGGTTTAGGGTTGGGTTAAGGGATGGTTTAGGCTAAGTTTACGGTGGCTTAGGGTAAGTGAAGGGTATGGTTAGGGCAGGTTTAAGGTTGGTTTAGGGTTGGTTTAGGCTGGGTTTAGGGTTGGCTTAAGGTTGTGTAGGGTTGGTTTCAAGGTTGGTTTAGGGTTAATTGTGGTTTGGTTTCGGGTGGGTTTGGGGTTGGCTTAGGTTGGTTTAGGGTTGGTTTAGGAATGGTTTAGGGTGGGTTCAGGTTTAGTTTAGGGTCTGTTTAGGGTGGGTTTAGGGTGGGCTTAGGGAAGGTTTAGGGTTTGTTTACGGTGGGTGGATTTAGGTTGGTTTAGGGTAGGTTTAGGTTGGGTTTAGGGTGGTTTTAGGTTGGCTTAGGGTAGGTTTAGGGTGGGTTTAGGATTGGTTTAGGGTTGGTTTAGGGCGGGTTTAGGGTTGGTTTAAAAGTTGCGCAGGGTCGGTTTCAAGGTTGGTTTGTAGGTTGGTTTAGGGTGGGTGTAGTTTGGTTTAGGGTCAGAGCAGGCCAGGAGACCAGCAGACCAGGAGACCAAGAGACCAGAGACCAGGAGACCAGGAGACCAAAGGACCAGGAGACAAGACCAAGGACCAGGAGACAAGGAGACGAGGAGAGCAGGGCATCAGGCGACCAGCAGACCAGCAAAAAGCAGGAGAAGGACACCAGCAGACCAGGAGACCAGGAGACCAGGAGACCAGCAGGAGACCAGGAGACCAGGAGACCAGGAGACCAGGAGACCAGGAGACCAGGAGTGGAGACCAGGACCAGGAAACCAGGAGACTTGTGGGCAACCTGAGTTTCGCCTGACCCGAGCCGGAAACTCCATCATACAGGTAGCTCAGGCCTCTCCGGTCAATCCCGGCCTTGGGACTTATTTCTTGCCCTTCTTCTTGCGCTTCTTCTTTGCCTCCTGCAAACATCGAGCCACGTGAGACGGAAGATGCCAAAACACTAAACAAACAAAAGGTTAAAAAAGACCTAAACAAACAAAAAACACAAAGAAACAGGAAACAAACAAAAGAAGGAGCTTGTCAACGGCACTACCCAGCAACCGGGTCAAAGCCAGGCGGAACTGGCAGGATATCTACACATCAACCAATGTATGTCATGTGTTTGGCACAAGGTTTGGATGCTATCCTCTTGGTTGACGTTGGAAGGGGAGCAAACATTCAAATGTTAGCAGTTGAGTGGGGATTTCCCACTAAACCACAATAAGCAAAAATGTAAATGTTTGCCAACACCATGTCCTGGCCCTGACACTCCATAGCTGCGCTATCTGCACCAGATACTTAGATTGAGGCTGGTTTCTGTTCGGAATGGCATTCACAAAGGGGATCGACGGAGTTCGAAGATCGGCTTCCACGATGCAGGCCCAAGAAACGTGCTGGTGCTCAGCAGGGGAATGGGAATTGGAATGACCCCTAAAAGCCATCCAACTGGTGGTTTCCTTTAAGGGGACCAAAGAGTTCCATACTGTTGATGGACGAAATCCTGCACCACGCAAAAATCCCTGGAATGATGATTCCCCTGTAAAAAAACGGCAAATAATGGTTTCTACTGGTTTCAAAGTGGTGCAGGATTTTGTGCATCCACAGTACCTATCGCACCAGCAAGAAAAGCTCAAACCTTCCCACCTCCAACTCTCCAGCCTCCGTATCACCATCCGCCTTCTCTTCGCTCTTCTCCTTGTCGGCCTCTTCAGCCTGAAACATATTTTTTTGAGTGAAGCTCTCTCTGCTTCGCTTTTGGCTGCCACTCACATCTGTGAGATTCGTCCAGTTGGGTTCCCAGTGAAACTGAAAATCAGCTCCCCAACTGGTGGTTTGGATTCAAGGCTTGGTGGTGGCTGAGTGGGTGGTTTCCCATGCAAACCCTCTTCAAGAGCCAGGGGGTTGTAGTCCCCAATCCAAACCGGGCACTTGAAAAAGCGTATCCTAACTCAGTGAGAAAGGCCCAGGCCGGGCCCTTCGGAGCTGAACTGGAGCAAGTGTATGCTTAGTCATCACATCTCTACTCTTGGTATGGTAGCAACAAACTTTCTTTTTCTTGCGGCCCCGCCCCCCAGTAAAAATGAACAGAACACACAAAAAAAAAAAAAACATGCCAAGAACAGTGAAAATCCAACGTGCAATGGGAACAAAACAAGATACACCCTCTCGGGAAGACTCAATCGATCATGGCCATGGAAGTGACGCTACCTCGCAATGATGCTCAGGCCGAAAAGTAAAACTAAAACGCCAGCTCCGAAACCACAAACAAACAGACAGCTTTGGAAGCTGGGGTTGGAACCCAACCAGTTTTAGTTGCCAGTCCGACCCCATGTGGCCACAAAAAAAAAAGAAACGCGGCTTCGGTGTTTTAAGCAGAAAGTGCGAAGAATCTCCGTGAATGGGAATCCCTGCAAGTTCCATGTTGGAGGGTGCCCTCGCAACAGGGTCCCTGTAAAAGGGAAATGGTCCAAACCAGGACCCCCCCTGTCACGTTCCATGATTGGTGGGTACCAGGAACCCCTCTTTCCTTGAAGTGGACGGGGCAAGGGGCAAGTCAAACAAAACCTCCTTTTCTGTTGGGAACCATTTTGGTGCGAGGGTAACAGGGGGGCCCTCTTAAGTGGGACCTGAAAGGTTGGAAATTGGACGGGAAGGCGACCTCCTTTTTCTCTTGCGGTTGGGAACCTTGTCCACTTCCATTGGCCAAAGGGTAGGGCCTATGGTGCGGTAGCCGCGGTAGGGCCAAGCCTTGGCGTCGCTCTTCTCGGCCCCCTTGGCCTTCGAGCTTCAGAACCCACGGAGGCCCCAGATTTTTATTCACCTTACCCTTAGTTGGTGGCTTGGATTTTTGGGAAGGTCAAAAACAAAACATGGTTGTTTGGAAGATGATTTTTGGTGGTTTCGATCTTTGGACCTTGGCTCCTAAACTGAAGTTCAAACCCCCCAACCACCAATCCAAACCACCAATTCAGGGGTACCCGATTCAAGGCCCTGGGAAAGTACTCGGCATATAGTTTGGCCATCGGAGAGGTTAAGCCCTGCCCCGGAAGCAGGTTTTTTGCTTGGGGGTTTGAGAGTTTGAGACAACTGGTGCATCGGCCAAAACGACACTAAACAAGAAACACATCAAAGTCTATAACTAGAGCAACACAAAACCAAATGGAATTGCTGTTGTAATCATCGTGACTCAACCGTTCCAGCTGAAGCACTCAATCAGCAAACTGTAAGACAAATCCACAGAACTGCTTCCCCAACTCATGTGTTGTTGCCCCAAAGCAATCACACAAAAAGTTGGGGGGGGGGGGGTTGACGCCCCCTTTCTGAACAAAGTATCATTTTTAACGACCCCGAAAGAAGTTGTTTGAAATCCCCAGGGCTCCGCAGTTCAAGAAAGCGGCAGCAATACAAAATAAAATCGACGCGTTCATCATCAAATCTCAAAAGGAGGCTCTTAATTCAGATGGAAACTCAAATCCAGCAATACTCAATCAAAGGGAAACTTAAGCCGCAATCTCAAAAGAAGGCTCAAGCAATATTTTATATCAAACGGCAACTCAAATCCAGCAAAACTAAATCAAAACCAAACTTAGATCAAATCTAAAAAAGAAGCTCCAGCAATACTAAATTGAAACTCACACCTGGACCTAGCAATGCCAAGCAATTCTAAATCAAGTTTGAGCTCGCACTATTCTTCTCATGGGCCTCCATTGTTTGAGTGGGGTTGACTAATCATAATAGGGGGACGTTGCCATAATTCACAAACCTTGGCTGCTGTTGACCCCTCTGCAAAAAGTTTAACTGTTTGTGGGTTTAGTAGAAAACCCCGAATGATTTCCACCAAAAAGCTAAAGTCTAAAGATCCGTTGCCCAATAGCAGTCAAGAAGCCGAACCCTTGGTGGCAGGCTCCTTTTGGCCCAGATCCGTGGCGCGCTATGATTTGCCAACAAAAAGAGAGGCTCTATCAGCTGCAAAGATGTGGGCCATCGGTTTTTGCAGCGCAACAACCCTTGAGTTCTTGCTGGTCCTGCAAATGGTGTCTACCAAAAAGGCTCCCAGATATGTTGGCACATTCTCAATTCTGATGCTCTAGGTGAAACCGCTGGCGACAATGAAGCGCTAAGGATGCAACAGCTCAACTTGCTCAAGTTGATGCCTGGGAAAACCCATGCTTCTGCATTGCTGGTACATGGGTGTCTTGACGTGCAACTGATCAACCAACCTGACAGAAACACAATGTAGGGATTCTCCTCCATTTGCTTAAGTCCCCCAGCAAAAAAAAAAAAAACAGTAGTGAGAGATCCCCTGCAAAACCAAAAGAGGGAAACTATACAGTGTTCTTAAGCAAATGGAAGTTCTTGCTTGGCAAAGGATCCCCTTGAAGGGACACCAATGCACTTCTAAGCGACCCCTCAACTCTCAACCCTGGAGAGTCTCACAGAGAATGACACCCAGGCATATATAAACATGGCCTTAACTATGGATTACGATAAATCCCTTGCACAACGGGCCGTAACAGCATATGTTTCCCACCACCCTATGAAGAATGCACGTTCTTGGGCCTGAAGCTTGCTCGCCAATCAATGGCGCAGGCGCCGTCGTCGATCTTTTATTTCTATGGGTGTTTTTTTGCGCCAACTCCGGCACCTCCTTCTTCTCGTTCTCCTTGTCCTTGGAATTCTCCTTGTTCTCCTTGTTCTCCTTGTTATCCTTGTTCTTCTTCTTGCCTGCACAAACCCCACGGTTGAGAGCCGCGCTTCAAGCAGCCAACCTGCCGGCCTTTCTCGGCCTCCTGCTTAGCATGGCCGGCTCTAAGCCTCAGCTTCCAAGTTTTCAGCAAACATCGGGGTTTGCATGGCTTGGCAAGGCGCAGCTAGGCGGAGAATGAGCCCAAGACAGGTCATATAAGCCCAACATCTCTCCATACGGTGACACAAACACTTCTGCAAGGTGCAGTTCGCCCCCTTCGCGCAGCTGCATGCATGGCATTCTGCGCGCATGCGATTTCACATACTCGGATGCATCCGAGAGGCGTCTTGCGCATGTCATAGGCATCCTCCTTGTCTGCATAGTACTCCTTTTCCACATCTCGAATCTCAAAGCCTAATGTCTCGGAGTACAAGGAGAAGGCCGCCCGATTTGTGTATCGGACCTGGCTGCATTGCAAAGACGGACGCGCTGCCTGAACGCCACGTGAACGGCCAGGGCAGGCAATGTCAAAAAGATATGAATTCGACTTAGGGGACCAATCGGTGGACATAATGCACGTATTGCGACCGACCACTGAGTGCATTCCGTATAAAGTTCATAGCCATGCGCCAAAGCGGGCGTTTCGGGCGTCTCTAAAGCTCACTCCCCCCCCCCCCCCCCGCTTCATCATTTTCGCGCGGCGTTTGGCATAAGTCAGCATCACAAAACCACGAGGAGAAACACAGAACCAAACCAAAAACACACACACACACACAAACAAACCAAAAAAACAAAGGCCCCTGGGATCCCCGAAGATCTCTCTCTCTGCAGCTGCTGGGTGGACGGTGGCACTCAACCCCCGAGGGGTCACCGGAAGTCTTTTCGAGCCGCTCCGAAAGGCCCCGAGAGATCGCCGAGCCGCATGCAGCGACACGAACTCCGCGCTGAAGCACTCCTCCATGGTGGCAATGGACGCCCTGGCGCTCGTTGCTCGGAGAAAATGTTTGGCAAACGCTGGTGCTTTCCAGAGGACGGGGTGGGAACTTGCAACACCCGAATGCTTTCGGTCCCTTTGCAAAGACGGAAAGGGGTGGACATGTGGCCGCAAGGAAAGGAAACCCATGCTGGAGTTTGGCAAAACGGGGGCTGGAGGACCCTTCCTGGGCCCTTGGCGTGCCTCTGGTCCAAGACACGGGTCCGGGATTCCAGTTTCTGGAAACCGCTGGCACGAGTTTGGCGGAAGGCTCACTGGAATCATGATGTTGATTGTTTCTGGGGGTTGTGAAGGTGAGAAATCTGTTGGTTGTTTCGGTGTAGCTCGCCACCTCGGGGGGATCTTGATCATGGTAAAGTAATGAGGCCAGTCAACATGGACCAAGAAGGCTGCGCCAAGCGTTGAGTCGGCTTTGAGCTCGATGGATTGGCCTCATCAAGGCTGTCGCAATGCCCAGTCTGCGGTAACCTGGGCGCCGCAAGGAGGGCTGACAAATTCTGCGGGCCCAAGCCCGCCCGCGACCTCTCATGCTTTAAACATAGGTGGCCTTTTGGCAAAACAGATGGCCCTGGCAAATGGAACAATACCCATCTATACAAGCGCCATCTATTTTGAACCGAACTGGCCTGAGAAGGACGCCTATGCCCGCAAACCGTATTCCAAGGAAGACAGGTGCACATGAGGGCTCGACCTTACGGGCCTGTCCACTTCCATGATTGCTAGGAGACTAGCTTTTCTGGGACCTTGTCTAGGTTGAAACCAAGAATGTCAAACGGCTCTAGGCATGCAACCAGTCCAGACACACTGGGGCCCCAACTCCTCATAACTGCTAGGGAAGTGATGTGCCCATGGACTTCGTCCGTGTCCTGCATGCACACCCCACATATGTCAGTGGCAAACCAAACCCACCGCTGGGTTCCTGTGGCAAACCATGCCCACCGCTGGGTTCAAAAACACTCTTCCTGTTTGCAGCATGCCTGACGCTTTTCGAAGATTTAGCGTGTCCTCCTCCATTTTGGCGAGGACGTACCCCACGATCCGATTTTGGCTGTCGACCTCGCACCATTGTTTCGACACGAACATCCACCCTTCGACTGCTCAGGCCGCGGCTGCTACTTGAGGTAGCTGTGGCCAGGAAAGGGCGTGGTACAGGTAATACTTCCTCAGCCCACGGCGACTCACCGAGCGGCATCCGAGAGGTGAGTATTACCGCAAAACTAGCTGATCCGAGAGGCATCTGGTAGTTCTCCGGCAAGCAACACAGATTACCTAGGCCCGGACAAACTGCTCTTGCCCAAAGAATCTGGGGATAACCTCCACTAAATAGGGAAAACCAGGTCAAAAAAGGCCAACTCGCTTTGAACAACTAGGGCTTGGAATGGTCAGATGCTGTTCTCACTTTAGGGGTCGGCCGGTCAATTCACCAACTTGCAGCAGGCTACATGCCTGCATCCCAGGCAGGTCATCGATGGTCGCGGGTCGGATGGAGACCATGCTAAGCTCGTGTGCCGCCTATCGCCCCTTAAACCCACCCGTGGAGCTAATGGCGGCGGAGGCAACATGTCCCAAGCCTCGATGCCCTCTTTCCGAGACTGTTAAGTGGGTGAAGCTTTCGTCGGGGTTGGAGCCCAAAAAACGGGGTGGGGTTCTTTTTGGATTTTCTCAGAACAAAGGAACAGGTACCCTCCAAAAAAAGGCGCGCCCCAATGAGTAGAACCAAGCTGACCTGAAAACAGGACACCTATGGTCACAATCAGGACCCTCTTTCGCCATGCCCGCCGGGGAACTGGGCAAAAAACGGGCTCGCGCATACTGCAGGACCAACACCTTGAACCGAGGTAGCCGACTCCAATTGTACTTTTCTGGAGCTTTCTTCTCATGGATATACCTTCAATCACGGACAAGACCTGAATCAAAGAAGTGTGATGACAAAGCAAACCATGTATCTGACACCGCGCAGTTTTTCCCCAAGGAGGGGGGGAGTACTTGTAGTGTGGCGTTCTGTTGCATCTCCCTGGTGCCTGGCGCGCCGATTTGTCCACACGGGTTCACGAAATTCTGCCCCCCATTCTCCTTGGGGCAACTTGCAGGACACCTGTGCCGAATGGCAGCGCACCAAAGCAGCAAGGGCACACAAACCCGCGCGGCATCTCTCACAAATAGACCCCGCGGCGGCCCCCATGTCAGCATTGAAGCAATGACAAAAACACCATGCAGTGCACAGTCCCTGCAGCAGCATCCCAGAACGATCTAGGATGAACTCCATGTTGATGCCCACAGCCATGATACGTGGAGCCAAAGGGGGCGTGTTCGAGAATACCTCCGCGCAAAGCTAAGCGCTTTGCGACACAAGGACATGGGTGTATCCTCCCTGTGTTTTGGGGTCCCCTTGTTGAGGCTGGTTTAAATTGAAGCCAAAGGACTGTTTGGGGTCCCTCTATGTTGACACGCCCATGTCTGTTCATGAAAATTGCTTCTCCTTCACCAGACAAGCAATCCATGTCTGCGGCCATAGCCGTCTGCTCCCCGGACCTCCCCTGCTTGTGGTACAAACCGTTCTGTAGTGGTTGCTCTCTTTTTGGAGGGGACTGAATATGGCAAGGGGAACGTGGAACCTTTGTTTGATTTGCGGAATTGTGAATTGTTCGGGCAAAGAGGGGAAACAAACGCGGATCTGGGCAATTTGTTCTACAGTTCGCAAACCAGAAGTTAGAAAAGCGCCAAGCAAGGGGTTTTTCATCATTGGTGATCAGGTTAGCTTGGTATGAGTTGGCCGGAACTCTGGGTGCTCCTTTCTTGAGGGTACGCCTTTGGGGAAGTATAAAAAAGCTTACTTGATCAACCTGATGATGTATGAGTGTGTAATAGATATCTACGCATATATGCAATGCAATTTGTGTGTTCATGCGTAAAATCACAACAGTAATCAACTACAGTGTTGCTGTTTCTGTGGTGCCGTTCAGAGTATGTTTGTACAGATGATATATCTATATATATATACATGTATGTGTATATATATATATAGATATCCTAGTTCTGCACCTGAACGCTGGGTCAAGACAGCTGCAGTCTCTTGACGCTTGGCCGCCACCTAAGAGTACCGCAACTTGAGCCAGCGGCGGTGGAACTCGAGCTCGTGCAACCAAGCCACAACTTGCCCTGTTCATTCTTCCCGCCCGGACGCTGGTCTAATGCAGACACAAAGTCCAAAAAAGTTCCTACTGCATCCTGTCATGGAGGCACCCGATTTTCTCCACAATCAGCGCATACGACTCTCCACTCGGCTCCGCTCAAGGGAGCGCATAGCAGTTCCGCTTCACCACACTCACCTGGGCTCAGATCCCCAGAAAAAAAAGCTGGACCTTTCGTGGCGTAGTGGAAACTACCACCAACCGAACTAAAAAGCAACAAACAAACTAAGGAACCGGATGGCTGGTTCAAAGAAAAGCCAAGTCACCACAGCACCGCCAGCCAGAGCGCGAGGCTCACCAGCAAGGAGAACTTCCAGTTGCCGAACATCCGGGGCCACTCCGTCTGAGGCACTGGGCCGCAGGGCGTTATCCGTGGCCCACGGCCCAGCAGGCGGTCCACCCGGTTGGCCAGCCAGTAGGCGATGCACAGCAACACCTCCAGCTCGCCCCCCCGCACCGGGCGCTGCCATTCCTGGCATAAGGCAAGCGCCGGGGATGGAGGGAGGAATAGGTCGTTTCATGCGCGGCTGAAGATGAAACGGCGAAATGATGCCTTCGCAAAGCCTGCCCAGTGTTTTGTGAGTGCCAAACCTAAAGCTGGCCATTGATATGAGTTGCAACGCAACTTGGCGACCAAATGTTTACTGAAGCCCAAGCTCGCAGTTCCACACCGGTTGCCACTAAGCAACGCTTTTGTCTCATGTTTCGCGGTAACCGCCTTAAAGTGGCCCTAGAGGACGAACCTCGATCTCGGTTCCCTGACCGGTTTCCCGGGCAAGGCAACATCTCGGGCACGAAACGGCCTGAGAAGCCAGTGCTTCAAAAGCCAAAAGCCAGTCGGGCTCATGGGTAAACAAGGGAATTCCCACCAATCCAAGCTGAGAAGAACAACAAATCCGACTTTGGATCAAAGGCTCAATTGTTGCCTAGGATTGCAACGTTTCGTCAACCCCTCGCAGGCTACGTGGTTCTTAGTCGGCCAAGGATTTTTCCTTTTGGGTGACTCAACGTAATGGAGGGGAACTTTGCCATCTGCGACCCCTCTGAAAAAAAATTGCTCACGTTTTGTGGGTGCAATTCGGAGAATGCGCTGTTTTCCTTACTCGTTCAGTTGTCAAGTCTCATGGGGTTGTCTTCAGCTTCCCTCCATTTGGTGGTGTGGAGGTTAGGCTGTGATTTTCCATTCACCCTCAACAAGGCAGATAATTCCGAACCCCAAACCACCAATCCAAACCACCAAATGTAAGGGAAACCTGATCCAATGTGGTTTCCTGGCTGCATTTGGGCTCTTGAAGAAACCAACCGATCAAACGTCAACTTTAGAAACCTTGACGGTTTTCGCAACCTCAACAAAAAAGGCACCTGGACACAACAAAACCCTGAAACAAATATGTGTAGCTCGAGGGTCAAGGCAGTCATAAAATAATGGCCAACCGATTAGGCCCAAACTCTCGGGCGCGCAATGGTCACAAAGCTCTTGCGCGCCTAAAACGCGGCGCGAAAAGAAGTGCGCCGCCCGGTAAATGGAATGAAACTAATCTAAACAAGTGGCTCAGATGTCGCTTCCTTTGGGCCGAGGCGCCGAGCCAACGAACTCCGCCGCCGCACTCAGCGAGTTCGTCGCCGGCGGCCCGGCGCCGACAGAAGCCGAGGCTGCGGGCGGCGCCGGCGCGGCGGGCGACACCTGCACTCGTCGAGCCCTGAGAAAAGCGACGCGTTTGACGGGGACAAATGTGGATGTCTCTGATTTTTAGGGTGACATTTTTCTTTGTGGCATAAAGGAAACCAAGAGGAAAACAATACATTTGGGTCCAAGGACATGTGGGGTTGCCCAAATCAAGGAAAATGACTTGGGTCTGGACGCGAAATCGAACGAAACCTCACCTGGCCCAACTCCTGAAGCACTCGCTCTGCAAATGGCTTGTGGTGCGCGGTGTCCTGCAGCAGGCCCCCCCCCCCCCAAAAAAAAGGAGAAAAAGAAACACGGATGCAGCTGATTTTGGTATGTGTTTTGTTTAAAGCTTGGGCCCCCCAACATGGTGGTGTTGCCCTTGGTTTTCCCTTACAACAAGGTAAGGAGGACGCCGCAGCGCCAGTTGGCGAAGTCTTGCTGAAGGAGCCTACAAATAGGAGCTTCGGGCGGATTCCTCGTCACCCCAAATGTGTGATGCGCGGACTCGCTCGTGGCAGCCAGGGTTTAGAAGGCAACGTTTTGGGCAGAGACTGAGCTGCTAGTCGCGAGCATGCGATGTGAAGCCGTGTGATGTTTGGCCGCCTTTTCTTCCCGTGAGCTTGCCCGACCGCTTGCTTCGGCAACCTGAGCCAGCAACCGTACAACCAGTCTCCAGACATTTTCAGGGACGGGAGAGTTCCCCAAAGGCGCAAGAAACGGCACAGGCATGACGTGGGGTTGTCTCAAAATAGGGAACGGGGTTCCCTTTAAAACCATCTTAAAAGTGCACCCTCAAAAAGACACACCCAAGTGGTCCGCAACAAGCGCCAGCTGGTCGGCCAATATATGGGAAGTCAGGGCTTGCAAATACCGTTGCGATTCCGCACAGAGCATTCGCCATATCTGCTTGGGTGTGGCGAAGCTCCCGTCACGCCTTGCTTGAACTCTGCAAGCCAGTCATCTGAAAACAATCCCCCCCCCTCCCCCGCACAAACAAGCAAAATACAAGGCAACGCAACAAGACGAACGCAAGGCAACGAATCAAAACACAACACAAAACTAGCACACACACACACACACACACACCAAAAAAACAGGAGAAGAGAGACAGCCACCCCCCACCCCACATCTTCGAAGTCCCGCCCTCCCGCAATGCCATCGCCACATGGGTGTGGCTCAAAATGAAACAGGAGGGGTTACGCAGGTTTCGGTCCATGCTTCCTCTTACCAGGGTTCCATTTTGGTACCGTTTTTTTGGAGCCACTGCCACACCGTCGCCTCCAGCGCCGGCAAACCCTCGAACTGCGGGGCGTGCTGCAGCTGCCGCGAGATCGCCGCCAGCAGCGGCTGCAGCTCCTTACGACGATCCAACCCCGGTGGAGCTATGGACCTGTGGCGTTCTTGGGATGGCGGTGCTTGCTTTTTCTGTGGTGTGTGGGCCCGTGTCACATATCAAAGAAAATGTGTTATCCTCTTCTTATTTTGCAGCCAGACAGAGAAAGAAAAAAAACTGACCAAGCCATGTTGCCCTTTGCCGCTTGCAACGCGTGCTGACCGGACTTTGGCCATGACTGTCGGGACAGACCGACCCCAATGCCATCAAGAACATGGTTCCCTTCCTGGGAAGACCCGCTATAAGGGGCAGTGTGGGCTGGGGCGTCCAGGACCCAACTCCATTTTCTAGTCCCCATTGAAGGGAAAAACCCAGCCATAAATGGACTTCCAGGGGTCACCCCCCTCCCCCAATTCCCTTTTTAGGGGGGTGGGGATATGAAATCCTGGTGGCGGTTTTGTAAAACCTCCTAGAGGCATCGCAACTTCGTAGCATCGCGTTTTCGAAAAACGCCAAAGCGATCGCCGGATCCCGTGCTTCCTTGGTTGCTGCTGAACCCTCCACAAAAAGTTGTTCACTTTTGGTGGGTCCAATTCGGAAGTTCCACAAAGTCCACCAAACAGTCATTCAGTCCAAAGATCCGTTACCAAACAGCTATAAGGTTAGGTGACAAAATGGAAAAATAAGCATGGTTCGGCTCAACAACCCCTGCTTGATTTGGCCATGGGTCAACAACCCGTAATTACCCCAGTGAACATCCCCACTCAAATAGGCTAAAATGGGACCCCAAAATGGTACCATTGGCTTTGACCCACTGCCATTTATTAGGTAAACCAAAAAACCGGATCACTCCCTCAGCTTCCGGAGAGGCACCACCACGGAGGCGGAGGAGAGCAGCGCCGCCCAGACCACCGCAATGGCCGTGGCCAGCTGGGGCCTGGCGCGGTGCTGGCCGCAGGACGTTACCATGATCAAAGCCACCCCCCAAAAGTGGCACAGCCTTTATTCCCTTGGTTTCCCTTCTTGACAACCAGCCAAAGGGCCAAAGGGGGGGGGGGTAATGTTGACCCAGGATTTTCATAAACCCGTCCCTTGACAACCAGCCAAAGGGCCAAAGGGGGGGGGGAAAATTGGCCCAGGATTTTCATAAACCCGTCCCTTGACAACCAGCCAAAGGGCCAAAGGGGGGGGGGAATAATATTGGCCCAGGATTTTCATAAACCCGTCCCTTGACAACCAGCCAAGGGGCCAAAGGGGGGAGGGGGGGGGGGTAGTATTGGCCCAGGATTTTCATAAACCCGTCCCTTGACAACCAGCCAAAGGGCCAAAGGGGGGGGGGGGGGTAGTATTGGCCCAGGATTTTCATAAACCCGTCCCTTTGACAACCAGCCAAAGGGCCAAAGGGGGGGGGGGGTAATATTGGCCCAGGATTTTCATAAACCCGTCCCTTGACAACCAGCCAAAGGGCCAAAGGGGGGGGTAATATGGTAAAATGGGTGGTGCACCTACCCCAAAATGGTACCATTGGTTTTGACCCACAGCCATATGGGGATTTGACTTCATCAAGATGCCGGCTTCTTCATATGGCACCCGGTTCCTAAAACTTGGGCCTGAGCTGGCCATGGTCGAAGAGCGGGAGCATCGGGAGCTCCAACGCCACCCGGTCCTGAATTGGTCGCTGATTTCTCTCTTTGTCGTTTGGGGGAGTCGATAAAACATGGGTGCTGGATGCTGTTTATCTGTCTTCTTCTTTTTTTCTCGGAAATCCCATTTTTGGTCAGCTTGGAGGAAAAACAAGGATTTCAACCAATTTGGGTGTCTTAAATTAGGTACCCAAAAAATGGTTAGCGTCCTCGTGGTTTAAAACCACCCTCAAAAGCAATGAGACACACACACACACACACAAATGAACCATGAAGAAGCTTCGGAAGGTTGCTTCGGCTGCAAAAAAATAGGATGGCCCATCCATTGAAAAGGAGGAATTGATTCTCTTTGACCGGAGAGTCACATCGGCATGAATGTCTATACACACATGTACATACATGGTATGCATATACATATGGCATATACATACCTTGTGAAAGACATACGAACGTATATACCTATATATAGATATCAATACATTTGTATAGTTCATAGAGGGACTGAGTCATGAATCGTCGTGCCCATTTGCGGTTGATGGGCACGTACATGGGGGACTCCCAGCTCCCCTGACCAAACACACAGCGGAAGCATGGATAGATGCCTCCAGCCCCGAGAGAGACCTTTGGTTCTCCTGCGCTTTGGTCTAGGTCCTCCAGATTTGAGAGGTTGGAATAAGGGTACTCGATGTTTTTTTCTGTTTAGTCTATTTTAGTAGGGGAAGCCTCCCAACCAAAAAAGGGCTTAAAAACTTGGTTGACGTTGGAAGGGGAGCAACAATTCTCAAATTTTAGCAGTTCAGTGGTTGGATTTCAACCACTAAACCACAATTTGCGCAAAAATGTTTCAACTGTTTCCCAACAACAACCATGTAACCTCCACACCTCCCAAAGTGTCATAGTGGTAATTACTTCATGGCCCAACCCCCTTCCCCATAGGTGTCCTTTTTGGGAAAATGGCCGTGGTAATTGATGGAAAAGGGCACTGGGAAACCTAGTGGCTCAGCCAGCACAGAAGTGTCAGATTCGGCCTTCGGAGCCGATCCGGCCGTATAGCCGCGGCCATGCCCGAAACCCTAGCACTGCAGTCCGGCATGTTGAGCAACCTCCGGGTGGGTTTCCCTCGTTTGCGATCCGTCTCAACCCAAACAGCTGCCTCCATTTGCTGAGAAGTCCCCTAGGAAACAATGAGAAAATATGTGCCCAGTGGGGAAAGCGATTCCCTAAAAAAAAGAACTTTAACCAAATGGGCGCTGTCCGATTTCAGGAGTGAAAACCCCGCCGAAACGAAACCCGAAAGGCGTCCTGCAAGAAGACGCCGGGCTCTATTGCCTGGCCCTGCAGCACCTGGGGCATCGCCACATCCATTTTGCGGCTAGGGAGTGGAGGGGCCGGCTCTGGAAACCAAGGTAGAACCCATTTGATCCCGAGGTCCCATTTGTTTTTGCGGATGGCTGGCTCTTTCTTTGAGGGCAACCCCCCTTTTGTTCGTGCTTTGAATGGGAAACCAGAAGGAAAACCACCTCTTGGTTTTTCTTTGGGGGGCAGGGTCCCTAAGAACATGTGCACATATGTTGCAAAGGAACGCCGTGGTGCTTTGAATCGATGCCACTGACAGACAATGTCCCTTTTAACAGGCTGGGCCAGGGAAATGATCTGCCTGGGTGCCCTCATGGGGCATGTGACCTCATCTCACTTCCTGAGTGGACGTGCCAGAGAAAGTCTAAACTTGTTGCTTGCCACTAAAATGATCTTCCCAAAACTCGGTTGCGAAATCTGCTCCCCTGCTAAAAGTTTACCTTTAGTGGTTTAATACGGAAACCCCATTAGTTGGCAAAAAGTTAAAGTCCTAACATCCAAGCAAAATGCACCAAAGAAAAGTATAAAGTCCACGAACTCAGGAAGTGAGTAATTGGCGCTTGTGCTTTTTCAAGGCAAGATTTGCAAAGCCTCGCCGGGCCCCGATCAAATCGAAGGTATTTTCGCTGATATTCTGGAGAACCAAAAACCACACGCGCACGTGGGTGCGAGGTCTTCAATGCGCCGCGACAAATTTCGACTCACAGGTCTCTGGACATGACCTAGTCTCCATGACCCTTAAAAAATAAGTCAAAGACCCCATTATTTTTGGTGACCAACCATCTTTTAAGGGTCATGGCGCCACATGTCTACAATGCAGCTCCTCAAGCTTGGAGCCAGCGTCATGAAGCTGACTGGAGGTCCGGGCATGTTTCAAGGCACAGGGACCCTCTGCTGGAGTCCAAAGCCCAGTTGTGCGCCACCTTCGTACGCCACCCGTCCACATAAGTTGCATGGCCGAAGGATTCGGCAAACCGACAAGAAGACAAAGCTGGGCGACGAAAAAGAGACATGTCCCTTTCGCCCTGATTATACACCTGAACATTGCCTTGTACATGGTGGTTTCCCTTTATTTTGGTGTTGAAAAAGCCTCATGTTTCAAATGGTTGCGACCTGAATTTCTTTTAAGGAGCCCTGCAAAAAGGGAGCCACCTATGAAGTTGGGCAAGCAAAAGCTCGCCAAAAAAAATCCACAGTTTCAGCGAAGCTAAGGCCAACAAACAAGAGAGCCACCTAGATGCCTCAAGAAAACGGGACGCATGGATTACTATCCATCGCCGCCTGGAGCAGCAAGTGGTCGCTGAAGCAAAGGAGCGCCTGCCCCAGGGCCTGGCCAAGGGCCGGATGCGCATCCGGGCGGTGGGCGCGAGCGGCGTCTCCGCCGGTGTTTCGAAAACTTTTTTCGGCACCGGAGGGGGTTGGGCCGGTTCCTTGCATTTGGTTAAGAATTCTGGAAAAATATAATAATATGGCCGTGGGTCAAAAAATGGTTGAGGAAACATAAGCTTTGATAGTTGAGGACCCGTCTGAGCAATTAAAATGAATGTCAAGTTTGAGCATAAGGAATGAGCAGTAGCTTCCAGTTGGTGAAGACCCCCGGAAAAAAAAAAGTCCAGTAGTGAGATCGATTCCCTTTAAAACCAACAGGGTAAAAAATATATATATATATATATTCATTTCAGCGAATGGAAGTTTAGAGGCAGAGGACGGTGTTATTTTCGGGTTTCCCTTACAAGCTACCCGGACCCTCCAAGTTCCAACCGTAAAAATGAGTGCCGCTGAGGTTGTTCAAACTCAATGACTAAAAGTCCAGGATCTCAATGAGGATTTTTGGAACTTGGGGGGAAGCTCTTCGGAAGAAAAAAAAAAAACGGGGGGGGGGGGAACAAAACATGTCTTGGGTTCCATGTTCATGAAGAGGGTCACGCATGTCTTTGTGTGCCATTTCGGGACTGTCGGCCGAGAGATGGGCGGGCCTTTCCCCTAAAGGGTGAGAGTCAACCGGCGGGGTCCGAAAATGGACCGGCTGAACCTGATGCAATTTCCCAGCTGAATGAATGATTCCTATGAATATGCGTCCCCATCCTCGAGAAAACTCGAGAGCTCTCCAGTTCAAGTCGGATAAGTTGCAACATCGAAAAGCACATTCACATTGCAAATTCAGATGTGAAAAGCAATGCGAAAGACACTCTACCTTGCCGACAACAAAACTGTTTCTGACGGCGCCTGGCAAAGAGAAGCCCGTTTAAAGAAGACCCCCTGGGACTATTTCAAACAAGACGCCCTGCAAATTGTGTCGGGGAAGTGATGCATAGATGAACCTGTGGGAGAACCAAAGGGGGCTTGCTGGAGCGCCACAAGTGCTGGTCAAAACCGCACAGTTCGAGGCGGTGTTGCGCTAATGGACCTTACAAAGCTGTAGGTTTCGACAATTTGTCCATTTTGAGTGGGTCACGAAGTCATAAAAAAGGAAGGGCGGCAGATCCATCGCTGGACCACTTGCCTGAACCCTGAGGGCGGGCGGGGAAGGGGGTTGGTTGGGCTGCTGAAAAAACAGCTGTTCCTTGCCCTGAACTTGTGATTTCAGGGTTCCAGACTTAAGCCCAAGGGTTTTTTCTTGGGGAAACCAACCACCCTGGGTTTCAATCTACTTTGGGGCAGTCAAAAAATGGGTTCCCCTGCGTGATTGGGCGGAACTGGGGGCTTCTCCAGCTCAAGGGGACAGCAAATAAGGGGTACCTTTGCCGTCCCAAGGAAAAAGGAGGACTGAAACCAAGTTGATCGCTTTATCCTGTTTGCTCTCAGGGGATGGGGTTGGGAATGGACCCAAGGATGGCCTGGGAAACGTCATTCCCTCAGGGACGCTAATGGGCACCCTGCATTGAGAAAACTTGATTTTGATCGGGGGTGTCCCCGTTTAGTGGTGATTGATCACTTGAGGGAAACACCCCCAAGGATGGGTGGACGACTGTCCGGGTTCCCACAAAGAACTTCCATTTGGGATCAGACATCCAGTGACGGATTCAAGCTGTCTTTCAAACCAAAAGGAGAGTCATAATGATAACAACAGTTTTTTTGCAGAAGAACACAAAAATAAACAGATTTCAGCTTCTTTGGTTTAAGCAAGTGCAATTCTCCTCCTGAGCCTTTTCCAGCACGCGTCCTTCCCCCTCCTCGCTCCCCCTCCCCCAGGCGCTCGCTGCCTTGAGGGCCTGTACGGCGTTCCGCTGCCGCAGCAGTTGGCTCCCGGAGGGCCCCGGCCCGCTCCACGCGTTCAGCGCCGGCCGCCCGAAGGCCGCCGAAGCCCCGAGGGTGAAGAGGCCTCGCCCCAAAGCGCGCGGCGCCAAGCGCGCGCCGAACAGAAGGAACCCGGAAACCGACCAGAGCCACCAAGCCAAACTCTGTGTTCTCAGCGCCATAGGCATGTTCACCAGATATATATTTTCTATTTTTTAAAAAGACGAAAACGTGGCAACCAAACGGCAAACACCGCAAAACCTGAACCAGCCCCAGCAAACTGCCTCCGCTACCGAATTGGCGCAGGAGGAATCAACCATCTCTAACCGAAAATCCTCTGCCCCGCCCGTGCCACGATCATTTGGTATGGTGTTTGGAGGTAATGCGCAGATATACCACCAAAATCATGCCATAAGCTTGCAAGACAGAGCAAACACAAGAACTTGTATAACCTCCAAAGGCGAAACGCATACAAGTAGTAACCTTGGTTGACGTTGGAAGGGCAGCAAACATTTCAATCTTAGCCGTTCAGTGGGGATGTCCCGCTAAACCACAATAAGAAAAGCGCAACAGGTGTCCCAACGACAACCATGTAACCTCCACACCTCCCAAAGTGGCACAGTGGTAGTTACTTCTCCTGGCCCGAACCCCATCCCTGGCAACCCGCTTGGGGGCCGCAACGGCAACCAACGTCTGAGGCGCTGGTGCGGTCCCAGCCAGCACCCAGGCGGCAGAGCTCCAGGCAGAGCTCCGCATGCAGCGGCAGGCAAAGGAAGGCCTCCAGCAGGAAGTAGGCGCCCTGCAGTTTGAGATCCGAAATCCCATACGTATGGCGGGGGGTTTGGGGGCGGTTTGGGGGGGGGAGTCTGGGATTGTATTGTTAAAGCTCGGTGTGCGCCATTGTTAGGCTTGGTCTTTTTGCTGGCAAGCCACACGCAAGCCGAAGACATTCTGGCGATCTCAAGTGGGTCGGTCTTTTTTGAGGCGAAAGGTACCGAATTTTGTGGGGTGTGTTTTCCCCTTGGCAAACCCAAAGGAAAACCGTTTGGCCATTTTGGGGAGGTCCGAAGAAGAAAACAAACAGATCCGAATCGAATGGGACTCCGCACGCATACTATCCCAAGGACTTCTACTGGGCATTCCGTCTACCATGGGCTGACTTACCCCTTCGGGACCCAGAAATACAGCCTTTGGGGCCATGGCTCAAGACTGAGTGCTGCTCACGAAAATGCTTCCGCAAAGACACCATCCGGCGAATTGGTGCCATGGCAATGCGGGCAGGAGGGTTCCTCCCCCAGTACCTCCATGTTTGTTAGCTCGTTTGGCGGTGAGCTCGCATTAAAATCGCCGAAGGGGCAAATGGGGTGGTGTCCTTGCAGTTTTGAACTGACCCCGTGAGGCCCTGGACCTCGAAACTTTGGCCAAAGCGGCATTCTCCAAAATCGCCTCACTGAAATGGTCGCGGAAACTGACTCCATGCAGCCACGCTCAAAGTTACCCCGAGCATACTTTTCCCCAAGGCAAATTCGGACATCGAAGTGAAACCGCATGAAGGGGCCCCGAGGGCGCTTTCGAAGAGCTTCGGGCCATGCCAGAAATCAAACATCATGCACTATGTTGATACCTCCTTTTGCTTAAGTGCCCTGAAGAGTACATACATACATTTCCAGTAAAACCAACAGGGCGAAAACAAAAACAGACACATTCTTACGCGAATGGAAGGATATGAGCATCGGTTTGAAGTTGGCGGGCGACTTGGCCCCAACTGTTGGACCAAAAGTCCGGTGTTCTCGCACATCCGATTCGCTCCGTGTGGCTCCAAACGATTGCCTAGCTTTCCTAGCTTACCCAGGTCGCCCAGATCGCTCCGTGAGCTCACCGTTTCATCCAGAGAAAAGTATGGCATGTTATACTAGGTCCTCCAGATTTGAGAGGTTAGAATCAGTTGGTACCTTTTTTTCCTGTAGTCCTCCCCAAACAAAAGGGTAAAAGGGCACAACTCTAGTGGGGGTACCTAGTATATCATCGCAGATGCCCAGTGGATTTCCATCATCCTTTTGAAAGGAAAACCCTTCCCCAAAACAAAGGCCAAAAAGGGCGGAAGCCACTGGGCAACAGAGTCATATTGGGACCCCGGAAAATTTGCCGTCCGTTGCTCGGAGTTGGGCGGCATGGAAGTTTGCAGGTCCTCCCCCCTCTTTACTCACTCGCAGTCACAATTTCACTCATAGAGCCGAGTGAACTGCAAGACTTCACCAAGATCCCCCCCCCAAAAAAAAGAAGGAAAAGAGTTCACTAAGATACCCCACCCCAGAATTGAGGCCTGGAAGCCACCGATGTAGTTCCTGGCGTCAGCGGTCTGGGCATATTGCCGGGCTTTTACGCCGAATCATGCACCCTCCCTCCAATCATGGAAGTTGACAAGGTTGAGGGCTACCCGGCTACTCTCCTTTGGGTGAAGCCCAGTGTTCGCTTCCATGGTTGATGGAAAGTAAAACATGCGCACCGTAGGTGTGGTTGTTGCCAGGCTTGATATACACGCCGCAATCCGTCCCCAAGTCTGCAAGGACTTCTTCGTCTTTTTTTGACCTGTCGCCCCCTGAAGGGCCTTGCGCCGCCAGGGGACCGCCGGAAAGGTGGGGGGATTCCAACTAGGTCCTCCAGTAGAGACTCGTTAGAATAAGGGTACCCTTTTTTTTGGAGCATCGGCTGCGCTTTGCCGTTGAACATGCTGTTGGTACAGCAAAACAAGCCTTTGAGGGCCATTGGCATCCAAGAGGGCATGCTTCCTGGAGTTCACATCACGTATGCAACAACGTGCTTCAATCGATCTTTCCAAGCATTTGTGTACAGTAGGGGACCTAGCCAAGGTCACTGCAATTGCCTGACATTCTCGTGAAGGACATGTCCCTTTTATCAATCCAACCCTACCCCTTGAAGGTCCCTGACGTCCCAAACCCTCTGAACGATGAAGCTAAAATTGAAACTGCTCGACAAAATCAGCCAACAAAAAACACAAACACCCCCCTTGCTGCTGCTCAGCAACAAAAAAGAGAAATTAAATGACCCCTATAAACCATGTTTTATGGCTTCCTAGGGAAGCCCAAAAGGTTCATTCCATTGCTCACTCCCTACCTATCGCACCAAAAAAAAAGCCTTGGGAAAGTCCGCCCAAAAACAATAACGAAAACAGTTGGAAACACCGCAAAAAAAGAAGAAGAAAATAACGACCACGCCAGACCCCCCCCCCTTCCCCCCCCCCCCGAATTTTCCTCCAGGAGAGCGCGTCCCCGTCCCCCGGCACCAGCTGCGCCAGCTGCGCGGCCGCCGTGGCCGCCGTGAGATTCGCCGAGGTGAGCCCCGCCGCGGCCGCGAGGCGCGTGGTGGCGCCCAGCGAGGAGGCTGCCGCCTCCTCCACATACCTCGGGTCTCGAGTCGAATCGGGGGGGGCTGGATGTCTTTTGAGTTGGTACCCCGTTTTTAGTGGTAAGAACCAACTAGGTCCTCGAGTAGAGAGGTTAGAATAAGGCTACCTACTTTTTTCTTTTTGGTCTATTTTGGTAGGCGAACCCTCCCCCAAAAGGGACCTAGCAAACCAGAAAGGGTCCATGAGCATCCGAAACAAATCCCACCCATTTGCAAGATCTTGGCGTCAAAATGGGCTTGGACCCTGAATCTGCGGCGCAAAAGCTGTGGTTGGTCTTAAAGGATTTTTTGGAAACCCATATGTGCTGTACGGCTACCGACCCAAAAACAATATGACCGTACGCGAAAATATCCAAATACGAGTTCCGTCCGCGTTTCAGCTTTGAGAATTGTAGAAGAATCGGGACCAGTTACCCCGAAATTCACAGGCAAGCAGCCATTTCGCCCAGGTGTATTTTTCCCCTTTTCCATTTTTGGGAATGGTTTCCCTCAAAACCAACCACACCTGAGGTGCCACCTACCCCAAACAAAAAACAACAAAGCGCGACCAAAACCCTTCCCTAGGCCGGCCCCAAGCTCGACCCAAGCCAACCCACCAGCACTTGTTGCTTGGGTCTTTGGTTGGTTTAGACGGAAGCCCCAAATCTACCCACCATTTCTGTCCGGGTCCCGCTATTTGAACACGCAGCCCTTTCGGACCAGGCTTCAAAGTGACAAAGTCCTTCGAATGCCCCATTCTCCGAAGAAGACACACCCCTATCCCGGGTGGATACGAAACCCTTGTTTCTGATGACTCCCTTGCAAACACCAGCAAACGTTATGGCTTCAATCATGGCTTGAACAACCAGGTCCTCCGGTAGAGAGGTTAGAAGAAGTTGGTACCCTTTTTCCTGCAGTCTATTTTAGTAGGGAAACCCTCCCCACAAAAAGGGGCGAGAAGGGCACTGGGGGGACCTAGTCAAGATGGATTTCGTCTCGTCCAACCGTATGGACCTTCCGACGAGTAGCTCTTTGGGCACCAGTGGCGTCACCTATCGCATGCTTCGGCTTCGGCTTTCTCGGTGGTTCAAATGGCCGGAGGCCGGGGATAGGGAGCCCCAGAAATTGAAGGAACCACCCCAGGCCGTCCTGGGTCCTGGGTCCTTTTTCTGGAAACACCCTTCAAAAACCAGGAAGAGTCCTGGTTGCCTTCCTTTTTCTGCGGCTTGCCGGGGAGCCGCTAAAGTTGGCTTCGCAGGTTTCACCACGAACCCGACTCGTTTGTTGGGGATGCGAATTCCCATTTTGCGAGACCTCTATCCAAGGTAACCTGCCTTGAATGGAAGCTGACGGCAGGTCTCGTTTGATGTTCCGTACCCGCCCCCCAAACAAAAGAAAAGTGTGTATGTGTATATATATATATATATATAACTGAACATGCACTTCTGTTTGGGCCCAGAAACCAAAGATTGCAATAAACAGCCCGCTTCTCTCTCGAAATTCCAATTCTCGTCGGCTGGGGATGAATCTGGATTGCCGACATCAGTGGCTCCACCAATTCTTCCGGCGCCTGCTGTGCGTCAAATAAGCAAAACGGTGAGCGACAAAAGTCTAGCCCAGCGTTTTCCCTCAGCAAGCCTTGAGGTTTGCCGAAAACTGATTCAGACCCTGAAGCGCATCCCTTTGTAGATGATCTATTCTTGAGGGCCGCGTGGAATTCCGAGTTTTACCTAGGAAGCCCGGCGGAGGAAGCAATTCGTCGAAGTGGGAACTTCTTGCGAACAGGCTGAGAAGATGGGACTGCATTTAACCCAGAACCAATCGGAAGTCACTGGAAATATCTGCGGAAGTGAGATCGTTTCCGACCACCAAACAATTGACATTACATGAGACTCTTGTTCACAGCATCATTCTGAAACTCACACCTGGCAGCTGTCTTGACCGTCCAAACGCACTCCAACAACGCCGACGAGTGCTCGATCCTGCTCCCTAATGCGCACAAATCCAGGCCACCAGACCCACTATTATGTTTTATTATATATTTTGAAAAAAAAAAAAAAAAAAAAAAAAAAAAAAAAAACTCCCCTTCCCCCCTGGTCCTCTTCCAAGACACCGACATACGAGCCCTGGCTCTCCCCCCCCTATTTCCCCCGCCGCCCCCCCGCCCCGCCCCGCCCGCCCCGCCCGCCTCCCCAATCTCCGGCTCTAGGCCCAGAAGCGCCACGTCCACCGGGCGGTTCCCCGAGGCCGCGCTCGGCTTCGGAGGCTCCAAGCGAGGCTCCGGCGGGCGCAGGGACTGGTACCACTCGTGCAACCGCCGGGCCTGCGGCGGTTAAAAAGACGCGCCCGGAGGCCCGGAGGGCGCCATGCCTGGAGGAAGCGGAGGCTGATGGATTGAGATGGGCTGGGCTGGACTTGAACTGGTTCTGCCTTGCATTGATCTGGATTGGGACTGGCTCAGGCCAGTAGGGACGGCAAGCAGGCAGCAAAGCCCCCCACAGCGGGAAAATAAAGGAAGATGCTCCTCTTGCAGTAACCCCCGAGCTGCCTCATTTGCATCACGGCGCCTTCACTCGGACATGTCACTTCTTGAGCAAATCATGGTAGAGAACAAAGGGGGCCAGAACAACACATCTGCTAGATCCTCCAGTAGAGAGGTTAAAATAAGGGTACCAACTTTTTTCTGCTGTCTATTTTAGAGGAACCCTCCGAACCACAAAAAAGGGGTTAACAAGAGCACCGATCGCTTGGGGACCTAGTCAGGCCCTTGCCTTCCAAGGCTGCAGCAGGATCAGCCAGAGCCGCGTGAGAGAGGTCACTGCCTCCAGCCCCACCTGAACCGAAGCGCGGGCCGAACCAAGAAAGCCAAGCAAAAAAGTAAAGAAGTAAAGAAGTAAAGAAGTAAAGAAGTAAAGAAGTAAAGAAGTAAAGAAGTAAAGAAGTAAAGAAGTAAAGAAGTAAAGAAGTAAAGGGGAAAATGAAAGAGAAGGAGAAAGAGCCAGAAGACAAGGAACAGGAGTAGAAAGAAGCAGGAAGAGAACATTTAGAGGGTGAATGGAAAAGCATCCCGTAGCCGCCAAACCATAAACCCAAACCACAAAAGAAGGACTGACCGAGGAAAATACAGGCATCTGGCCCTGACCCCATTGGCTTGTCACATCAACTACCAGTAGAGCCGACGAAGCCGGTGGGTGGAGGATTCAAAATTAAAGGACCTAGAGTTATCTTGTTCGTTTGTGTTTCTTGCTGTTGCTCAATTCGTTATATTATCTCTCTCGCTCTGTCTCTTGTTTGTTGTTTTGTTTAATATATTTATCTGGTTATCTTCTCTCTCTCCCCCCCTCTCTCTCTCTCTCTCTCTCTCTCTCTCTCTCTCTCTCTCTCTCTCTTTTATTTTTGTTCATCTTTCGTTCTTTGTTTATTGTTTCTTTGTGTATGTCGTTCTTTCTTCTCGTCTTCCTTCCTTCCTTCCTTCCTTCCTTTCTTTCTTTCTTTCTTTCTTTCTTTCTTTCTTTGTTTCTTTCTCTCTTTGCTTTCTTTCTTCATTTGCTGTCTGTATTTGCCTTCTTTCGTTGCTTTGTTTCCTCTTTGTATTTATTTCTTTCTGTCTTGTTTCTTTCTTTCCTTCTTTGCTTTCGTGTTTGTTGTCTTTCTTTCTCGCTTTCTTGCTCTTTCTCTCCTTCCTCTCGCTCTCTCGTGCTGTCTTCCACATATTGATGTACCTAGTCTCGAGTTCTATCTATCAACTTTCCAACCGCTTATCTTTCTGCTGATCTATCTGTCTGCCTGTGGTGGGAGGACCGAAGGCTTGAACAAGACATGGCGGCAACATGCGTTCGAGCCACCGTTGTTCTCTTTACGCATACTACTATTAACATTGCTCTCCGCAAACTAGTGTCGCTAAAAGCGCGTGTGTCCCTGCCAACGGTCTCGGTCCCGAATGCAGTTGATTTCCGTGTGGCTTCCCTCGAAAGCAATACCAACAACAGGGCTCCCAATTTTCAGAAACATCCAAGTGCTTCTACACCAGGCGATGTATTTTAGCAAGAAGCAGTTCCATGCGCATCAACTCCTCAAGACAGGAGGCGGGGGAAAGACTATGTTCGGCATCCGTTGAGGCCTAATCACAATCCGTAATCCGCTGAATCCTTGTTCTGCTTTGGCTGGCAACCTTCTTAATCCACAATCCGCGCTGCAATGTGTGACTTCAAACCTTATGCTGGGGCGTTAAAATCCCAGTCCAAGCCGTAAACTGTATAATCCGCAATGCGCTAATCATGGGGAATGTGCGTTGAACAAACTAAGAAACTGAACTCCCCCCACCACCCAGTAAAAAAATGGCAGGTTTCCTTAAAAGCTCCCTTTTGTTCAAGGCTTGCCCTCAGAAACCCCAACAAATCCTAAAACAGTCCCACACAGCCTGCAAACTGGGAGAGGCCCCAATCCGCCAATCACTGAGATTGTGCTTCAAAACAAGCACAAGGAAGCAAAAAAACAAGAACAACAAACACATTCCCCCCCCCCTGAAGCAAAAAAACAAAGCAGGGGGGAGCAAAGAAAACATGCAACTTCCCCCCCCCCTCCCCACTTTCATCGCCGGCTGCTTGATCCCTTGGCGCCTCCTTTTGGCCCTGCAGCTTCTGCAGCAGCTCCCGCAGCATCAGCACCACGCCGGGCCCCAGCAGCGCCAGCTCCCGCGTGACCCGCGCCCGGCCCGCGCCGCCTTTGCCCGGACCAGCGAACATCAGCCGCTCCGCCGTCTCCTGCGGAAGGCGTCTGGCGGAGGTCGCCGGGGCTGGGATCGCCGGGTGGTTTTTATTTTGGGCGGAAGCCCCGGAAAACTTTTTTAAAAAATGGTGTGAATGTGCGAGGGGGGCCCTGTTTCTTTTTTGTCTCCTCTTTTTTCAAATCAACAAGTATATTCTGGGGGTGTGATGTTTTTTGTTGGATGGAACCTGCTTGGAGGATCAGTTTACTTGCTGGCTCGGTAGGCAGGGAATGAGACATGAAATGATCCATTCCAAAAACCTTCCCCCGCTGCTTTCAGGGAATCCCAACAAGTTCATTCCGAACACGCTGGGAGTCATTCCCTGCTGAGCACCAGCTAGGTGAATCGTCAAGTATACCAGCATAGAACTCAGATAGCGGAACTCATGCGGAAACCCCGCAACAGGGCGCTACCTAGGGACGATTTCGCAATCGGACCCGCGGTTTGGCTTCTTGGTTTCCCGAACCAAGCCCCCAATAAATCGCACACGCAAAAAAGGACGCCGAGAAGGAACTCCTCGTAGATGACCATCCCTGATAGCCCCCAAGCAAATGGATCTTTTGGACCATGGCACAAAGGAGAGGAACAACTTCCGTTTGGTTAAGGCCCCAGGAAGAACTAAAAATATGTCCATTTGATAAACTCCGTTTAAAACCAACAAGGGAAATTGAAAAAAATGAATAAACAACAAAAACTCAAAGCAACTGGAAGACCACCAAAAAAAAGCTGCCCGCGTTTTTCGATGGCTCCTCGCAGCCCTGGCGCAGGCAGGGGTTGGCCAGCACGTGCAGCAACACTAGCCTGGCACTGTGCAACACCGGCGCCTGCAGGCGCGCGTCTGGCAGGCACTTCAACACCGAGGCAGCAGAAGAGAAGGGCCGCTGTACCTGGCTGCTTTAAGCTCCCAGTTCGTTGCTTTTTGGTGAAAATATCTCTGTTTCCCACTAAAACAAAAACGTGCACGTTGCTTTTTGGAGAAATGTCCGTTTTCCCCACTTTTCAGCCAACAAAAACCTGCAACCACCAGCGGTTTGCCCGCTCACTAACCAAGAAAAAGGCTTGAAACCATACAGGCTTTTGTTGAACATGCGCTTTCCCACTTGCTGTTTGCTGGCCAGTGAGAAAACACCGTTTGTTGAAGAAAAGTTGATTGCATGCGTTTTGCCTTGGAGTGGGAAAGCACGCATTTTTCCAAGAAGGAGGCTTGCATGTGGCTTGGCTGGTTACTGGAAAACACACATGTTCCCACGCAAACTTTGAGTTGTTTCCATTTGTTTGGCTGGTTCGTGGCCAAACAAAGTCCCAACATGTGAGGGGCTCATCCAAGCAACTGGCAGCCAAGGCACGATCAGGAACTCGTGCACCAGGCGGGTGAAGAAGAGGGAGCAGTGCGACTCCTGTGCTCGAGCCACCTCAGGGACAAGAGAGAAGAGCAAAGTGAAGTGACTAGCGTGTGAAAGGGAAAACCAACTTTTCATGCCCATGCCCCTCGCGCGCCTCGTATTGCCGGTGGGGCAGATACGCGTGCAGATGCGCCAGCAGAAGGCGCTCGAAGGTGGCGCTCAACGTCCCAGGCCTCGCCCTTGCGCCGCTTGCGCCGCCGGAAGCGCCGCCGCCGAGCGCCGAAGAAGCGCCGGAAGAGGCGCCGCTCCAGGCGGCGGAGGTTGAAGCGCCCATCGCCATGCCGGTGCTGCCGGAGGTGCCTCGCACCAAAGGCTGATCAAGACTAGAGAGCATTGCCTGGGTTCAAAAATTGGGGGGATGATCCCTGACAAGTTCAGAACGTGTGACTCGAGAACATCCCCTAGCTCGCAGAACCTTGATGGATTTTGAACGACCCGCATGGGTGGCTCGTCTTTTGCCAGGGTGCCCGCTTTCGGAATGATTCTAAAAGGAAACCAAGGCAACCAAACCGAGAACCACCAGGCCCCGGGTCTAAAACCAGACACTTCTGGACTGCTTCCCATCTCCGGCCTGTCTTGGGCGGTAAAGGCGGCTCGGCCACCACATAGTACACCAAGGTGCACAGCATGAACTCCCGGGCGGTCAAGGCCAAGCCCTAGATCCGTTGGCCGGAACCGCAGAACTGGTTGATTGAAAGGGGGTGTCCCTTTGCAGCGGGGATTCGGATTCAGACCACCTTTGGGGGGATCCCAAAGAAAGGCTCCACGAGCGTGCCGAAAGGACCTGGAACGAATCCATACGCCGAGCTTGGCACCAGAGCTGTCGCTTGGTGCCGGCCATTTGGAACACCAAAAAGCAAGGGGTTGGCTGCCGAAGCCTAAAAGCCCATACTGTGGATGGACGAAATCCTGCACCACGTAAAAATCCCTGGAGATTGATACGATTCCCCCGTATGGCTTCAAAGTGGCGCGAAATGGATTTTGTCCATCCACAGTCGGGGGGCCGCTTGGTGCCGGCCATTTTGAACACCAAAAAGCAAGGGGTTGGCTGCCAAAGCCTAAAAGCCCATACTGTGGATGGACGAAATCCTGCACCACGTAAAAAACCCTGGAGATTGATGCGATTCCCCCGTATGGTTTCAAAGTGGCGCGAAATGGATTTTGTCCCTCCACAGTAGGGGGGGTGAAGTCAAAGTTGGGGGGACGGGCGCCCTCCGCGTTGGCTTTCGCCTCCAGGTCTCCGCTGGCTTTCGCCAGGCGCTCGGGGCCCAGGAGCGCCACCAGGGAGTTGTTCAGGTCCTGCACGAGCGCGAGCGCTCCGCGCTCCGCGCTCCGAAAATCCGCGGGTTTTTGTTGTGTCTTTCTTTTGCTGCTTTGTCTCTTTTGTTGTTGTTCTTTTTGTTTGCTTTGTCTCTTTTGTTTTCTTTTTTCGTGTTCTTTTCTTTTTTGGGACGGGTTCGGACACCCATTTGCTAGTTTTCAGGAAGGTCCACCTGGCATCCACTTGTCTTTTTCTTTGCCTTGCTTTGTGTGTTTTGCTCCCTGGGGGTTGGGACACCCCCCCATTCCAGTGTTCAGGAGGGCAACCCCCTCTTCAAGTATAGTTCCCTTGAGGACCCCCAAGCTCCAGTTTTCGGGAAAGTGCACCCCCCCCCAGGGGTACGGTGAGGGATTCAAGCGGGTCTTGATCATGATGAGTGTAAAAGTTAGATCATGTTTAAGCGGACCCTTTGGTGGTTCGTTTTGAGCGGGGCAACAATGGAACAAGGGGGTGACCATTGTTAGGGTGGGCTCGTCATTTCGACCGCACACCTTTAAAACCAAGGGTAACAAGGGACGACCCACCCAAATGGGAGTCAAACGAAGATCCAATTCCGCCTCCTCGACCGCGAAGCCCTTCTGCCGCCAGTCCCTCCTCACAAGAACAAACAAGAAGCCCAGCTTCATCCCTTTGGACAAAAAATGTATGGTAAACAACTGACATTAATTTCTGGATTCTGTCTTGGAAGTAAACTAAAGCTAAACAATCTGAGGGTTTTTGTATTACACCCTGGGATTACACCCTTGGGAAATGACCCAGAATGGTTCAAAATAACACGGTTTTATCCGGAAATGTGCCTAAATCGGGCCAATACCCAGTGGGTGTATTCCCATGGTGTAATACCAAAAAAAACACTTTAGAAACGAGGGCACCAGTTGGGAGGATAAATGCGCCACGAACGCGCCTGAAGCCATCCTTCTGGGCCATGCTAAGCACCGTCTTCAGCGTCCGAGGCGGCAGTCGACGCAAAGGAAACACAAAGGCCGCCTGCGGCGTAGCTTTGCGCCGTGGCTGGGCCATGTTTTGCACCCGGAAGTACATTACAAATCAGAAAGTAAATGATCGAATAAATCGTCGCATGGCTATGCATGAGACACGTGCAAATATGCAGATACGTAAGCAAACAAATCAAGCATGTATAAATGGCGAGCGTGGAGCACTAGCAGAGAGGCAACTACCCATGGTCGCGGACGAGACGAGCACATCGCGGGTCAGCCATCCGTATAGCCAGCACATCAAAGCACGAGACGAGCAAAAGATGTCAAAATTAGCGTTGCAACGTTGCTCTTCTGCTTAAAATTGCATGGTGGTTTCTCAACATTGGCAAGGTGGTCTTCGCATCATGCAAGGTGGCTTCTTCAACATAAGTAAAGTAGGGGCATCAACACTTATAGGGTGATGTTTAAAGCTCGTAATTCGTTCCTTCAGAGATTCCCCAAAAAATGGACCGGCGGGTGTTCCTGATGGCTTTCCTGCGCGAGCGGTCAGAAGGGTGCCCTTCGCCACAAACAAAAAAGAAGAAGCAAACGTGTGTGGGTCCAAAATAGGATCCCAAAATGGGCTGCCCTGGTAACCGGAAGCAAGGACTAAAATGTCTGCGGTTTCCAGGTGGTCTGTGTTTTACCCTATACCCAATTGGAGGGCGTGTTCCTTGGGTTTTCGCACCTTTCAGTTCAAAGGGTGCCCGCACACCCCCCCCCCCCGTTTCCCCGATGAAGCCAACGGCTTGGTCCCTTCGCGTCAAAAAAGAAGGAAGCTGGAGAGCACCTGCGTCAAAAGCAAGCAAATCTCCCACATGCACCCCCACACACACACACACACTCAAAACACAGATGATTATTCGAACACCAAAGACGTTTGCCTTGTTTTTGTTTAACCCCCCCCCCACCAAAAAAGAAGAAAAAAAGAAGAAGAAAGAAAACAAACCACTCCGGCCGCCTCCCCAGCCTCCCCCCTCCCGTCTTTTCTCCCACCCCCTGCTTCGGCGCGCCTGCTCCATGGCCGCGAGGTGCGGCTCCAAGGGCCCCAGCGGGTGGAAGGCCCGCAGCACCGCCTCCTCCAAGCCCCCGTTGGAGAGCCCGAACCTCGCGACTCGGCGCGCGCGCGCGCGCGCGCTCGAGGCGCGCGGCGCGCCGAAAATTTCCCCGGCGTCTCCTTCTGAGCCGTTCATCAAAAATGGTCGGTCCATGACCCCGAGACTTTGGGTAATGACCAACCATTTTTAAAGTGTCAGAAGGAGACTCCAGGTCGGCGCGGAAGGCGCGGCTTTCGGCTTGTGCGTCTCCGGTGCGCTGGGTGGGGCTCACGTCCCGCAAAACCCCCGGGAGATTGGGATCAAGAAGAAGGCAAGTCCGAACTTTGCCCGTTTTGACCCAAAGTGTTGAAAGTCCCAAGAAATAATCTTCCCAAAACGACCCAAAAAAAGTTGAACTCACCAAGCCCGCAAAGGAAGGAGCCAGAAATACAAGGTGAACCTTTCGGGGCCACTAGGATTGGAATCGAGAAGGTGAAACTAAAAGCTCAGATCCGGCCGATTCGCCTTGTGCAAACATATCCAAACCGCGCACATGGTTTCTACGACCCTGGCCCGTCGCGGGTGAAGACCGTACTTGAGTCACAATCAAAAAAACGTTAAAAACAAATGGTTGACCCAGAACCATGCTTCAAGAATTAAGAGGCGGATATCCGCAACTATTTCTGGCTGGGATCGTCCCTCACTAACCTTCACTTACCAAAGGGTTTTGAGCAGGTGGCTCATCTGTGGTTTCCTAGGGTAGTGTCGGCCCCGGATTGACAAGCCCGTCCTATAATTATAGGACGGGTTCCCTCGAAAGTGACATGCGTCCCCTAACAGGCGGCATTCCAAAAAAATGCAAAAGATTCCACTTACCCGGGTTAAGTGTGGCAATGATAGAGAGTATCCCTGCGCTGGTTTCCCTTTGTATAGGTGAAAAGGTACCCTCAACCCAAGTGGTATCCCCAACAGCCCCTGAATGCACGCCAGGGATTTTGAGCGCGTGGCTCGACTTGTCCCAAAAACCAACGAGTCGCCAGGTGTGGAGCCGGTGCATCAACTGCGGTAGCCGCTCGAAGAGCAGGCGGTGCTCTGCTGGACCCCAGTGCCTCACTGCAGGGGTACCTTCCCATTCTTTCCAGGCATCCGAATCTTTCTACAAAACCACCCCAAAACCCTGGAAAACAGCTGGTCTTTTGGAAAGAGCAATGGTTGAAAAAAATGGAGAATCAACCCCTAGACTCACGTGGATGCGCCGCGCGTTCCACTTGTGCCCCCACCTTGGCCCGGGAAAACATCAACTGGGCGGCCACAGATGGGTGCATCTTTTTGGAGGGTGCCAGTTTGGCGGCAGCGTTCAAGGGAAGCCAAAAGAACACCAAGCCTATGTTTTTTGCGTCCACCATTTCGAGGACCGAAATGAAGAGAGGAAATGAAGGGGCGAAAATTGCTCAGACCCATGTCTTCTTGGTTCTTCCGGTAGAAGTTGCGGCCGAGCATGCGGACCAGCAGCCAAGCAACAACTAAAGCAAGCAAACTCAACTGACTTGCCGAATCAGGACCTGGGCGAACTTTCGGAAACATGAGCGTGAGTAACTCACTCTCTGAAACCATTTGGAAATCGAAGCTAGCAGAAAGATCTTCCATGCGCTGGGTGCTTGAAGCCTTTTTTCGCCCCCAACAGCTGGCGCCAGCACACTCCGAGGAAAGGGAACCGAAGAAGACATCTCGGTGAAAAAACTTCAGAACCGACTGAAACTGACCCGTGCGGCAGCGAACAAAATCCCGCGCGTTTCCGGGCCAGAAGCACGTGACATCCTCCATCGGCGGCTCACCCCTGCCCACCTCCGCCCAAAACAAAGAAGACGGCAACAAGTGCCATGTCCCAACTCAACCCTCTTGAGTCCTAAACAAAACCTCGTTTTACCCCCGCTTTTCTTTGCGCTCGCCGTACATCATGCGGGAGAAAAAAGAAACTTAGAACTTATATGAAAAAACCATCCCCTATGCTTGGTTGACGTTGGGTTTGGGGTGCAAAAAATCTAAAATGTTAGCAGCCAAGCGGATTTGGATTTCAACCACTAAACCACAAGTTGCGCAACAACAACCATGTTAAGGGGACCCGTAAAATCATTCCCTCATTCCCTTTGTCTTTGGCTTCGCTACTGGTGAACCCCATGGCTTCCTGGGGTGACATGTCCTTCCCACCCCCCAGGCTCGGGGCACCAGGCCTCGCGGAGGCCAGCGCTTCCGCGCAGAAGCGCCGGCAGGAGTCCTCAACGGCCGAGCTCGCCGTTTCTTGGCGTCCTTTCAAACTGGGCAGTCGAAAAAAAAACGGACCTAGAAAAAAAGGCAAGGGAGTGTGACAGGAAAAACAAAACCGCGGCCTTTTTGTGTTGAGGGTCGCCCTTCCTTTTGAGTGAAATAGGCCGTCCTTTCGAAGTACAAAAAATGGGTTCAGGTGGTATCCCCAACAGCTGAAATAGGCCCAAATAGCATTCCCAACAGCCCTCCTTTCGAACCCCAGAGCGGACCTGGGAAGAGACCCCATAGCTTCCAGCTGCTAGGGACAAAAAGAGGGCATGCCCACCAAAAACAAAAAAACACTCTTTGTGCTGAGGGCTGCCTCCCGAGTCCGTCGCCTTTTTCAACCCCAAACCTCTGAACAGCTTGGCCAAAAGACTTTCTGCGGGGATCTGGACACGTGAAATGGGGGGGGGGTCTTTTGTTAAGGTTGGACTTCCAAAATGGCGGTGTTCCTCGAGTTCCGGTTGGCTTCCCTTTCCTGTTTCCCTTTCCTCCAAACCAAAGCCTTCAAACCCTCAAGAACAGATATAAGCACATGGGCTTCGAGCGGCTTCGTGGCTTCGCAAAAAAGAACAAAAAAAGGACGGACAACCCCCTCGCCTCCTTCCTGGTCGAAAAATCGACGCTTCCCTCCACCAGGTGATTATCGGCTTGGTGCTTTGGAGTTCCGGCCAAAAAGGAAAAACAAGAAACGCCGATCGCCCTGGCCAGGGCTGTGGGAAATGGAATCCACTTCTGTGATACAACCAAAAAGGTCCGAACCCCAAAGACTACCCCGCCATTTAAAGAGGGGATTCCCTTGTATCGCAGAAGTGGGTATAAACCCCTTGATCCCAAAACCCTGGCCCTGGCCGGCTTCACAAAACGGAAGGAGAAAAAAAGAAAGCGGATCCCTCTGGTCGGCGGCAGGGCATCGACAAGGCGGACCCCATGTCAGTCATCGGCCATTTTTGGCAAACACTCCCGTGACACTCCCTGACAGAAAGGCGAGCCCCTAGCACCACCTGGCGCCCAAAGAACAACGGCTAAGGTGTCCGTCCCTTGCCACGCCGCATCCTGCTGAAAGTGAAAAAGAGCAGTGGCATGCTTCAAATTCGTAGGGCCAGGGCGAGGCGATTCCTGCTCAACTTACCTTTCAAGTCGAAACCTCAAACATGAGGAGCCCTTGCGTGGCTCGAGGCAAGGACCCTGAACTCCAATTATCAGGACCTTTCCTTTCGGAGGGGAGGGGAGGGGAGGGGAGGGGAGGGAGCCCTCATTTGGCCCTACATACGGCGTAAATCAGGGCTAAATAAGGGCTCCCTTCCCGCCCTCTCTAGGGCTAAATAATTCAGGGCTCCTTCCCCCTCCCCTCCCTCCCGCCCCAGCCACGATGTTACGACGTCCTCTCCCCCCAGCCCGGCCGAAGCTTCGGTCCTGATCCGAGCTGAGCGCCAAGGCCTGTGCCAGCGCAGCCATGGCGCCGCGCCCCGAGTCGCGTTTCGCGGGCCGGAGGGGTGGATTCGCCAAAGGGCGACCAGACTCGTCGCTTTTGGGTATCCAGACCCCTGAAACGGTGGGGAAAAACAACAAACATAGTCAAACATTGGGGCGCCGGTGAGAGAAAACCTCCGGTTTGCTCAAGTCTCCTGGGAAAAACGAATCGCAGGAAGTGAGAGATTCCCCAGATTCCCCTGAAAAAAACAACAGGAGAAAACCAAGCAATCTGTTCCTTTCAACAAGTGGGAGATAAGAAAGAGCTGTGAAGGTTGAAAGCGCATCTGCCGGCGCTTGCTGAGGCGGGCAGTGGTTTCATAGGCTACGCCGCCTCGATTTCTCTCAGCTTGGGTTCTGTAGCTGACCGGAACAGTACTTGGCGATGCATCGACAAAACCTGTGCTGGAAGCCACGCGAGGGCTAGAGCTCAACAACGGAAAGAGTCCCACCCTCCCATCTGCACTGCGCCTTGTTGCCGCCAAATTCGCACTATGGCTCTGGGTCTTGGCGGTGAGTTGGGGGTGCACAACACCGCCTGGCACCCTCATGGCAAACCCTCAGAAGGAACTGCCTTAACCGTGGTTGGTGCAATCTGTGTTTCATTGTCACCCGTCACGACCCTGAACCAAAACAGCGTCCCGTGTTTTGGCCCCCTACCTAAATCATTCCACCAATCATGTTTGTCAAGCCCCAAAAGCTTCACCTAACCTCTACTCAAACTGTGGATAACTCTCAACCGTGTCACCCTACCGCGCGCATGTCGTGCCCCCAGCGGATCGATCCGCGGGCAAGTGTCGCGGAGCATCCGCGCTGACACCCAGAAGACGGTAGGGATCGGTCGGCAACATGTCGAGTGCTGCTATCTACTGCTGTTCTGCTGGCTTCCAGGAGTCAGCCTCGGGTGCTGGCACGCAACGTTTAAACTTGGCCTAAGGGGCCAACCACGTGCGGTACCGCTGGTTGCAAGTATCCATGGGGGTATTCTCTGGTGATTCTTGGGTCATCCGGCCTAGGTACATGGTTGGGTTGAAATGCTGCGGCGCCAAGAAGCGCAAAACGGGGCCGGCCAAAGCTCTTGCTTAGAGGGCCTGGCTCGAGGCCCACTGACTTGTCCCGAGAAAATGAAGCCATTTGTTCCAAGGGAACAGCAGAAACAAGGGCCGCCGCTAGGAAGCGTCCAGGGCAACAAGCTAACATTTCTCGCCAACTACTGGCCCTGCAGAAGCAGGCCCTACGTAAACCTAAGTGCTTTGGGCCTGACCAACCGCGACAAGTCAGCTCTTATGCCAGCTGGCACCGCGGCAGAAACAAATCTGGATGTCTTGACCTTCTTGTGGGCCAAGCCCAAAGAACCCGACAGAGATTTACAAACGGACGGGCGAGCTTCCATTCTTCGCGGAAGGCTCGACTTGTGCTGCTCAAACTTACTAGCACGGCCAGCACCAAGAGATCTGAGATGGGTGTGTGTGTCTGGGTGTGTGGGTGTGCTAGCTTGACCTCATTCCCACCTCTGTCCAGCCAGTTTCCTGGGCTTGACCTCTGTCCATGAGCCAGTTTCCTGGGCTAATTCCCGAAAGCACTTCCGTGCGGAGCCCTTGGACAAGTTACATAGAGCCAAGTTTGCATAGAGCCAAGTTACATAGAGCCAAGTTACATAGAGCCAAGTTACATAGAGCCAAGTTACATAGAGCCAAGTTACATAGAGCCAAGTTACATAGAGCCAAGTTACATAGAGCCAAGTTTACATAGAGCCAAAGTACATAGAGCCCAGTTACACAGAGAGCCAAGAGTTACATAGAGCCAAGTTACATGCCAAGTAGCCAAGTTACATAGAGCCAAGTTAGTTACATACATAGAGCCAAGTTACCATAGTTTACATATAGAGCTTAAGTTTCATAGTTACGAGCCAAGGGACCGGCAGCTATGTAAGTTAGTTTAGGTTTCTAAGGCGCCGGGGCGGGAGTTTGATCGTCGCTCGGGATTGCGACCCTCTGCGGAGATTCGAGTGGTCGAGGTTCAAAAACTCAGGACTTTTTACGATTTTTAGCATGCCCGCGCGACCCTCTGCGGAGATTCGCGTGGTCGAGGTTCAAAAACTGGGACTTTTTACGATTTTTAGCATGCGCGCGCGACCTCTGCGGAGATTCGCGTGGTCGAGGTTCAAAAACTGGGGACTTTTTACGATTTTTAGCATGCGCGCGCGATTCTCTGCGGAGATTCGCGTGGTCGAGGTTCAAAAACGGGGGACTTTCTGCGGTGCGCGCGCGACCCTCTGCGGAGATCGTGCGCGTCAAAGCGCTCTCGCTGTGGCGCCGTGCGAATTTGTCTTAGTCTCGGCGAACCCTCTGCGGAGATTGTGCGTGTCGAAGCGCTCTCGCTGTGGCGCCGTGCAATATTTTGCTCGCGAAACGGCCTTTGGAAGTTGTCTCGTGGTTTGCGCGCCTTCTTTCGCAATCCCGCGGTCGCGGGTTCGATTCCCCCCTGGTCCGCGGCAGCTCCGGCTTGAAAATCGCAGCTTTTAAGTACAAACGTAGTACGCGGAGCGTGCTCCTGCAGCTCCGGCTGGAAATTCGTAACTTTTAAGTGCAGACGTAGTGTGCGGAGCGTTCTCCCGCAGCTCAGGCTAAAAAACCGCATCTTTTAAGTACAAACGTAGTACGCGGAGCGTGCTCCTGCAGCTCCGGGTGGAAAATCGTAATTTTTAAGTACAGACGTAGTATGCGGAGCGTGCTCCCGCAGCTCAGGCTGGAAAATCGCAACTTTTAAGTACAAACGTAGTACGCGGAGCACCCCCGCAGCTCCGGCTGGAGAATCGCAGCTCCGGCTGGAGAATCGCAACTTTTAAGTACAAACGTAGTACGCGGAGCACACCCCCGCAGCTCCGGCAGCACTTGCGCAGAGCAACTTGCGCAGAGTCACTTGCGCAGAGCAACTTGCGCAGAGCAACTTGCACAGAGCAATTGCACAAAGCACTTGCGCAGAGCAACTTGCACAGACCAACTTGCACAGAGCACATGCGCAAAGCGCTTGCGCGGAGCAACTGGCGCAGAGCCCTTGCGCAGAGCAACTTGCTCACAGCACTTGCGCAGAGCAACTTGCACAGAGCCGGCGCAGAGCAACTTGCACAGACCAACTTGCGCAGAGCACATGCGCAAAGCGCTTGCGCGGAGCAACTGGCGCAGAGCACTTGCGCAGAGCAACTTGCTCAGAGCACTTGCGCAGAGCAACTTGCACAGAGCACTTGCGCGCAGCAGCTTGCAGAGAGCAACTTGCGCGCAGCAGCCTGGAACAATGCAGCTTGCGCAGACCACTTTCGTGAGAAATCGCGCGGCGCAGTTCGAGAGGACAGTAGGATGATGAGATGAGCACCTGTGGAAAAATGCTTTCGGGCCAATCGTCCTCTAGTTGTTTTTCTTATCGCTGCCCTTCTTGCACACATCTCGGACTCTAGCAAGGCAAGTGACACGGACACAGGCACGCACGTGCGCATCCGCGGGGTTGGGCATGTTCGAAGTGGGTCCCAGCGAGAGGTCTCGCTTGGGCCATCACGAAGCTCGAAGGACGATTCCCCGCCAAGCTGCGGAATTTTGCAGGAATCCAACTCTTCACCCTCGCCTCTAAAAACGGCCCGCCCGTGCCCCCGAGCTCCGAAGTGCGGAAGCTTCAACTAAAGCTGCCCAACCCCGGACTTTAGAAAGCCTTCAGAATCCTTCAGACACCCAAGGCCACGAGTCCTACCAAGCTATGCCTCTTGGCGTAGAGCCCGAGCCCGCATCGCTTGCTGCTTGGCTTTCTTGAGCCGTTTCAGCTCACCAGGTAGGCAGAGATGACAATGGGCACAATCACCGGAGTTAAAACATCCTTGTGGCCGCCTCAGTCGCGTCATGGACCAAGATGTGAAGCTCTGCGCCACGGCAACTCCACGTTAGTGTGCAGTGTCCATCCCTTGTGATCGTTCGCAACACATGCCGCATTGCCATAGAAGGATGCGGCAACAGGGGGCAAACATCATTGTCACCTTTCTTCCCCTGGTGCAAAATGGGGTCCGCAAAGTGTAAACTCCTCCTGCTTTCCAAACAGAAGGCCCCCCCTATTCAGCCATGTCCGAAAAATTCACATCTCGACCGCTGGCCCAAAAAAAGAAAAAGAACAGAAAGAAGAAAAAGAAGAAAAAAAAGGAAAGCAAAAGAGGACAAACAAAACGGCGCAACCGGCCGGGGCGCCAAAACCAGGAGCACGGCTTGCACTGCCCGGCCACGTGCAGCACGCTGCCCGCCGAAGTCTCGGGCTTCCTCTCGCTCAGCGGCACAATGACCTCGCGGCTTGCGGGGTGTGCGCGGCTTGCGGGGAGTTTGCGCGGCGGGGTTTGTTGGTTCAAGCCCCCGGTCCCGGTGGTTCTGGGCAGGGGCTTATTCAACCACTTCTGTGATACTTTCAGGAATCTCCCCCTGTATATGAGGTGTTAGTCTTTGGAAAGCCCTTTTTGTTGCATCACTTTACCCAAAGAATGGCGCACACCCATGACTCAAGTGGTTCCTCCAATGTGGACTCTGCTTCAAAGTGGTTTAGGACTTCGTTGCAGCATCAGGCATGGTCCCTGTGGTTCCGGGGGAACAGCCCGTTCACAAGGCTTTTGGGAAACAGGGGCTTGGAAAGCCCCTGGATTTGTTGTGGTTCTGGGGGATCAGCGGCACTCTACCAAAGACTGGCACGCAGGCAGCAACTCAGACGATTCAGGCAACTTGAGGTCAGGTTCCTGTTTTTTCTGGAAAATCACAAGGCTTTTGGGGAAACCTCAGGGGCTTGGAAACTTGTAAGCAACCTGGAAGAAACCCCTTCACAAGGCTCTTGGGGAAACCTCGGAGTTGGGAAATTTGTAAGCAGCCTCACTCAAACCGAACGCAACCCTCAACCAGACAACCAGACAGGCTTCCAGCTCAAGGCCCGGGAAATCACGTGCTCCATGCCCCGCGCAGCTCTAGAACTGATCCCTTTTCGAGAAGCCGAAAAGTCATTCGGGGGCGAGTCAGGAAACAGAGTCAGGAAACGGGCTGGACGAAGTCAGGAAACTGGTGGGTCCAAGTCAGGAAACAGGTTGGGTCGTGTCAAGAAATATGTGGATGCGATGTTGTGTCAGGAATCGGCCCCGGAAACGACAGGCACAACGCGTCGGGGAGTTGTGAAAGGTTTGGAGTCAAGTGAATAAGGTTTCGTGAGTCAGGAAACATCTGTGAGTCAGGTGAAAACGGCAGGAACAATGCGGCGCGGCATTGTGAAAAGTTTGGAGTCAAGTGAATAAGGTTCGTGAGTCAGGAAACGACCGCCGTAAGTCAGGAAACGCGGCCCCGGAAACGACAGGAACAGCGCGCCGGGGCCCTCTCAGAAGTTTGGAGTCAAGCGAATAAGGCTTCTCGTGAGCCAGGAAGCGAGCGTGAGTCAGGAAACGACGCGGAAACGACAGGAACAGGGCCGTTGTTCAGCTTCGTGGTTCTCGTGTTTGTAATTGCGATGTAAAAACTTCTTTGAACGTTTGTTCTTCTAATAGGGGGGGCTGCGCCCCCCCACCCCTCCAACCCCCCCCCCCGCTTCTTTATAGGGCTGTGATTCTGTTTTACAATCACGCACATTGTTCCCAGTTTCAGTTGCTTTCTGCCCCCCTGCTAAAAGTTTAGCTTTTAGTGGTTTAATGGAAAACCGCTAGTTGGCAAAAAGTTAAAGTCCTAACATCCAAGCAAAATGCACCAAATATCCATTAGTGCCATCATTTGTTTTCTACTCGGGGGGCCCACCCCCCCCCCCCCCCCAACCCCCCGCTTCCTTGTAGACGCTGAGAAACCGTGATATCAAGGAACGATGCGCGAAGCACGCGTCAGAGCGCAAAGCACGCAGTGCCAGACTTGCACTCCAGCATCACCGCCAATGCAAAGGCACTGACCACATCATTTCCAAATCGTGTTTCCTGACTCACGTTTCCGCGTTTCCTGACTCACGTTTGCTGTTGTGATCTAAGTAGTTACCACTTTCATTCTTGACTTGCCTCCAGTTGTTTCTTGACTTGCCCCTGTCCATTTCTTGACTCATGTTTCCTGACACGGTCGTTTGTTTCCTGACTCGGTCTAGTCTCGACGTCATTCAGCAAACCCTTTCGACGAGTCTCAGACCCTAGATCCTAGACCCTAGACCCTAGACCCTAGACTCTAGATTTGAATAGACCTTGGAGGCTGTTGTGCTGTTGGGCCCTGGGACTGTCAGACAAGGAGCCACCCCTGCCAGACATGCTCTCGAATCGGGTTCCTCAAGCTCCTCTTCCTCCTCCTGCGGCGGGAGCGCGGGAGCGCGGCGGGGGGGGGGGGGGGGCAACTCGCCTTGGCTTTCCCTGCCCGCGCTTTTCCACGTCTGCATCAAGCCACGTCTTGCGTTCCCAAGGTCTGCGAACCAAAAAAACAGAAGCGCCCGGACTCCGAAGTATCAACCTCTGTTAGCATCGAAGGCTAGGTACGTGTGTGTGTAGGCCTGTATTCCAGTACCAATTGCATACATACACAAGTCAGTGTTTATATATGTGCGTGTGTGATCTACCTATGCATATGCATGAACGTATGTCTGCCTATTAGTCCCATCTTAGGCGCAAGCCTCACGTGCCCATGAGTCGTCGAAGTCGGCTGTTGGGACACCTTCAATCTCACCTTTCAGTGGGACGCTTAGTTTCCGAAAAGCCTCCTGACGGATTCCTCAGGGAAATCGAATCCACTTTTTCCGGAAGACAAGACCCAAGAACACAACCCATGTTCCTAGTGGGCCCTGGTAGACTTGCTGCTCAGTAGGGAATGGCCTTCTGGGTTTTGGGAATGAACCGGAAGGGGCTTCCCTCAGCCAGTTTCCCAGCAACCCTGGAGTATCCTGGGGGGGTTCACCACTAGCGAAGCCAAACACAAAGCAACGGGCGGGACACCTAGGTCCTCCAGATTTGAGAGGTTAGAATAAGGGTACCAACTTGTTTCCGACGTCTATTTCAGTAGGGGAGCCCTCCCCCAAAAAAGGGACAAAGGGCACTGGGGGACCGAGACACGCTTCGCAACTTGCGGATTCCCACCTGCTGCGTGGGGAGTCTCTCGCACTGTATCCGCGGCCTGTAGCCCTCTGGGGACAAAGGTGTAGGAACCGCCTAGGCCAACCCAGTGAGCGTGTTGAGGGTACCCTTCTTAGGGTTGGTTTAAAGGGAACCCAAAACAACCCTTCTTGAGGCCCTTCCTCGGCTCCACGTTCAAGAACACCTGGCCTTGTTGCTCTCTCTACCTCCTTTCTTGCTGTGGCAGTTTGCACCACAAAACCCAAAAAGAAGAAGACAAAAACACGAATCATGCACGTACTCAAAACGGCGGACCACCGCCCTGTTCAAAGAATTTCGCTCTTTGCTGGCATCTACCCACTTTCCAACAATCATGGAAGTGGTTCCGGAAGCTTCAAGGTCGCCTTCCAAACCCCTCCGGTCGTCAGCTTCCATGATAGTTGGAGGGAGGGCAATTCCTCGTTCGAAGCTCTGGATGAACCCTTGGCAATTTGGGGGCCTCAGGGCTCGCCAAAGCAAAAGGCCCACACAGCACTCGCCTTACTGTGAACCTGAGGCCGCGGCACAAGCGCCAAGCCATTTTTGGGGGTTCCATGTTGTCTAGGATTGATTTCTGATATGGCTTTTTTTTCGGATTTCGCCACGGACCTGTGGAACAAAATCCGCTCACCCCACCCAAACAGCCCTGCAATGATGACCCCCCTATAAATACCAACAAACCCGTACCTTCCTATGGATTCAATTTGGTGCGAAGCGGTTTTCGCAACCATCCATAGGACTCGTTTTTGGGGGATGCTCATCTGCCCGGCGGCGGGCTCGCTCTTGATCTTCCCCATAGGGATTTTGTCGCTCTCGTCGTCCGACTCCACGTCGATGAAGGTGTTCTTTACAGTGACCTTCACCTCAGAAGCCGCGGCATTTCCTCATGGGGAGGATTGGCCAGAAGAAGTAGCCAGAGATAGCCAGGTTGCTGCTTCTTCCAGTCACTGGTGCTGGTTTTTGGGGGTGAAGTGCATGGAACAAAGAAAACTGCAATCCTGGCGATCCAAGCAAACTGCTTCTTTTTTTCCGCTAAAAAGGTCTTCCCAAAAATTGACTGACAAAAGTCCAGCAACTCAGGAACTGCGGGTCTTTACGGCAAAACCGCTTTATCCCTCGGGCCAAACGCCTTTTAGCCCAAAATTTGGAACCGACTTGAGGAAACCCAGGTGGGCATCTATTGGGCCAACTGGTCCCCAATCGTCCCGTCTCAAATGCTTCCGTTTCATGGCGGTGTTCTGGAAAGGGTCATCAACAAGGGAAGGCCTCAGTTTTGACGTGAACTCCAAAATGATCCCACATGGTTTTGAAGACCCATCTGTACACTTTACATACCTGGCTTCCTTAAAGAGAAGGTGAGATTTCCATGTGGGTCACATTTTGGTGCACGCCTGGGGTTGGCATTTAGGTGCACGCCCCTACATGCAGCAAGGCTACAGCCGAAATGGTAAAGGACCATAGGTCAGAGCAAGAATCCAGGAAGAGGAGTTCTCGCATCCCATTCCACAAAATGGAAGGAAACATATGAGCCATGTCCTAAACGTGTCATGATTTGCTATGTCGTATCATTCTGCTTACGTCACCAGCTTTCGCAACCTTACGCGTGTGGAGTTTTTGCTTACGGGACACATTTGGAGGTTTTGCTTCCGCCGCCAGCTTCCGCCACCTTACGCGCGTGGAGTTCTTCCTTACGCGCTGGTCGATATGACATGACTCTTACTAAACATGTACGCGGAGGTTTTGGACGCTGCTCATATAGTGTGGTGTGACGGGACGAATTTGGCACTGTCACAATGCTAGCCTGCCATCGCAGCACCAAACACACGCTTTAAGCAAGGTGTTGAGGTCCTCATGGACAAAATGCAGGGAGCTATGAGTCATTCTGAGACTGGCTGGTAGGCCGTTGGCCAATGGCTCTAGGGATGCAATTCCATGACGCCCTTTGCCCTTTCACCCACTCGAACCGGCCAGCAACGTCATAATGTGGTGGCTCAGCACATCGAGCATGTCAATCCTGGCGATGTTTCTTAACCGTCGCGCCTCCTCCTCCCCCTTTCCGGAAAAATCCCCATCCCCCATAGCCCCCGGCATGCCCACTGGACAGCTGCTCATTGCCCAATAAGCACGGCGGCACGCGGCTCGAGTCGGCCTCGCAACACCCAAGCGCGCCTACGGAGCTCCTTAGTACCCGGAACCTCGGAGTTGGCTGTGCCTCCCTGAAAAACGACCAAGTCTTTGGGCCGCCCAAAATGTTGACCAACCCTTCGAAACCACGGCATGCTCAAACTTTCTGGACCTGAAGGTCAAAGCCACAAACACACAAAAAGCAACGCCAAAACTTGGCGAAGCCACATGTGCTACTAGGTCCTCCAGTGGAGAGGTTAGAATAAGGGTACCAACTTGTTTCTGTAGTCTACTTTAGTAAAGGATAACACTCCCCAAAGAAGGGCAAAAGGGCGCTACTGGGGGACCTGGGTTATTTCCAGAATCCGGCTATCAACTGCTTTCTGAACAAGTGACATGTGGCGCCAACTCACCCACCCAAACCACCCAACCCAACCTCCCAGCCCACCCCACCCACCCAAGCCACCCACATCACCCAAGCCCGCCTGAGAGCCCTCAGCCTCAGCCTGGCCAAGGAACTTGTGAGCCCGCGTCCCCTTAGATTCCTCGACTTTCGGAGTCCATGTGCCCTCCAACCCTCTCCAAATGGAACCACGTTCAGCGGGTCCTGGCTTGGACCACTCTCCTATTAACGGCACCGCCTGTCAAGGTTCCATGTGCAAAGGCTGGGAATTTCGGTGTTTTCGGGAGGGGCGAGGGAAAAAAAAAGGGCGCCGCCTGGCTTCCTTTAAGCATGCTCTTTTGATGTGGGTAACATGGCTCTCCAGAACGCATCTCGTTACATGATACTTTTCATGCAAAAGCCATGGTAAGGTTTTACTTCGAACTGGCCCATGATCCTAGGTGGCCTCTTGGAAACATAGATGGGTTTCCCTGGCAAATGGACACAAACCCGTCTAAACCAGGGGAACCCATCTATTTTTTAACAAACTCACCGATCAAAAGGACGCCGGCCTGGCCCGCTATGATGCCACGGGCCCTCCAAGCGCCGCTTTGAACTCTAACAAAAAGGTTTGGCACGCAAGCCCTCAGCCGCCAAAAACCTGACCGGGCTCCTGGTCGCTTCTGTTCCTCACAGTGTTTTTTTTTGGTTTGTTTTTTTTTCCGGGTGGGTTCCGGCAAAAGCTGGGAGGGTACAGCATTTGGGTCATGAGATGTACGTGGAAGAAACAAGCATCGGCAAGCATCATGTCGAAGAAAGCGCCTCAGTGCAAGTGGGCATCGACGTTGGCGAGGAGCTGGTGGCTTCCACTTCGCCTGCAAACATGTTGTTTGTTCTTAATAATGATTTATGTATTTATTTATTGTTTAATATTTTTAATAAATCAATAATAACAATTATGGTGAAAACAAAAATAAAAAGGGAAAAAACAAAAACGAGAACTTGCAACCTGTGCACCGACTTGGGTCGATTTGGGGTGGCCGTAAGTAGGTTCTAGCAAAATGTGTTCAAGGATGCTACCCGTTTCGGGTCTCACCGATGGCGCCCCGTCACTCGCAAAGAACCCTTGAGGCCAAGCCTTGCTTTGCCCAATAGGACTTCGCTGGCTCGCTCTTCATCATGGAGACTCCCGAAGCGTCTTCTTCATCTGAGGAGTCGATATCCTGGGTCCGATTTCACAGGCTTCAGCTCGACATGGAGGTCACATTTCAAGCCGCATTTCGCCAGGATCTTACCAACAAGCACGGTGAGTAATCACCTGCCCACATAGGTGGCCTTTTGGAATAATAGATGGCCCTGGTACATGAAACAAAACCCATCTAAACCAGTGGAACCCATCTTTTTTCAACCAAACTCACCGATCAAAAGGACGCCTATGCTTGCCCATCTTGGCCCCACAAGTTCCAGACTTGTTTTGCTTCAGGCCACCCAAAGTCGCCACGAAAAGCGTCGCATCTCCTCAAACGTTTATCTACCCAGTTTTTTAGCAGAACCGCTTGATTTTCATCGGGAGTCCCATCCCTTTTGGGAGTTCAGAGACCACTTTGCAGGGAGAAGAAAATCACCCCAGTGGGAGAAAACACCCCCCCAAGAATGGACCAAAAAAATCACCCCAATGGGACCGGGTTCTACTTAGATCCTGGGTCAACACCTCTCACTGCCCACTGCCCACTGCCGGCCGAGCGGCGATGAAGGTCTTCACCCTTGGTGGCTCGGCTCACAGAAACTAGGTCCAGACTTGAGAGCTTAGAATAAGGGGACCAACGTGTTTTTCTTCTTGGGCTATTTGGTTAGAATAAGGGGACCAACGTGTTTTTGTCTTGTTTGGCTATTTGGTTAGAATAAGGGTACCAACATTTTTCCTTTTAGTCTGTTTGAGTCGGGGAACCCTCCCAACCAAAAAAGAAATGGTGAGAAAGGGTACTGGGGGACCTAGGAAAACACCCTCACGTTGCTACGGAAGACTCGCGGCGGGGCTTCATGGACCGAATCAAAGGGACCCGGTGCCTTCCATGTAGGGCTACCCTTCCTCCAACTAACATGGCACCTGTGGGGAGGTGCCTGGAAGATGAGTTTCCTTTTGAAGGGACCCCCTGTCAGTTGCCTTGTTAGTGGGAAGGACGGTACTCTTCCAAAGCTACCCGGTACTGATGGGCAAAATCCCATTTCGCAGCAGTTGGGAAAGGATGAAGCCCGATTGGAATATGACAAGCCAACTACTACCTGGTGTGGCGTGGATGTTGGCCATATGAATCTGAGAACTGCTGCAGTGCTCTCACTCTTCCGCAAAGGCCCTGCCAGAGAGCCAGAGCTCAAACCAAATTCCGTCATATTTCCTGGGCCCATGAGCGACCCCGGCCCCCCTTCCCCAGAAAAAAGGATCCTTCGTAACAGCGTGTCAGGTGACCTTTGGGGTCGCCTAACCGACTTACTCTTGACCCCTGAATGCTCCCCGCCTTGTTTGCTCGTCAGGGCTCCTGGAAGAAAGGATTCCCCACTGAAAAAGGCCCCCTCTTAAGAAGTGGGTTTATTCATCAGGTGTCAGCATCCATGGTATGGACGAAAACTCCGGCACCGTGGGAGACCAAATTGTTCAGGGCTGTGGGAATGACCACTTCTTCTGTTGTATCACAGAAAGGGCTTCCCAAAGACTATTTTCTTCATATAAAGGGGGATTCCCTTGTATCACAGAAGTGGCTTGATCCCACAACCCTGAAATTGTTCGTTGGCATTTGCAGTGGAATCGAATCATTCCCTCGGGCTTCTGAACGGTGCGACCCAAGCCTCCGGCACCCGACCCCAAATTTGTTGCTCGGGCACCCCATGCCGTGGTTGGGAAAAACCGGCAGAACACCGGCTTGCTTTTGCAGGGTTCCCTACATATCCTTAAAACAGCACTCCTACCAAGCAAAAGTCAGTTTCAAAGCCGGAAAAAAAAGATTGAACCCCTGTTCAAAGGTGCACTCCAAAACCACATGCCTTTCCAAGTTGGAATCCTGTAAATCAGCTGGTAAACTGCCATTTGCTCAAGTCCCTGAAAACATGTTTTTCCCCAGTAGTGGTAGATCCCCTTTCAAACCAACAGGGGATCGGATCTGTTGCTCAATTAAGGAACCTAAGCAAACGGAGGCAAAGGTGATCGCTGAAAACCCCTTCCGAAGTGAAGGCCCAACGTTCCTCCAGGGCACACCCTGACCTTCGCATGCGCGTTCGGCAAGCTCATGATCGAAGCCCGGGCAAAAAGCTGGAGCTTGGGCCGAGAACCTCCTCTTTGTGCAGTCTTCAAATGTATATGTACATACACATATATGGGTGTGTGTGTGTCAGTCAAAACAGGGAGGCCTAATAATAATCATATATTTCTGAAGAGAAAAAAACTGCAACCCATGATTCTCATGCACACATATGTTCATGTGTCTGTACATCTGGCTTTTTTTGTATATATATATATATATAGTCATGTAAATATATATATATACATATATATATATATACATAGCATCTATACCTGAAGCTCACTCATACCCTCTTAAAACGCACGTGCCCATATTCATCGAAACGGGGGCAACACCCAACCATTGCCTGAGCGCCCCAAGCAAACAACCAAGATCCGCAAAAGCCCCGCAGATCCCCGTGGGGGGAGGGGGGGGCGACCATGCCCGCTCCAACCGCAAGCAAATCTGATGCTCAGAACGCCCCATCCAGGCAAGGAGGCATCTCATGGTGCCGACCATGAAGCAGGTGCGTGATTCGCAGTGTGAAAGGCACTGGTTGCGGCTCTACCTTGGGGACCTTCGGATTGTGTTCAGACGGAAAAAAGTCGACCATCACATGGGCGCTCGAACTTTTACCAATCACGGGTCTCGAAACTTTACCACCTCTCAGCTGATGCTACGTTGACCTAATTCCACTTCTCCCGCAAAGAGACATGCAGCGCATGCCCTGACATCTACCATGCCTCAGCCTCGCACAATTTGTTGCAAGGTTTTGGTTGGCCCGAAGGTGCAGGAATGGATGGTCATTCAAGTCACTCGAGCCATGTGCCAGCTGCCGCACTTTTACCCATCACTTGCGCGAGGTTTTGCTGGGTGTAAGGAGCAGCACAGAATGGACAGACTTAATTCCACCAGTCCAGGCTGGCAGGGAACGGCCGAACGGCGGCCTTGGGGATAACATTGTCTCCGTCGGTTTGGGTTTCGGCAGTTGAGCGACGATTCCTCCCCGAACATTGGGGGTTGGGGGAGAAAAGTGAGAAAACCCTCAGCCGCAGTTTCGCGCCGAGAATCAATGCGCCTGGCCATGGCGAGCGGATTGGCCAACTTGAGTCTGCAGCCAAATAGTCTGTCCCCTTGAACATCACACAAACAAAAGAAATCTCACTTTCAAGCACGGGGAACCGTGTGAGAGCGGCTCTAAACGCAGGACGCGAACTACAAAGAAAAACACACGCTGATCTAATCCTCACACCTGCCCGGTGTCCTTATCCGTGTGCCAATATGTGGCGTGTTCATGCTGGACATGAACAAGATCGGCCTTCCTTTTTCATGGATCTTTCCCAACTCCTAGGAATCACAAAAACACTTCAACATCCCTCCTCCCATACCGGATCTCTCTCTCTCTCTCTCGTGCCAGGTTTGGGGACCCCTAATTGATCCACCAAAAGTGGGAAAATGGCACCATACTCATACGTGGAATTCCAGAAGTCGCCCTTCCCCAACAATTACCTCAACCCTGACTTGGAGCCCAGACACGTCAGGCCTCGCATCAGCAAATGCTGCAGTCGCCCCCCCGCTGGTGGTGGGGATGCCGATGGTTCCGCACCTCCTGCATCCAGTGCTCCCTGCGCCCCCAGCCCTCCGGGCACTCCATGTCCGGCACCCGGGCCGCGTCCTGGCGGATGTGGCGCGAAACCTGTGACGGAAAGCAAAATCATGGACAGCATAGGTGACCTTTTGGTCAAAAATGGATGGGTTTCCCTGGTAGATGGAACAAAACCCGTCTAAACCAGTGGAACCTATTTATTTTTAACCAAACTAATTAACCTAAAACAAGACGCGTATGATTGACAGGTTAGGCCCCTCGAATCGTGAGACACATTGTCACATGGCGGAGACCCCATCTGGACACAAACGCCAGATTCCACATCTTCGGATCGAAGTTCTTTATGGCTCCCCGATCAATGTGCACTGCGCTGCACCCAAACGACTGCAACCAACCGAAAACAATGAGAGTGTCTACATGGGCATCGGTCAAAATTAAACCACCCGGCGACCGCGTGGTTTAGTCGTTGGTTCCATTTACCAGGGCTCCATTTTGGGCACCCATGTTTGATCCACACCCATATTATTGTGTTTCGAACATCCTGAAAACAACAAAAACGCCCATGTCTTCGGCCTTGATCGTCCATGTCTTCGGGCTTAGTGACAAAACAACCCGCCCATCGAAATTCAAATGGGCATCCGCCCACGGCATTTCAAGCATCGAGGCAGTCAATCAGCTGTGGCGGCGAGGGAGGTGCCATCAGGGTCTTCATATAAGTTGCGTAAGAGCAAAGTGAAGACTGCCCGGCATTTACGCTTGTTGGGAAGTGGAACGCCTTCAAGCAGTGACTAAAGCTATCACTGCTAACATCATCGCGCCTCCTAACAAAAGATCCGCCTGCATCATGGTTTTCTTTCTTCCGAACAAGACTTCTTGGGGGTCTTTCATTGGAGGTTCCGACAAAGCAAGTGACAAGCCCACCATTCCTCCGCGAGGATGCGCCAGTGAGTGAAGTCCCCACACTGCTGGTGGCAAGCCCAGGTGCTGGTCCCAAACTCTATGGGCGAGCCCTGCCACGGTCGAAGGTCATGAGGGAAGTTGCCCAAATCCAACATCCCAGGGTCAGACATGAGCTCAAGCACTTGCCCTCACTCCAGTCCAAAGTGAAGTGGACGGAATTCTTGAAAATGCCAAGCAAGAAGCTAGGGAAGGAGAATGATGTTCCACCTCCAAACTAGATTGTGGGTTCATTGGCATTCCCCCTTCTTCCCTGCAATTTGGTTCCTTCTTGTTGGTCCCCCGAGATTTTCCGAAAGACTATGGCAACCAGAAAACGGCAGGGGCAGGGCTTCTAAGGACCCCTTTGAGTGGGAGGATTGGCATGTGATAGCTGAAGGACCGAAATGACCTGCCGGGGGAAAGGAAAAAAATACAAACCCCCTCCGTCCCAACCAACCTCCATCCCCTCCCCTCCCAACCAACCTCCTCCCAACCCAACCAATCTCCCCCGCTTTTCCCACCCAACCAACCTCGCGCATGGAGAAAACAAAACGTCACCAAGCAAATCCCCTCGGCCGCGCCTGGTACCGCCACATGGGGTGCGGGATGCGCTGCACCTGAGTCACAATCAAAACAGTGTACAAAAGTGGTCTACCCAGAACCATGCTTCAGGAATTCAGAAGGCGGATATCCGCAGCTATTTGTGGCAAGAGGATTGTCCCTTAACCTGGGCTACCCTCAGATCCCCCCCGCTAAAAGTGAATAACTGTTAGTGGGTGACATGGAAACTACCACGAGACACAAAAAGGATCTAAAAAGCTAAGGAACCGGATGGCTGGGAGCCACCAAGAAACTGTTGGTTTACCACTAAAGTGGTCCAAACCAAAACGTGACCAAAGTCCGAAACGGAACTTAGGAAGTGAGTTAACGGCGGGTTCTCATCCTGCTTCGCACCACTCAAACCCAAAAAATGTATAATAAAATATCATGTTCAAAGGAGCTACCAAGTAACCACCAAAAGCTTTTGAGCACGTGGCTGCACACATGGGCCAAAATATGCGTAACCCCTCCTGTTAAAATTTGAGCCCTACCCAGTTGTGGCAAGGGGATTGCCACAATCACTAAACTTCACCTACCCGTGTTACCTTGGTTGCTGTTGACCCCCCTGCAAAAAGTTTAATTTTTTGGGGGTTTAGTGAAAAACCCCAAATGATTTCAACCAAAAAGCTAAAGTCTAAAGATCCAACCCAATAGCAATTAAGTTACTAACCTTCATCTACCCACTCAGGGTTTTGGTTGTGGCCGGAAACTACCACTAAACACTAAAAGGAACTAAAAAGCTAAGGAACCGGATGGCTGGGAGCCACCAAGTAACCTTCACTTACCCGAACCGGTTTTGATTGGCAGCGGCACCTGGCGACAGCGGCTGCACTCGTAGCTGAAGCAGAAGCGGCTGCCCAGGAGGCAGGCCTCGCACTGCCCGCCCTCCACCAGCCTCGCCGCTTGGCGGCACGTCGCGCAGTGGCCTCGCCGGCGTGGAAAAGATCGCCGCCCGAAAAAGAACCCGCGTCTTCTCCCCAAAAAAGAACCCCCCCCCTCAAAAAAACAAAAGGCGCCCCAAAGCCGGCCCAAAAGAACGCCGCCCAAGAAAAAGACGCACGCCAGTCTTTCTGTTCTTTCTTGTTTTTGCTTCTTTTTTTTTTTGGGGGGGGGGGGGGGCGGGGAGTGCTGGGTTGCACACAACAAGGCTGGGAAATGTATGGGTCCATTGTTTGAACCCCTGGTAACAGCTAGTTTCTGAGTTCATGAACCATTAGTTCGCGAGTTACACGAATATCGCTTAAGCAAGTGACACGAGAGGTTGCGCAAGGCAAGTTGCACTAATAAGTTGACGAATGCCCTTCTGCATAAACACCCCCCTCGATATGCGGGACAGAGTGCGGGACAAAGTGCCAGACAAAGTGCGGGACAAACTGCTGGACAAACAACTGTCCGGCAAGTTGTCCGGGGGGTTGTCCGGAAGGTTGTCCGGAGGGTTGTCCGCGCATTTATTTATGCTGCAAAACCCCCCTCCCGCGAGAATACTTTCCTCCGAGTGGTTTCCGAGTGGTTTTGAGCGGGTTCCGAGTGGTTTCCGAGTGGCTGTCCGGAGGCTTGTCCGGGGGTTTGTCCGGGGGTTTGTCCCGGGCTTTTGGGCCCTCAAAGCTGTCCGGAGGGTTGTCCGGGGGTTTGTCCGGGGGTTTGTCCCGGGTTTTTGTGCCCTCAAAGCTGTCCGGAGGGTTGTCCGGGAGTTTGTCCGGAGAGTTGTCCCGCCGATTTTGTGCCCTCAAAGCTGTCCGGAGGGTTGTCCCGGGGTGTGTCCGGGGGGTTGTCCGGGGTTTTGAGCCCGTTTGGACCCAAAATGTGAAAACAGGTGTTTATGCAGAACCGCCTCTGTCAACTAATAAGGCTGCTTGAGAGATTGCTTGAGCAAGCAAGTTACATCAGAAATTGCTAGAGCAAGTTACGAGAGGTTGTCTGCAATGTTTTTGGTAGCAAAGTAATCTAGTGAATGTGCGAGTGCAAGAAAGAAAGAAAGAAAGAAAGAAAGAAAGAAAGAAAGAAAGAAAGAAAGAAAGAAAGAAAGAAAGAGAGAAAGAGAGAAACAAAGAGAGAGAGAGAGAGAGAGGGAAATAAAGAATGAAAGAAAGAAAAAAGAAATAAGAAAGAACGAACGAACAAAAGAAAGAAAGAAAGAAAGGAAAACTCGAAAAGTATAATTAAATTGGGCCTGCACCAACTTGTCGATCGGGAAGCCGACCCTCAGCGTGGCCAGTGGTCAATTTTAAAAAAGCGTTGGGCACATGCGACGTTCGTCAGGAAGCGAGCTCGAACATGTGCTGCCTGGTTTTTGCGCGGCTCTTTGAAGCCAAAAGCCTCGGGCTGTGTGGCTAAGCAAGCTTCGAGCTGGCAGCTTTTCCAGGCATTGGAAAAAGCCGCGCGAAGTGCGGCGCAGCCGCGACTTGAAATTGCAAAGACAAGTACGCGAGCACGCGGTGCGCGAGGCTTTCTTTCGAAGATTCGGCCAGTACGCGAAAGTAATTAGTACGCGAAGTACACTTTCGCAGCTCTGGCCCCACTTTGCCCGAAAGATAAAGTCGCAAAGCCTCATTGCGGGGTCTCATTGACACACAGGGAATGAAGAGCAAGATGCAGAGAACATGCAAGGAACACCAGGTCCAAGGCTGACGCAAAAAAAGATCGCTTTCGGGGCCACCTGTCTTCCATGTTGTTTTTGTGTTTTGTTGGGGGGGACTAAATCGCAAAAAGAACTGCCCATCCCAACTGTTGGCTTCAATTTGGCTAGAAATATTAAGATTGGCGCACCTCGAAAGCCGAGACTGTCAACTGCAGTTGAGACTACCTGGAGTAGGTCAGTACCCAAAATAATAGGGTCATTGACCCATTTTTTAAAGGGCCAAGGAGACTCCAGGTAGCTTCCCAGTTTATCACCATCACCGTTTGACGAACTCCTTCAGATGACGGAAAGCGCTTCTTGAAGCGCTGGGAGTTAGTGTGCGAAGTTGTGGGGGGAGGGGGGTGTGGGGGGGGGTGTGGGGGGGGGGGGTAACCTCGTTCCGGAGGATTTGCAGGTCTGGTCAGCCGAAAAATACTCCCAAAAAATGGGAGTACTTTTTGGAGCACTTTCTGCCACCGCAAGGCTGGTTTTTGGTGGTTTTCCCTGTGTTTTTCGCGCTTTTTCGTCGACGCTGCCTATCATGTCTGACCTTTTCGTCTGGGCCAAAAAGCGTGCCAGTTTTACATCATTTTACTTTGCTTCCGGCCTCGCCGGACTTGGGCGCACAAGGGGTGCCGGGGATGCAGGGGATGCCGGGGATGCAGGGAATGTCGCTTGTTTTGGAAGTTTTTGTGGTGGTCGGCGATGCTGGGGATGTCGCAGGAAAAATACTCCCATTTTTCGGGAGTATTTTTTGGAGCACTTTCTGCCACCGCAAGGCTGGTTTGCAGGTCCCAGGGAGACGACACGGGGTGTGTAAGTACGGGCGCTGGTTTGGGTTGTTGCTTGTATGTGATTCAGTGCGGGAGGGTTGTGCAGTTGTTGGTTTGCTCTGACTTGGGTCAAGCTGGCAAGGGACAGCAAGGGACAGCAAGGCAAAGCAAGGCAAACCAAGGGAAAGCAAGGGCAAAGGAAGCGAAAGTAGGGGAAAGCAAGCCAGGCAAGGGAAAGCAAGGGACAGCAATGGACAGCAAGGGAAAGCAAGCAACAGCACGGGCAAAACAAGTCAAAGCAAAGGAAAGCAAGGGACAGCAAGGGACAGCAACAAAAAAGCAAGGGAAAGCAAGGGAAACACAAGGGAAAGCAAGGGACAGCAAGGCAAAGCAAGCGAAAGCACAGGCAAAGCAAGGCAAAGCAAAGGAAAGCAAGGGACAGCAAGCAAGGGACTGCAAGGGAAATCAGGGGAAAGCAAGGGAAAGGGAAAGCAATGGAAAGCAAGGCAACGCAAAGGAAAGCAAGGACAAGCAAAGGAAAGCAAAGGACCGCAAGGGACAGCAAGGGAAAGTAAGGGAAACCAAGGGAAAGAAAGGGACAGCAAGGGAAAGGGAACGCAAGGACAATCAAAATAATCAAAGGGAAGCATGGGAAGGCAAGCAAAAGCAATGGAAAACAAGGGAGAGCAAGGCAAAGCAAGCAAAAGCACGGGCAAAGCAAGGCAAAGCAAAGGAACACAAGGGACAGCAAGGGAAAGGGAAAACAAGGGAAAGCAAAGACAAGCAAAGGAAAGCAAGGGACAGCAAGGGAAAACAAGGGAGAGCAAGGCAAAGCAAGCAACAGCACGGGCAAAGCAAGGGAAAGAAAGGGAAAGGGAAAGCAGGGACAAGCAAACGAAAGCAAGGGACAGCCAGGGAAGGCAAGGGAAAGCAAGGGAAAACAAGGGAGAGCAAGGCAAAGCAAGCAAAAGCACGGGCAAAGCAAGGCAAAGCAAAGGAAGGCAAGGGAAAGCAAGGGAAAGCAAGTGAAAGGGAAAACAAGTGAAAGCAAGGGATAGCAGGGCAAAGAAAGCAAAAGCATGGGCAAAGCAACGCAAAGCAAAGGAACACAAGGGAAAGGAAGGGACAGCAAGGCAAAGCAAGCAAAAGCACGGGCAAAGCAAGGCAAAGCAAGGGAAAGGAAGAGACAGCAAGACAGCAAGGCAAAGCAAGCAAAAGCACGGGCACAGAAAGGCAAAGCAAAGGAAAGCAAGGGACAGCAGGGAAAACAAGGGAAAACAAGGGAAAGCAAGGGACAGCAAGGCAAGGGAAGCAAGGGAAAACAAGGTAAAGCAAGGGGCAGCAAGGCAAAGCAAGCAAAAGCACGGGCAAAGCAAGGGACAGCAAGGAAAAGCAAGCGAAAACAAGGGAAAGCAAGGGACAGCAAGGCAAAGCAAGCTAAAGCACGGGCAAAGCAAGGCAAAGCAAAGGAAAGCAAGGGACAGCAAGGGAAAGCAAGGAAATGGGAAAGCAACGGAAAGGGAAAGCAAGGGAAAGCAAGGCAACGCAAGGGAAAAAGCAAGGTCAAGCGAAGGAAGGCAAGGGAAAGCAAGGGAAAACAAGGGACAGCAAGGGAAAGCAAGGAAATGGGAAAGCAACGGAAAGGGAAAGCAAGGGAAAGCAAGGCAACGCAAGGGAAAAAGCAAGGTCAAGCGAAGGAAGGCAAGGGAAAGCAAGGGAAAACAAGGGACAGCAAGGGAAAGCAAGGAAATGGGAAAGCAACGGAAAGGGAAAGCAAGGGAAAGCAAGGCAACGCAAGGGAAAAAGCAAGGTCAAGCGAAGGAAGGCAAGGGAAAGCAAGGGAAAACAAGGGAAAGCCATCGCATGCCGTGGCAGGCGCTTTCCGTTGTTTGCCGGACTGGTTTGCAGCCCCTTCTGGCCGCAGGGCCGAAAGACAAGCCACAGCGCCCTGCATGTCCCAAAGCCAATGACCCCCATGACCTGTTGCCTCAAAGGGGATGAAACAGGTTGCAACATCCCAAGACACATGGGGTTGATCAAAAGGTCCTACAAAACGGGACAAGCTACCCATGGTCAAAACTGGAGGTCCTAAGTGGAACATGTTGATCAACCCCCACATCCCTTTGGCCAGTTCCTTTCTTGCTGTTGCCAGCAGGCAATGAGGGCATGACCCCTATAACCCATCCCTTGTGGTTTCCTGTAAGGGAATCCCCGAACGGTGCATTCCCTCATTCCCCACCTATCGAGCGCGTGTTCGCGCGGCCTGTCTCCTCTGCCACGATGACTCTGCCATCGTCTGCTTTGATGCACTGCCGGCAGGTGGGACATCGGCCCAAGCCGTCGCCCAGACGGCAGACCACCTCCTCAGGCTCTCGCGGGCTCTTGTGGGGCGAAAGCTAACCTTCTTGACGTTGCTGCAAAGGGACGCCAAAGGGAAAGACACGAAAATCATTTGGCATTTGGCTGCAACACGTTCCCGAAACATGGACTAAAAACGGCGGCCCCCATGATGTGGTACACATCCCTATTCTGACACACAGATTGGGTTCGTAAACTTGGGATACAGGTGTCTAGCGTCGACCCCTGCACAACACCACTCCCTGCTTTCAGGGGGATCCCTCCAAGGGGGGGGGGGACAGACCGTGGTCACTGTTCGGAAGTGAATTGTAAAAAAAGAAGCAATCGACACACCCAACTTCTAGAGTTCCTCCTGGAACCCGACCTGTCGGAAAACTGGTTGCTACTGAAACGATTCGTCCATCCGCCCACCCCGTTCAACCGGCGCAAAACGCAACCATGGGCATCGTTGACCAACGACGCGCGCTACCCCCCTGCGGCTGAACATGGAACCCAAAAACGCGAGAAAACTGCTTTTGGGGGAACCCCCCCCCCCATTTTTGGGTTCCGCGTCAATTTGCAGGGCTGTAGATAAACAGGCCTGTCAATCAAATCGAGATCAGGTTCATTCCTGCCAAGCCTCGATGCATGGCAGACAGTAGTGAATCGTCGACTTCTCTTTGCCGCAGCAGGGCATGGACAACGGGGTGCATTCCTGGGCTGTTCCCTGTCACTCCCCTGCTGAACGTCTTTAGCTTTTAGTGGTTTAATGGAAACTACCGGCCTAAACCAACTGAAAACCCAAAAGCCAACTCAAAAAAACTAAACACCTTGAAGACCTTACAACCAAAAACTTGAGGAACTGGACGGCTGGAAACCAAGATTCCTCGAAGCAAATGGAGCATGGCACCTTCTCGTCCATGGCTACGCCTGCCCATGCAAAGCAGAACCCCGAAGCCGCTGCCACGAGGCTTTTTGGATGCCTGGAGGTAACCAGGGGCTCGCCACCCAAATCAAAAACCTGCGAAAGGGAAATTGAGGTTTGGTTGCCTAATATGGTGGTTGCCTGAGACCCACTGGGATGGAGTGAAATAAAAGGGCATATGCTTCCACTTGCTTTTTACGCCTGGAAATATTTGTCCAGTCGTCAAATCGATTCCCTCTAAAGCCAACCGGGGGAAAATAAAGATCAAGAAAGCAAAAATCCTTTCAGCACCTGCAAGTACGGCCTAGTAAAAGTCGAGGATATCGTAAGCGAACGGCGGCTCCTTTCTTTTTTTTTGGGACAGCGAAGGCGACCCCCCATGTCAGCCAGTGTCTTGCGCATGCAGCCAGAAACCCCCGGGTTGCAATGCGCATCCGCGTCCGTTCCGTTGGTTGCTGTTGACTCCACTGCAGGTCTAACTTTTTGCGGGGCCAATTCGGAAAACCCAAATGATTTCAACCAAAAAAGTCCAAGTCGAAAGTTTCGAAGCCAAAAGCAATCGAGACCGAAGGGTTTTGGTCTGGCCCAATGCTTCCCAAACACTCGCCTGGCCGCGATTCTAGAATCGATGGCTTTGAGAAGAAAAGGCTTCACTGCACGAACGCTTGCGCAAATCTCAAGCACATGCAACCGACCGCTGCATCATGTGTCATCTTTGTTCATCTAGGTCCTCCAGTAGAGAGGATAGAATAAAGGTACCAACTTTTTTTCCGTGGTCCTCTAGTAGGGGAACCCTCCCAACCAAAAAAGAAACGATGAGAAAGGGCACCGGGCTGGGGGACCTGGTCATGTTGCTCTGCTTCGGGGGGTTTTGGATGCTTCCCTGCCGATCCAGGGCTTTGTCCGTCCAGGATTTGCTGCGATTGGCCGACCGGGACCTACCTCCCGACGGTCCCGACGCACTTTTTGTCACTCGAGACAAGGACTTCTCGGGGCAAAATCTGACCTTCCGAGGCCCCATCCCGGGTGTCCCAGTAGATGTAGACGTCCTCCTGGAAGAATTGATGGGAACCCTCGAGAAATACATCCCTGGTTGATTCATAGGGGGTGTCCCCTTTTGCTCCTAATAATGGGACGAGCGGGGTCTTCTCTAGAATCTCTTTGGGCCTGTTTTGCGTTCCCGGCAAATTTCCCGGGGAGCTCTTGTGTGTGTGTGTGTGCCCACTCCGGTCAATCGCACAAGGGTCACCGAGTCATTGCCGGAACTAACTATTCGCCAGGTCTCCGAAAGAAAACCAAAAAAATGCGGGAGGCCGAGATTTCTCCCGCCAGGGGTCCTCCGACTTCTTGCGCGGTGAGCGTCGGAAGAAACCACGCGCGGTGCGTGGGGCCATTTCCGCTCCGCGCAGCTCAAGATCCCAGCTGACCGGGCCCCAAATGGGATCCCATGGGTCAAAAGCCAAATCGGTTAGCCCCCAGCCAACGTCCCCATCCCAACAAGAACAGGTGCACCCAGCCCAAAATGGGATATTGGTTTTGATCCACGGCCAAATGGGCGCCTTGGCAAGCAAGCTGAAACCTGAGCCTCTGAACTCAGAGGCTCATGCAGCGTCTTGCACATACCCAACACCATGGGATGGATCTTGTTGCTTTCTGCTCCCCTGCTAAAAGTTTTTAACTTTTAGTGGTTTAATACGGAAAACCCATTAGTTGGCAAAAAGTTAAAGTCCTAACAGTTAAGCAAAATGCACAAAAAAACGACCCCGGAATTCTGAGAACAACTCAACTGAGAAACTGCTGCCCAAGGCGCCTTGGCAAATGCATCGCTTGCAAGTCCATTGCTCAGCAGAGTCGGCCTTCGGAGCGCTCTCCCACCTGCGGCCCTTGCCAGTGTTCTTGTGGTTTGTTGCAGGGATGGCAGGTTTCAGCCATTTGGTTCGCGGGGTGTTTGGTTGGAACTGACATGCATTTGTCCGTCCATCTTGCCAGCTGATTTGCCTCCTGAGTTCCGATCACTGCGGCCTACCTTGATGCCTGATGTCACGGCGCAAATGCCGGCCCGCGCCGGCGCGCCTATCTCAAAGAGCTGCAACAATGATTGGTCAATCTGTCTTCGCACCCTGGTGCATTGCTGGAAGGGCACGAAAAGAAGACTAAAGGCAGCTATGGCCGATGATTCTGCCACTTCCGAAGGGGTCACGCACGTACGGCAGAAGCAACAAGACAACCTGTTCAACTTGAAGTTGCACAAACAACTTCATAAACCTTCAATCCGGAGGGTCGTCCAATGTGGGCTTCAATGGGGCCTCAGCTCAGCAAAAGGAAGGCCGCCAGCTTTGGCACGGCTTTCTTCAGTCTGCGCTGGTCAAAACCCCCTTCACGTTCTCCACGACCGGGAACTCCAAGCGCCATTCCAGCCAGGATTCGGAGCGCCCTCCTGCAAAGCGACCCGGCCCGCCCGCCCCCCACAAAAAAAGCGCGCGAAGTGCCGAAGATCCACTTAGATGTCCGACGAGAAATCGCCTCCAAAACGGGAATCCGACAACACCCACTGGCTGCAAGGCCCGCGAACGAAGCACATCTTCCCGACGGCAACTGACCGTATATATAGCCAACCAGCCAGCCAATCACGACCACAGGCACCGCCACAGCCACGAAAAGCACAGCAGGCTGACTTAAATGGAAGTTGACCGAGTTGCTTTAAAGGCCTGGGCAATTGCTCCCCAGCCAGGGGTGGTGAAGTGCCACGGACCCACGGCTTGAACATCCACAGCAACCACAACAACCACAACAGCCAACCAACAGCCGCCACGACGAGGACCACGACCGCAACTGCGACAACGACAACCAGAACAACGACGACAACGACAAAACCAACAACGATGACGCAGCAGCAGCAGCAGCAGCAGCAGCAGCAGCAGCAGCAGCAGCAGCAGCAACAGCAACAGGCAACAGCAGCAACCGCAAACAGCATACAGCAACAGCTGCAATCACAACAAACGCAGCCGCAAAGACTTGGATAGTCATTCTCGCAAGGTGTTTTACGAATTGCGAGCTTGAGCTTGGCTGAAACAGTTGGGGGGTTGGGGATCAGAACTGCGCTGTTCTCCATGTGGCCTTTCCAAAGCATTCAGGTGATGCTCATTTTTGGGGTTTTGATGGTTTTGAGTGTTCGGCTGCATTGCAAGAGGGGGCCTTGCCTATGCAAGTAAAGATGAGGATTATATAGAAGCTGTGACAGCAAATTGATCCATGCGTACTTCCAGTTTAGTCAGCTGTGAAATGCCAAATGCATCCCGCGTATACCAAGAACTGCGAATTGAGCGAACCTCAGGCCCTACCCACTTGCCCAAAGGACCTACAAAGAAAAGGGTTGACCTTTCACGGGACCTCTACCGAAAGAGCTCGCCAAAAAGGGGAAGACCAAAAGCTTAGCCCTAGCCTTCCTCAACCCCCAGGGCCTTTCAAGGTCGTTGAACAACGCCTAACCAGGGAGTGAGCCGTCCTCAAATCCCCCCCCCCCCAAACAAAAAGTTTTCTCCCCCTCCCCCACAGCCCCACAAAAAAACGGTTTTCTCCCCCCTCGTCTCCCCACCCCCAAAACCCCCCCCCGGCCCCAGCCCCGCCGACGTTCCCCGGTGGATCTCTCCTCCCGGCGGCGGCCCGACCGCCAGCACCCAGCCAGGCCGCAGCAGCTCGCTGGCCAGGCCGGGCACCCACACGGGGTCGAACTCCATCCAGACCTCAGCTCTCTCAGCAGGTACCCCCAAGCATAGCAGTGATCTAGGGGTACCTCTAGGGGATTTTCACTTATGGCTCATGCTTCATCTCAAGTTCCTAGGGACCCAGAAGTAAAAAGTCTAGCATAGCCTCAAGAGTTGGTGAATCCCCTTTTCATGGCGAGTGTGAGGGTCCAGGATTATCTAAATCTGTTCACTTGAAGTAAATTCTAGGTCCCCCAGTAGAGAGGACCAAGAACAAGGTACCCTATTTTTTCTCGGTAATCTATTTTCGGAGGGGAACCCTCCCCCAAAAAAGGGTAAAAGGGCACTAGAAACTGGGGGACCATTTTTCTAGGGGTACCTTTCCAGTGATCCTTCTAGAAAACCTCCAGAGGCCCAAGGAAAACGGATCTGGTTTTCGAAAAGAAAACCAAAGTCGACCAGAAAACCAAAGTTGAAAAGAATGGGGAAGCAACCCGTAGAAGTGAATCCACAACCTCTCTGCGCTCCAATCGTTTTTCGGGCACCCTCCGAAAAAAAAGAAAGTTCGTCCAACGCGGTCAGTTCCAAGCTGCTGTCTAGACATGGTGACCTCGTTCAGGACTGATCCAATTTCTTGTTCTCATCTATTAAGAAACACTTGCACAAAAAAAAGGAAGGCTCCTCTCTTTCCAACGGTCATGGAAGTGAATAGGGGGCTTCTCCAAAAGGAATTCCAAAACCCCCGTGTCAGCTTCCATGATTGTCGGAGGGAGAGTGCCGCTTCGTTCAGGACTGATTCAATGCAGCGCTCTCATCTATTTCTAGTCACTTGCACAAAAAAGAGAGTGCCGCTTGAAAAGTCACAGCTTGCCTTTCCACCCAATCCTCCGTCCCTGCAAAAGGAGCCAAACGGTGTTGAGCCCCCACAAACTGGGATTGAAGATCCGGTCGATGGGATCTCTGCACAGGAATCCACGGCTTGGGCCAACCCCTCTACCTGAATAGGGAGGGAAAATGGAACCAGAAATGGAATTGCAGGGGTCTCCCGCAATTTCATTCTTGTTAGGCTCCCTAAAGGAACTGTGCATGAGGCTGCCCAACGACTGCTGCCAATGCCCGAGGTCTCGCAAAACGAGCACTCAAACCAGCCAGGCGACACACTCATCCTTTTCCACCTTGGCTGTGGGGCCACGCAGAGGCCCATTCAAACAAGCCGTCTTTCACGATGTCGTCCCAAGACACCAGCAATCTTATCACTGTGAATGGGCAGCTTGACTTTCATGTGACAATGTGGCAAGGACAGTCGGCAGAGCCGCCCTGACTTTGAAACCTGTTGATGTAACCTGGCCACGTTGAGAAGCCCATTGGGCGCCCGTGTCCTCCCAGAGTTTGTGAAAACGGTCCCTGGGAGGCGGTGCCCGGAAAGCTGGCCGCCGCTCCCCAAACCCCCAGGAAGTTCGGAAACCGAATGCCTCTCAGCCGCAGTCTGGCCAGTGAGCCGCAGCAAAAGCCCGGGCTGCACGCGCAAGCGCTTGGGCTCCAACCCCGCACCATCAGCCACAAACAGCCTCGGCTTTCTTGGACGGGCCCGGCAAAAGGGAAGCAAACGAGGGAAAAACTAAGGGCCCGGGACGGGCGCAAGGGTTTGGTGACTTGCGAGTGTGCGTGCTTTTGGGGGGTCTCCGGCTTCAGCGCTTGCGGGGCATGGGCTTAGGCCAAGCTGGCGCCTTGCTTGCATTGCATCCAACTGCAAGGAAACTCACCACAGGCTGCTGGAGGAGAACTGGGGAACCAAGAATCCTCACGCAAACGCCTACTAGCGCCCCGGGCTTTGAAACAAAGCCCGAAACGCAAGTTATCGGTATGGGCTCTTCAGCCCAAGCCCCGGAGAACGCTCCGTCAAGCGCAGCGCGGATGCTAGGCTTCGTTGTTGCATCGTTCCTGCAACTGCGACACCATTTACCCACATCAGAGATTCTCAATTCTCAACTTTCAAGCTACTCCAGCCAAACCCCAGCGCCATCAGACGTCACGTAGTAGGGGTGACGTCACGTTGTAGGGGTCCCTAGTGGCCAGAATGAAGGACGAGATGATCTTATGTGATGTAAAAGCTAGAAGTGGGCCAGGGGGTTACCTCACGTCGCGTAATGCTTTGGCGTTGCCACGCATAAACACATTTTTATGGGCGCAGTATTTCCCAGTAGCAAGGCACAAACCGGTCATGGACGACTTGTTAGTTCCACCGACTGACAGAAAACATCGTCTTGCCTAACATGTGGAACTTGGCCCCAAAGCAAAAGAACTGCCCTTAATGCTACCTGTCGGCCTACCAACATTGCAGGCGCTTGTGCGCACCAGCATGTGGAACCGCTTGCACCCTAGAAGATGCATGTTGATACAACGTGTTCAATACTGCCTTTGGCATTCAGCCTTGACCCGGCGAAGCGCGAGAATTACACTCTGTGATGGATCCTGGCTCCTGAATAACCACACACACACACACACCTTGGCAAAAGAGCTCAACCACAGGAAAATGGATCGGTCACATTCAAACCTTCCACGTGGTTCTGGCAAAAGGTCCCCTAGCTCAGGACCTGGTTCAAGGGCCATGGCGCCGCAGCTGGTCTTTGTGCATCCATGCCTGCTTAGCTTCTAGCTGGCACATGTCCAAAGGCATGATGTGCGGACAAAACACAGGCAGAACACGAGTGGCGGACAGGAGGCGGCAGTTCATGCAGCGCGGAATCTGGGAACAGTCACACATTTCGCCACGGCCTTTGGCCGGGCAGAACAAACTGCACGATGCGAAGCTTGCAGAGGGTCAGTTCTCGTCAGGGCACTTTACGCATGGTTTCATAAGGTGTCATGCCACCAAGCTTTGCATGCCAAGGCAAGTTCGGGGACAGCCAAAGGCAGGTCTTTTCTGCCAAGCAGCCAGTGCAGGTTGGCCACTCCTGCACGAATTTGGAACGCAGCATAACATCTGAGATGAAACCTCCCTCCAAGTCGGGAGGAGCACTCCCGGGATGTACCGAAGAATCTTCATTCTGGCAGGCGCCCGCACTTCAACTCAGCCGCGGCAGTTTTTTTTTTCCCCCTCTGGCCTTCCCCACCACAAAACCAGAAGTGGGTTGTATGAAGCGGGTTGCAGCTTGCGCCAAAGGACAATCATGCGCGTCGCAGCCAGGGACCCACTTGTTAGAACCAACGAAGGGTTCCCACAGCCCCCCCCGGAAGAAAAACTTCCAGAGAGACCTGCCTGCGTAGGGCCACATGCCCTTCGGGAGGATGCCGGCATCGCGGGCCTCGTAGTAGCTGGTCACAAAGGTCTCCCACTTTTTGGTCGAATCCTCGTCGCTCAACAGGCCTGCGAGCACCTTGCGAAACCAAGCGAAAGCCCCCTGAAGCCGCCTGCAACTCCCCAGGCCGATTTGTTTCATGAAAACTCCATCCGCAAGGGGAATGAGGGCGTTTCAGAATTGGGTCGCACTGCCACCGTCGCGAAAAAATATCCGGCAGCAAAGCTAGCTTCTGTTCACCTTGTTGGCTCAAGGCACGGCGGAAGGGTAATTCACTTTACCAAATCTTGCGGGCCGGCCACGGGAATTGAAAATGCTCACATAGTCGCGGGCATCTGCACATAAGCATCATGCAAGGCCCGGTGTGACAAGATCTTGTGGACTTGCCCTGCATTTCCCTGCTATTAACTGACTTATTTTCGTCGGGTCATCATTTCCTCGCTTCTCTCATCAACACGCTGTGAAAAGATCCATCGGAAGCAGCGGGTTAGAAACGAGGAGAATTGTGTGGAAGGAGATTCCAGCCGCTGCACGCTGTCACATACCTCTCCACTATCCTGGCGAGCCCGCCTCATACTCCGCGTCTGCGAGGTTATTGCCAGAGGCCTTCCGGGCGCGGCGCAGGAACGCCAGGAGCGGCGCAGGGCAGAAGCGGTACTCCGGAGGCACCACCCTGAGCCGATGAGACAGGCCAAGGTCAAAACTAAACCAACAAACATGGCACGTCCGGGAGGGTACCTGGAAGATAGGTTTCCTCTTCAAGGGACCCCATGTCTGGTGCTATGTTAGTTGGAGGGGGGGGTACTTTTTCTTGGCCCATCCACTCAGGTTGTGTGGGTATGGGTCAAAACGACCAGAAACCCGCAGGTTCTAGTCCTTGCTTCCATTTACAAGGGCAACCCATTTTAGGGGTTGCCCCATTTTTGACCCAATTGACCAATTGACCAATTGACCATTCTGGGGTTTTGGGTGGTGCCGGCTGTAAGCCCTCCCCTTGAGCTTCTCATTGGACCAGCAAATGCCCAAGCAGGATCCCCGGAGCCTTCCCTCAAAATGAGGCGCGCTGACACCCGTTGGAGTTTGGGCTCTCCGCCCAGGGTTTAGCGCTGAACCCTCATTCTGGCGCACACCCTTTTGAGTTTGGGAGCTTCGATAAAAATATCGAAACCAAAAAGTTGGAGCTTCGCCAACCCTTCTTTGCCTCAATGAAATGTTGAAGCACCCGACCCCCATTTCGCCCCCCAACCCCCACCCCACATTCTCACCTCAAGCCCCACTCCATGTGAACCCTGTCACCGGGAGATGCGCCCAAGGGCTTTGGGAAGCCGCTTGAGGCGCTGGAAGCGTGGGCTCAGGGCTCAGGATTGGTTCAGGGTTTGAGGCTGGGTTTGGGGTTGATTTAGGGCGGGAGTTGGATTAGTAGGCGGAGCTTGCAGACAGTGTAGAGCGTACGATGGGATTACAGAAGAAAAAAAAAGACCGGCATTTCCCCAGCAAGAGACGGTGGCGGGACTTCCATGTTAGAGGGACCTCTGAGAGCAGGACTTCCTGTTTAATTCCAGAGAGAGTGGCACCGGCTTAGGGTTGGGCAAGCAAAAGCCACAAAATCCACAAGCTGCAAAGCTAAAACCGAAAGCTCCCGCCAGCCGGGGGGGGGGGTCAAACTCTCCCGGCCTCGTCCCCTCTTCGAGAAATCGGATCTTGTCTCGTGCCACACGCTGGCCCCCTTCTTCCCTCAGTCCGGGTGAGCGCGACGAAGACAGCAGCCCAAGTCGGAAAGTCCACTGTTTGCATTAAAAAGTTCAAGCAATTAGCCATAAAGAAACATGGGAGCTATCAGTTTGAGGGAATTGATCCAGGTTCCCTTCAGATCGAAATTGCCAACCATCTTCAGGTTCGCAAAAGCCCTTAAAGGCTCCCTTCCCTTCCCAAAAAAGGGCCCAAACGAGGCACCAGCTCTCGTTGGGGTTCGCCTTCACCTTGGCGCTCCAGGGGAAGCCCCCCAGCAGGCACCGCAACAGCAGCCAGCCCAGGGACTCCACGTCGTCCGCGGCGGTGCGGGGACCCCCCTGGCGGAAAGTTGCTTTCTGGGCGCCACTCGCCCAAAGGACCTACTGCGGGAAGGCCTGTTTGGCTTCCGCCGGGATGGCTCCACTCACTCCAATTAGAGGGGTGGGGTCTTGAGCAATGTAACGGAACCAACTCAAAAACTTAAGTTGACCCTTTGGGGCAGGGTTATGGAATCAAGGCACTTCTGTGATACAAGGGAATCTCCCCCTGTATATGGGGTGTTAGTCTTTGGGGAAGCCCTCTTTGTTGTATCACAGAAGTGGGTTCCATTTCCCACAACCCTGCTTTGGGACCTCTACCAAAAGGCCCCAAAATGGGGCCAACCCCCCGAGGTTAGATCCCGGTTCGCTTCGAACCACTCTCCACACCAGCACCTTACAGCTGCACCAACTCCAAAGCTGAGGCCAAAGCGACCGTCGCTCACACCAATTCCCCCAAAGAGGCCCGTTTTGCCGCGATGCAAGAGCAGTGGGAAAATCAGTGGGCTGCCTTCTGCTTTACAAAGAAATAAAAGAGCCTTGGAGAAACCGCCGTAACTCACACCAGCACCACCTCCCCCCAAAGCTAAGGAAACCCTCCGCAAACCCCCCGGAAACCCGAAGACGGCCACCGACCACCGAAGCCGAAGCCGAAGCCGAAGCCGAAGCCGAAGCCGCGCCTCGAGGCCCGCCTTGATGGACATGAAGTCCCGCATGCCCCCGTGGCCCCGCTCGAAGCTGGTGCGGCCCATGTACCCCGCGCGCCCGAAGTCGATGAGCTGGGCCCAAGGCGCCTCCGCGGCGAAAAACGCGGCCGAAACGCGGCCGTTTGGCGACCCTCGGAGAGTCTTTGGCGCCCCAAACCCCTCTTGGTTCTAGTCTACCTTGGGGTTAAAGCAAAGCCAATTTCTAAAGCTTTATAGCCTTGGGGTTTGGTCAATCTTGGTTGGTTCTACTACCTGACAGGAAAAAAATCAGCAAATGACCCCGAAATACCCTCAACAAGCTGTTTTCCTGTTGAATTTCCTGCAACCCAACCCTTTGAGACCCCTCGGCAAAAAGGGTCCACCACTTTTCTTGGTGATCCGTACACTTTTTCTTGGTGCTCAGGAGGAAATGAGAAGATAAACCCATCCAACCTGCAAAAGTTGAGCTTCACTTTTCTTGCTGGTGCGAGAGATGCAGGGATGAGAAATGGAATGACCCCGATATAAACCCATGCAACTGGTGATGTATGTCCTTTAAGGGATTCTCTGCAAAAGTTGAGCTTCACTTTGCTTGCTGGTGCGAGAGATGCAGGGAATGAAACTTCGAATGACCCCGAAATAAACCCATCCAACTGACGGCTTCCTTTAAGGGATTCCCTTAAAAACTTGGTTGCAGCGACTTTGTGAAAAGTGAGCTTCACTTTGCTTGGCTGGTTGCTACGCACACATCGCCTTTCCACATTGAACAGATGTTGGTGGATTGGCCCGACAAAGAGAAATTGGGAAAGTGAGTTCTTCTGTCCTTTCATCTTGCTGCTGCGATAGGCAGGGAATGAGAAATGGAATGACCCCAAAAAAAAAACCATCCAACTGGTGGCTTAGTTCCTTAAAGGGATCCCCCTCCCAGGGTGGGGTGCCTCCTGCTTCAGCAGCACGTTCCCCGGCTTCAGGTCGCAGTGCAGGATCTGCTTCCCGTGGATCTGGCGCAAGGTCTGCAGCAGCTGGCGGCCCAGCCCGGCCGCCACGGGCCAGGACAAGCGCCCCAGCACCCGCTGAGAGGAGTCCTGGATGTGCAGCTGGCCTTCCCGTAGGGCGGCCGAATCGGAGTCCGGAGGATGTGATGTTAACCCTGGATTAAGCAAAACCCCTGGCTGATGAATATGGGGGTGTTCCCCTCCAAAAGTGATAAATCCCCAAGGACACCTATGGGATCACCTTTTGTGGCCATGACCAATGTTAACCCCGGACTCAGCAAAACCCCTGGCTGATGGATTTTCATCGGGGGGTGGCCGATTCCGTTGAGTGGTTGGGTTCAGGCCACTTTTTGGAGGGAACACCCCCCTAAAAATGGGACGGGTGTATTAATCCTGGGTCAACATTCAGGGCAAGATTGCAACCACAGACTAGTAAATCACGTCGCACAAGCAGTGAGCTGAGCGGGGTCCGTATAAAAGCTCCAACCGACTTGGAGAAGCCATGTCTTGGGGGTGAGTAAGCAGGAAATGAGCCACCACCGAAGTCGGAAGTCGGAAAACTGGGGGCCTCTTTTTGCAAGCCTTGAGGAAGCGAGCAGCGACGTTAACACCATGCTGGCCTCATGATTTTATCAAGGTCACCCCCGTTCAGTGGCGGGTTGAAGGGAACAACCACGTTTTCTGACTTTGATAACCCCCAGAAACAGTCAAAATAATGACCCCAGCCATGCTCAGCTTTGTTGGAGGTTAGAATAAGGGTGCCAACTTTTTCCGTAGTCTATTTTAGTAGGAGAACCCTCCCCCACAAAAGGGTAAAACGGCACTACTGGCGGACCTAGTTAAGGAGGAAATGAGCAGCGACATTACCACCATTCTGCTGCTACCTTCGGGGGTCCCCCTTATTTGGAATGGAATTCGGGGGATCCCCACCCCCCACCCCCTCTCCCCCTTAACCATGAATGAGCCACGCTACCTCCCAACCAGTCTTTCCAGGAATATCCGAATCGTTCTAGAAAACCTCCGGAAACACCAGGAAGGCGGATCCGGTTTTCGAAAAGAACGATGGTTGGAAAGAATGGAGGATCAACCCTTAGAACCATGAATCCAACGGGAAAGCCACCATTTTGGGGCCTTTCCGTGCCGTCCCCCCCCAAAAAAAAAAACACACACACATTTATGATCCCCCGGCAGGACCACCTGCTAAAACGGCCACTGTTGGGCGCTCACATGAGACCCCGGCCGGGCACAGGCCCCAAACTTCCAAAATCCTCGGAAGATGTATTGCTCTTGCTGGTTCGATAGGCAGTGAATGAGTTGGAATTTAAGGGGATCCCGACTTGTTCATTCCCAGAGGTAAGTCCAAGCAACTTGAGGCGGCCAACCTGTCTGCCCTCGACGAAAACGCAGGCAAACCTCGGCCGAAACCGTTTCTGCCAGCGCCCCTTGCCTCTGAGCAAAGTGTCCAGGCAAGGCTCCGTTTTGGACATTGCCATATAGACGCCTGGGCCGACACCCCAAAAGCAGATGACGCAACAGGCGCTCAGCACGCGTTTCTTATCCGGCAAAAACACGGAAATCTGCTACCACCATACCACCAGCATGCAACAGCAGAGTGGCCGTGCAAAGGCTTGCGTTCGTTCTGGCCTGGCCTTTCTGTTTTGGCTTGACCTAATTGTCACTGACCTCACTTCTTCCAAGGCAGCCAGATGGTTCTCGCCGAAAAATCAACAAATCCAGCCATCAGCCAGCACCAAGCCTAAGCCGAGAAACCCCGCTTCCCCCCGCCCCCAACAAAAAATCCAACCACCAACCCACACCAGGCCAAGAACCCCCTTCCCCCCCCCCCCCCCCGGCCCCTGGCCCCCCCGCTGGCAGCTCACCTCAGCCAGAGGCACCTCGCACTCCCTCGAAGTGCACCCGCCCGAAGTCCAGCAGATCCGGCAGCCCCGGCACCTCCACCAGCCGCGCGTAGAGCTCCAGCTCCTCCGCCTGGCGGAGGAAAAAAGCGGCGCTCGAAGTGGCGGGACTCAGGGAACTTGTGGCAACCCGTTGGTGTGGGCGTGGGGAAAAAAGGACAGAGTGACTCCCTTGGCGTGGGCTTGGGGAAGAAGAAGAAAAAGAGGACGGGCTGTTTTTCTTGCGGCCCACCAAAAAAGGAACGGGACCAAAAAAACAACTAAAGCAAAGAAAAGGAAAGAAATAGCAAGAAAGTGCAAAGAACATGGAAACACAAAGGAATGGAACCGATCATGTTTTTCCATGTTTTAAAAAAATAAATAAACGGGAATGGAAAGGAAAGAGAAGGGAGGAAAGTCGTTGAAAAGGAGGGGATGTTCGATCGGGAGACCAGTCGAACGGCAAGAGTGACCCGTGCTGAAATACATGAGGCAAGCACACTGAACCCCAGAACTTGAGTTCATCAAGTATGGACTGTATGAAACGAACCCCTGGTGTTAACCCTTACTTCTTGGCCGAACAGCGGACAGGCAAGGATGAAACAGTGACCTGAGGCAAAGTTCATTGAAAAGGGGGGACCAGCAAAATAGGTGGTGTTCCTTTTGGTTTCCCTTCAAACCAACCCCCAAAAGAAGTTGCCGACTACAGTCTTGAACAGGTCCTACTGGACACCCCCCCTTTCGGCCTCCCAATCTCCCCAGGTCTTGCACTTTAGGCACCCCAGGACCAAGGCAATACGTTATGGCTTTGAGCGAAGGGGGCGGGCCCGGGGGGGGGGGGGGGTCGTTTTCAGGGTCGGAGCGCCGGCGTGGCAAGCACTTGCGGAGTGGTTGTTTTGTGAGGAGCTGCGCGTTTTCTCCTGGCAATCTTGGTGAGCGCCAGCAAACGCAATCCCCTTTGCCTACGGCAAATGATGCTGGAGATTGGACACCCCCGCCCTCTCCGCCCCCCCCCCCCTTTCCCCGCCCTCTCTGCCCCCCCCCGCTCAACGCCCCCCCTCCCCCAAACCCCCAAACCCCCAACCGCCCAACCGCCCGCAGTCCTCCAGGGGGAACTTCAGTGCCGCCACCCCGCCCAGGCCGCAGCCCGGCCAGCGGCAGGTGTACACCGTGGCGCCCTGCTTCCCCCGGCCCAGGTGCCCCGAGATACGCCAAGCCCCCAGCGCCTGGCGGTGGCAAGTATGTGCATAATATTTATAGGGAGAGAGAGAGAGAGAGAGAGAGAGATGTACACATACAGATGAACATGTAACATATGTAAATAGATTCCTACATGCGGAAGGACAAAATCTATCTATACAAATCTATATATACATATACACAAACAAATCGCGTCAAGGGACACACAATTCCAACTTTATTCGGGGTACCCAGGGTGACTCCCTCTCTCTCACACACACATACACGTCACAGGGGCAGCCACGCGAATCCCCTTGCACCCAAACCGGCCGAAGCGTGCATGTGGAGTTGTTGATGGTTTTGTTGCTTCAGATTCAAGGTGTTGATTTTGAGTTCCTCCCTGAGCACGAGTTCGAACCCGGGGTTGTACACCCTGCCATCTGCTCCCAAAAGACATGGCCTGGAGAACAAGCAGATTTTGCCCGTTTGGACCTCAGCGAAGACATAACGCCCGGCCCCACCCGCGCCTGAAAGTCATCTTCTTCAGCCTTCTGCCCCTGAATCCTGACGAGGCTGAGGTCCCAACAGCTCAAGGAGCTCGCACCATAACCCATTAATCTAGGGGTTGATTCCTTGTCCATTCTTTTCAACCATCGTTCTTTTCAAAAACCAGCTGTTTTCCCGGGGTTTTGGGTGGTTTTCTAGGGGGCAACCCTTAGAATTAGCAGCTTCAATTGCCACGCCCCAAAACAATCAGTTGACCTTTGGTTGTTTCATGCAGGTCCTGCCACGCGGCAAAAAGCCACTGCCACAAGAAGCTTCCAGCTGACGCTTGCACTGGTCATTCAATTCGTATGAAACTCCGTCACGCTTAAAAAACCACGGAGGGTCCAACTGGTCATTCAAAAGTTTATGTGAATTTCAAGTAGAGGCCCTCTGGTGGACATCATTTAGGTGGGGATTTATGTTCACCGACCACTTTTGCCGTGGCTCCCTATCAACAACTTCCTAGCCTTGTGGGGCAAAACTGCCCGCGTGGCCCCCACCAAACTCCGAATCGAGTCGAGGCGTCGAGTCGAGGCGCCGCCAGCCCAGGGCCACCGCGCAGCCCTTGGGGCAGGCCACGAAGACCTCCGCGCGCCGCACCGCGCCCAAAACCGCGCCCAACACCGCGCCGGAGGCGGAGCCCAGGAACCAGGCGCGGTCCTGGAACGAGGCCGTGACTTGCGGCCTTTTTGGGGGGGGGGGGGCCTGGGTGTTTCTTGTTGGGCTTGTTTTGTGACTTGTTGGTGACTTCTTGGTGACTTTTTGGTGACTTTTGGTGATTTTGGTGACGTTTGGGGTTCTTTGAGGAGGCCCTTGCTGACTTTGGGGGGGGGGGGGGGCTTGGTGGTTTTTCTCACTTGCCCCTTAGGGACCTGGAAATCAAAGGTTGACCTTTGGGGACGTCTGCCAAAAAATGGACCAAACAGAGGTCCAACAAAAGGTCAAAAGGTCAGCTGGTGTTTTTTGAGGGAGGCCCTTGGGTTTTTTTTGAGGAGGCCCTTGGAGTTGCGGGGGGTTGGTGGTGGTTGAGCTGCAGATGCTTACGAGGGGTGATGGCCAGGCACAAATCTCGGCTCAACAGCCATTCACGTCCCAAAATGGCGGTCAAACTGTGCGGGAGCACTCTTCTTTGAGGTGCCCTTTGAAAGGATGCCTTGAAACCAAAACAACACCACTTTTGGAGCGCCTTGATTTACACAACCAATATCTGGCTACCAACCCAAAAGCAACCAAACAAAGGAAAAAACAAAACAAAACCCGCAACCTCAAAAACGAAGACGTAGACCCATGGATGCTTGACTCACAAGAACAAAAAGGTGCCAACTCCAAAACAAGGAAGAAACAAACAGATCCAACTTCAAAAAGCAAAAGGTCAAGGAGACCGCGACAGACCAACTCCAACACAAGGAATACAGTTTAAAAGCGACCAACTCCAAAGAAAGGGGACCAACTCCAAAGAAAATAGTACCATGAAGAAAAGAACACCAGCTCTACCAGCTCCAAAGAAAAGAGAACCAGTCTCGGAAAAAAAAAAAAGCACAGAGAAATGCTGCAAGTTCCGAGGAAAAGAGCACCAAGTCCCTCTAGAAAGGCTGAGACTTGGTCGCTGCGACCCACATTTTGCCGCGCCGCCTGGTGCGCCAAGTCGGGCCCCAGTAGCTCATGCCGCAGCGAAGGGTTGGCGCCCTCCAGGCTGGGGTACAAGCGCCCGGTCTCCGTCTGCACCTGAAACGGAGTCGGGGAATTCGAGGAGTCTGACCCCGAAAAAATCCATCCCCGATGGGGTGTTCTTTCAGGGGAACGGTTCATTCCCTCACTCCCTGAGCGCCAGCAAGTTGTTGGTTGTTGCTACACCTTTGTCTATGAAGGTCAAGGGGTAGGAGGATGCTTTTGCTACTTGCGATTGTCCGAAAAATGCAAGGCTCACCCTTTGGGACTTCTGCCTAAAGTGGTTGCCTTTTCATCAAGGGTTTCGGCGTTGCTTGTTCTACCAATGGAAAGCTATCGAAAAACCAATGGAAACTGGAAAAGCCAAAAAGAACAGCAAACCTTGAACCTTAGCATGTTTGAAACGTTTTAATTTGTAGGCCCCCCCCTCAAAGCCTTTCCCAAGGGGTGGGGGATGCTTTTTCTACTTGCCCACAGGACCTACAAATACAAGGTTGACCTTCTGCCCAATTTTCGGGGCAGGCTGGAAATTGTTTTTATTGCAGCCGTGGGCCGTTGGGCACACAAACTTGCAATTACACCCCCAGGCTGTTCAGTGACTCTGGTAGAAAAAGGGAACCCTTTTTGGGTTTCATCATTCTTTAGTGGCGAAGCCGCCAAGCACAGAAGGAGAAATGGTTCCACGGAACAACTGGGACCCTGTCCGACACACAAAGTGAACGACGTGCTTTGCAGCTGAACGTTTGGTCGTGTGTGGGGAAAAGGGATGCTTCTGAAAGGAACCCTCAGGAGTCCAATCTGTCAATGCGTGTCAGCCAGAACGCCTAAAGAAGCGAGACGTTTGCAATCAAGCTGGCGGCTGATCCCAAGCTAGCTTGGGCAGATCAAACCCAACTCTTCGGGTTCATCTGCATGCTGCGTGTTCTTCCACTCTTCAGCAAACCTGCCTGAAATAGCGCGTCCTCGTTACAAGGGATCTCCAGAATGCAGGAGTACTGCGTCCCATCCCAGCGCATGTCCTGGAGGGGTGGGATACCAAACGCATGTCATCACAAGCTGCAGGCTGGCGGTGCCTTCATCTCACTTCCTGACAACTGGCTGTCAACATTGGTCAGTTCACTTCCTGGGTGGATGGCCCAAAAAATAGTCCAAACTTTTTGTTTGCCACGAAAACGGTCTTCCCACAAAATTCAAAGTCCAGGAACTCAGGAAGTGATCCCTCTCCTGGGTGATCTCCTCCCCGCTGCCCCAGAAGCCCACCAGCTGGCACCGCCCCAGCGGCTCAGCAGGGGGCCTCCCCTCCCCGCCCAACGTCCCCGCCGCTGCCCGCGCCAAGCGCTGCGCGAGGCCAGCAGGCCAGCGCTTGCCCGGCGGACGGCCCTCGCCGGGCGGCCCCGCGCCCGGAGCGGCGGCGCGCCTGGCGCGCCTGGCGCGCCCGGCGCCGGGGCGGGCGCGGCCGCTTTCGGCTTCACATCCAGGTCCTTCGGCTTCCGCGCGGGGAAAAAACAAAAAGCAGCACCAACCATGCCGCCCCCAGGTTTGCCATGGTGCCAATCGCGCATCAAGCACTGCCCGAAGCCACGGGAAACGCACGTTCCGGCGCCTCCTTCTTGCCCAGCAGCGCCATGTCATCAGCATCTAGCGCCGCGGAAGGCCGTCCCGGCACCCGGTAAGCCTGAACGAAACGAGCCCAGACCCCAACTTCCTCGGTTTTCTCGGGCTGTCAATTGGGCTGGGGGAAAATAACCTCAGCCCGTATGACAACTTATGCCCTGGCATCGGTTAGTATGGTCTTGTTCTCCTCGGTGTGAAGTGCTTTGGCACAAAGAAACTTAATGGACGGGCCCTTACACAACGAAAAGGCGCGGGGCTTCCGTTTTTAGCCTGCATGGCTTGATTCAAGTTAGGCACAACAAGCAGGCACAACAAGTCGAGCCGAAAAAGCTCGCCCGGTCAAGAATGCCCCACAAAACAATGCCACCACCGCCGCCGCCGCCACCACCACAAGCAACACACCACGCGGGTTTTCACCCCGCGGCCCATCAGACCCAGCCTCGTAGCCCTGAAACGCGCCCTGCGCCGTCAGCTGCGCCACCCGAGGCATGAGGCCGTGCGGCCATGGGCTCGACCGGACGGAGGGTGAGCCGAAGGGGAGGATGCAGAGGGAGATGGGTGGCTCGTCTTTTTGGTGCCCCCTTTGAGGGAACAAGGGCAGAGGTTGCCAGAGCGGTTCATATTTTGGGGTTTTGAAAGGAAACCAACACGTGCAAAGGTGCCCTGTGTTTGAACCGATCTCCCAAAGATGTCCCAGCTCCGCGGTTGCCGCGCTTGCATACCGGTTCCATTCCAATGGCTGCGCTGAAACTGGAATGCTCAGGCCTCTAACTTACGGTAGGCCACACTGCCGTAGACAAAGAACGAAGACATGAGGTCACCCGCACGGAACAAGAAAGAAGGGTGATGCCGGTGACACCTGCTGGAGGCTCTCAGGTGTTTTGCCGGAACCGCCACTTAGGCGGGCTGCCTTTGAGGCCCCTCTGCCTTGAGTGCGCGTGGCGCCGGAATGGTGGAAGCTTCGCACAAAAGAAGGCCTGTCGGGCTTTCGTCAAACCAACCAACCAACCAACCCACCCACCGACAAACAAGCAAATATAAATAAACGGGCCAACAAATTAACATACAACAAACTGACAAACAGACAGACGGACGGACGGACAGACGGACGGACGGACGGACAGACCACAAGACAGGCAGGCAGGCAGACAAACAGAAAAAACCAACAAACGAAGAAACAAACAAACAAACAAACGAACAAACAAACAAACAAACAAACAAAGAAAAATAACATACGCGCACAAGCCAAACCAAGCCGGACCAACCAAACAAACAAGCAAACAAACAAGCAAACAAACAAACAAATAAACAAACAAACAAACAAACAAACAAACAAGCAAACAAACAAACAAACAAACAAACAAGCAAACAAGCAGCAACAGTAAGAGCAACAGCTACAACAAGCAAAACAGCAACGGCAACAGCAGCCGTAAGAGTAACAAACAAACAAACAAAAAAACAAACAAACAAACAAACAAACAAACAAACAATCAATCAATCAAACAAACAAACAAACAAACAAACAAACAAACAGCCGGCGGCGGCACTGCCCGAGTCCTTCTGGGGTGCCGGAAAAACCGGTGTGCCCGACTTTAAACGAGACACAACAAGCTCCCTGCCATCCCAAGGATTTTTAGCCACTCCAGCTCGCAGCTGTGCGAAGAGCCTAGGCGCCAGTTGAGAGTCCGCTTCAGAGCGTGGCCGTTCTGAATCCCGACAGCGCCGAGGAGAAATGGCCCAACTGCGCTCGTTTTTGGAACTGTTACGAGTTACGCGGGCCCCAGCGATCATGGAAGGGTGCCAAACCAATGGGTCTGCGCTTGATGCGGATTCTCCCCTGCCCTCGCCTCCTCTCAGCTACACAAGCTTCGGGAACCACAGCCGCCCGTCGGCCATCCTGGGTGCCCATGGCTGGCATAGGAGCCACTTGCCACCCAGATGAGGCGTCACGCGGACGCCGTCTCGACATCATACTTTGGGGCAGCTTTGCTTGTGATCGTTGCCGGTGTCGCAGGGGTGGCAGAACCACACCAAAATCACATAACGGGGCTTCTCACCCCAATGGCTCACCATGTGCGGATAGGTGTCGTCGAAAAGGATCGCCTCACCCTCCACCCACAAACGCCGCTGGTCTGCTACCTGGGCGACGTCACGACTGGAACTAAGGCGATACAAGTGTTGCGCTCCTGGCTGACTGGTCATTTGCAGTTCTTGCCGGCCAGGAGGGTCAGAGGGCGAAGGCACCTCCCCTCCCAATCAACTCCCTTCCACGAAAGGCAGGGTCGAGAGTCCCTTTCAACCAACCCCAAAACGGGGCACCCAACCCCAAAAGGGGGCACCAACCCACATGGCTTCCAGCCTGTCAGAGGCAAGTTCCGCCGGGCCGCGGTGAGGCCCGCTTTCATGGGCTCCGGCGCCAGCACAGAGAGGTGGGCCGAGAGCCGAGGACCGTTGCCATAGTGGGGCTTCAGGTGCGTCCCCGGGTTCAGCCGCACCTCCAGCCCCCCGATTCTTCCCTCGAATCGGGGCCGAAGCCGGAGCCGGAGCTCAGTGGTTTGGAGGTGTTCCCCAAAAGCTTCCCTTCTATACAGGAACCAGGGGGTTCAAATCCAAATCCAAACGGATTGGTTGTTTGAAGTCAGCTTTGACCCAAGATTTCTCAACACCTGTTTATTCATGGGGGGAGCGTCCCCGGGCGAAATGTGGGGATTCAGAGCACTTTTGCAGGGAACACCCCCTAGTAGCAAAACTGGGGTTGATTAATCTGGGGTCAACAGTAGGTGGTCTGGAGCCGAATCGGAGGTGTGCGACAGCTGCCTTCCCATTGATTCAAGAACCAGGTTCAAATCCAAATCCAACCACTCCAAACCACTCCAAACCAAAAACTCAGCTGAGAGGTGGACAATAATCCCGGGCATCAACCCCTCTGGCACCCGAGGTTCAACTTTCGCTTCGGAGACGCCATGGCTTGCAGCTGGGGGAAAGAACTAAGCCCAAGGAGGGAGGGGGGGCGGGAGGGCGGGGGGGTGGTCAAGTGAGGCTTGGGCTGAGTTGCTGGGCTGCAGAATTTTGGCATTGACAAAATGAAGCCGGAAGCACGTCAAGAGGCCGCCGAATGTAGAAAAGCGGTAAGCAAAGGCCGAAAACAACCACTTCACACAACCGAATTGTCCCATGCAGGAGAAGAAATGCAGCTCTCAAAAACACAAGCAAAGCAAGGTGAAGCCTAAGTCCTAAGCTACGCTTCTGACCCCGCGGACTTGCAAAAGGCTTCAGGGGAAGAGCTGCACCCCTCGCTTTCTGAAGGACCAGCCGTGGGATGCGACAACCTCCTAGCCTCAGCGCGAAAAGATGCATGCCACGGCCCTTTCCGGGGTTCTCCGGTTCAATCTGCAAGCCGGCTCCCTGCCCAAAATTCCGCCCCGGGCGCGTAATTCACGTTCATGAACTTGCAGTCGTTGATCTCGGGCCGCGTCTTGATCAGCCTCAGGCCGAGGCCGATGGACCGAACAGCGCGGAAGGAGCCCTCGGCGCGGGCTCATAAGAACGACCCCGGCGAGGGCGAGCCGGGCCCCGGCAGGGGCGCTGGGAGATGAAGGTGTGAAAAAGCCAGGCCGGTCCCCGTCCCTCTCGGACGGCGAGAAGCAAGAGATGACGGGGAAAGGGAAGATAATTAAGGCATTGGGACACCACAGTGAGAAAAGAAAACAGGGCTACAAATGAATGTCGTGTCGTAGGAACAGGTACAATCGGAGCAGAGTGGAGAGAACAGGCATGCGGATGAATGACTCACAAACCTGAAAATGGTTTTCAAGACAGGACCCTTCAGTGAAGCCACAGTTCTGCTTTTCAATGCTACTTGCCCAAAGGATTGCGATTCTTTCTCTCAATGTGTCCATGGCCATCTTGGAGGCTTGTCTACCCGCCCTCTCCCCCAGAACCTGCACATTTAAGTTGCTTCATTTGAAGAAGGGTAGGGGGAAGATGAAACTGCACTATGCGGCCGGCTTGGAGTAGAACCACGCTACGACGCATGAGGGGATTAAAAGAAAAAAGGCGCGAGACTGCCGTGTTGATCATCATGTTGTCTTCTTTGTGTTGCCAGTATGCGCCCGGGATAAAGGAATGGCTTGGAATTTCGCAATACTCGCCCGCTTGTAATATGTGGTTCCATTGAACCACGTTGCTGCCATGGACGAAATCCGGCACCACTTTGAAACCATGGGGAACCAGGGTTTGTTGGCATTTGCAGGGCAATCATCATTCCAGGGTTTGTTAGGTGGTGCGAAATGGATTTCATCCATCCACAAAGCAAACTCATCATTTGCGGTTTTCTTTCATGCAGCTTTGGCATGGAAAAAAGTCAATGCTCTTCATGGCATCGCTCTGAAACACAAACATGGGAGAAGGAACCGGTAGACGGTTCCGAAGTGGCAATGAATGAGTGGAACTGCCATGCTCTCACAGAACTCCGGTCGGTAGCTCCGAAAGGCTCTCTCTTTAAAGGCAAATTGGAATACCCCTAGCTCCGGAACGCTGCCTTCCAACCACTAGCTAGGGATTGGGTGTTGTGGAGGAAGTCACGTCTCTGCGATTTCTGTTTGAGATGTGCCTAAAACGACCAACCCTCCGCCCAGCAACGCGCGCGCCAGTGTCAACAGCCGAGACACTCGCAAGTCCTGGGTGCCACTTGGCAAAAGACGTCGTACCTCGAGTACAAATCCGCTAGGCCCGTTGGACTCTTGGGAATCCTGAAGCGGGCCCCCAGCAGAGAAGCACCCCTCCCTTTACGAAAGGGTTGACTGATCTGACACCCGACCCATGAAACATCCTGCCTGGAATTGGGCGTGTCTTCTTCTTCTTCTTCTTCTGCTTCTTCTTCTTCTTCTTCTTAATCTTCTGGGTGTACCATTTTTGGGAGTGGTTTTCAAGGAAAACCGATTAAGCCCCCGGTGACGCGCGCCACATGTCTTGCCGGCCGGCCGGACCAAATCCCAGTGACAGACAGAAGCAGACCAAACACACAGGCTCACAGCACAGGCCCACAGGAAAGGAGACACGGAGGCATGGAGATACAGAAACACAAACCCAGACACAGACACAGAGAGGGAGGGAGAAGACAACAAAACTGAAAGAAGAGAAAGCACCACCCACTACCGTTCTCCGCTCTTCGTCCGCTACTTCTCGCTTTGGCAAGGCTCCAGTGGTGGTAGCGCACGATCCGCAGCGTGTCCCAGCCCCCAGGGGTGGCCAAGTGCTCCCTGGAGGGGTCCAGCTGCATCAGCTGCCCGAAGATGTCGTTGGGCTCATTCAGGATGGCCTCCAACTCGGCCTCGCTCCGCGCGTTGGAGACATGTCCTTCTTAAGAAAATAGGTGGCCCTGGCCATCTAAGTAGTTGATGGAACCAGGGCCCTCGATTTTTGGACCCAGTTAACCAAAAAGGACAGCTATGGCTTCAACTTCATGCGGTCTGGATCGGGTGGTTCGGGGGGGGGGGGGTACCTTTCCGGTGGAGTCGCGACCACGCGGTTTGGGGGCCCGCCCAAAAGCGAGGGAAATCGGTCTACCAGGCCATCAGCAAAACTTAGCCGAAGTGATGGTCAAACCCTGGCCTTTCAAAGGGAATCCGCGGAATGTGCATCGTGCTGAAACGCCTTGCTTGAGGTTGGAATGCAAGGTAATCTGCATCCACGGCCACAACAGTATTGTTGATGAAACAGCGACTATCCCTATTCTGGAGGAAGCTGCTCAACCTCGCACGGCGTGAATTCATAGCTGACTTCATGAAAGTGTACCCCTTGCCCTGGCCGCAGTAAGGCAACTGTGCGACGCGTGTGAGCTCAGGAACCTCTGGTCCGATCCTCGCCGCCCCGAACTTGGTCGCGCACAAAAACCGTTGCGACGCCATGCCCCAAGCAAGGCCACTCCGACATCTGACCTGCTGAGCTCCTGGCCAGAAAAAAACACAAACAAACTCAGTGAGCCGATGCGGATACCAAAAACAAGAATGCTAGGGTTGGCGCTAATAAGTAGTGGGTTTATATTTTCCAGGCACACAAGGCCCGCCTTCCAAGCTTTAGCACCCAACCCACATCCAACCCATCCAACCCATCCAACCCATCCAACCCATCCAACCCATCCAACCCATCCAACCCATCCAACCCATCCAGCTGGCCTTGAAGATGGGGTGGTTCTCCTCCAGCCAGGTGCCCAACGGGAGCTCTTTGGTATCCCAAATGGGCCTCGAGGGCCTTCCCGCGAAGATGATGGAGTTGAAGTTCACGTGGGCCGGGCTGGCCCACACTTGCCTCAACTCAACCCGCCGGCCTAAACGGAGGGGCTAGGGTGAACGGGGGTGGTCAGTGCCATGGATAGCGCTTGCACCAAAACCGAAAAACCAATACAAGAAGGAATACACCCCAAGTGTACTTCAGACAGGTGGGGCCTAGAAGGAAAGCGCGTAACTGTTACGGGGTCGATGCTATTTTTGGGGGGAGAAAATGCCAGGAAGAACAAAAGGGTGGCAAGCCCAAGCTGGATTCCTGGTTTACACGCAACCTGAGGATCAATGGAAACCAGGTTTCCATGAATCTGGTGTTTGCCATTGGACGAGCTTCACCCAAGTACTTTACCTTCACGTGGCCTCATTGGAGGCTGGAGAGGGCGGCTTCTGTTGCCTTCGGCAAATATCAGATGATAGCCTCAACAGGCTTGCGCTTTCTCGCAGGGAGAAGTAAAAATTGGCAGAAACGTCCACTTTCTCTCAGCCTAAGCGGAGACCGGGAGCAAGGGCCCTCTTCACAAAGCAAAACCTGGAAGAAAAAAAATCGGAGGGGAGAGAGAGAGAGAGAGAGATAGCCAAAGAACCCCTCCTTAAATATACATATATACATATACATGCACATATATATATATACATGTACATATATATATACATATATACATATATACATACATGTACATATATATATATATATACATATACATATATACATATATACATATATACATATATACATACATGTACATATATATATATACATATACATATATACATATATACATATATACATACATGTACATATATATATATACATATACATATATACATATATACATATATACATACATGTACATATATATATACATATACATATATACATATATACATATATACATACATGTACATATATATATATATATATACATATACATATATACATATATACATATATACATACATGTACATATATATATATACATATACATATACATATATACATATATACATATATACATACATGTACATATATATATATACATATACATATATACATATATACATATATGTGCATGCATGAAGAAGAAACACACACACCCAAAAAAAAGAAGAGAGAGAGGTCGGATTCGAGCTCTCTTCTCTCAGCTTGCCTGGCACTCTCGTACTTCTTCACCGACCTGATGCCCTCCAACAGCTCCTCCCCGCTCGCACTCGCGAATTTCGGGTGGGTGGGGCAGGGGGCTCAACAGACTTGGCCGGAACAAACGGACCCCGGAAAAAACATATGTTGTATTTTTTGCCTGGAAAAGGTGGAAAAGAAAGGGGACCAATTCCAAAAAAGCAACGAAAAAAAAGAAGGAAAAAGGGGAACTAATTCTGGGGAAGCACATTGGACCCTGAGACCACCAAGGGATCCGACTCGTTTTTGGGGGACCAAACTCGGCCGCCAAGGGGAACCCACTGGCGGAGCGCTGAGCGGCTGAGGCCCCGCGGCCAACTCCAGGCGGATTTCTCCACAGACAGAAATCGCTGTGTGCCAGTGATCAGGACCACGAGTAGCCAAAAGGTGGGGGGCAGGGAGTCCATGGGAGAAAATGGTTCAGACTGTCATGAAACGAAGGGGAAGTCCCAGCAAAGATGACCTTCTTCTCGAACCTAAAAGCTCCAACGGGAACCTGGCAATTCTGAGAAAGAGTTGGGCATCCGACCACGCTTCCAACAAAACTCGATGCTTTGCCGAAACTTTGCCAAAATGGATTCACCATTTCGGGCTAACCCGGAGTGCAAGTGCCCAGCTGAGAGTGGACGAAGCTTGTCTTAGGCGATGAAGGGCCTGTGCATCCGAGGCCAGGCCTAGCCGATCGGACCTCAGGGTCAAAACGGTCTAAGAGGCGCCACGAAGTTCCGGAAACACAGCTTTAGCATCATCCCAAATCGAACCCAAGTCAGCAGGGGCAAAAACAACAAACCATCCCTTGTGCTTCTGCCCCGGGTAAAGGAGCCTTAGGAAAAAACCCATCCTTGGACCACCGCCCCTTAACTTGGCTGGAATTGGGACCCCAGCACAAAACACATTTTGCTTTGCCAGGTGAGTGGAAAACAAAGCGAACCCCAAAAATGCCAACAAAGAAAGAAAGAGCTAATTCTGGGGGAGAATTGAAACCTCCAGTTTTCAAACAAAAAAGGAAACCTCCAGTTTTGTTAAAAACAAAAAATGGTTCTTCACTTTTATGTTTTTGTTGTTTGCTTTTCTTCGAGGTGTTCTTGGCTTTGTTTTAGCTTTATCTCTGTGAGCAGGACTCCCCCAAAAAGCCCACCACTCACAGCAGTGCTCCTGAGACTTCTGCTGGTACAGCTGCTGCTGTGGGGACAGCTCCGTCTGGGCAAGCCAGTGGTACAGCAAGATGGCGTGCGTCCACCTGATGTCCTCGAAACTGCCGTACCCACTTTATGCGGGGTATATAATATAATATAAATTATATATATGTGTATCTATATATATTGTACATATGATACATGATATATAATATATGGTATGTATATCTATGTATATATTATATCCCTTTGGGGGAGGAGTTTTGGGGAGAGGGGTATGAACCCATCAGGGCTTTTTGCTTCATGCCCATACAACTGGCATGAACGAGGGTGGAGGTACACACCCCTTTTACATACCCCATACCTCTCTCCACAAGATGGGTATATACCCCTTTTATATACTTGGTTGGAAACCAGGGAAGTCAATGCAGGTTCCGCCGAAAACACGGAGAGATGGGCTAGGCAAAGCCCCCAAGCTTTCCGAGACATTGCGGAGCTGAAGATTGCCCCGGCGTTGGCTCAACCCTTGAAAGTTGCATCTGCATCATCCTTGGCGCTGAACAACCAGAATCCCATATTTCACTTCCATCCACGGAGAGTGGCCTTGAACCATCCCGACCTAGCTGTTGCCTCTCAATCCCACCAGCTTTTGAGGCACCATGAACCATGGTCCTGTTGCCCCGCCCCCCCAGATTAACATGGGGAACCCCAAAAACCATCCTATGCCTATGCCCCTCCCTTTTCCTCCCCCCAGATCAACATGCAACCCAAAACAAAACCCACCATGACAAGCGGAACCTCCTTTGAGGGAAAAAACGCGCTACTTGGATTCCTTGGATTCCTTCCCCTTGGCCCCCGGCGCAAGCGTTGTCGTGCCAGACCTCGTAGGCGTTCTGGGGCCGGCAGTCGCTGACGTAGATGCTCCGCTCGAAGAGCTCCGCGGCGGAGACGATGTTCTCGCGCAGGATCTCCCCGGTGCTCTTGAACCAGGCGAACATGTAGAGCACCTCCCAGTCTCACTTGCTGAGTGGATGGCCCAAAAAAAGTAACCAAACTGTACATTTACCACTAAAATGGTCTTCCCAAAAAGTTTAAAGTGCATGAACTCAGGAAGTGAGCAGTTGCTCCAAGTCGTATCTTTGCGGCTCAAGGAACGGCCCATACAAAAAAAATCCACCAAGATGCGAAAGTTGGAACCCGAAAACCGAAACGCCGCTCAGGAGGTTGTTACCCTGGCACAAATGGTTTGCCCCTTCAGTTTATAGGTCAGTTGGGAATGGGAGCTGGGTTGGCAGCACGTGCAACTCATCGCAACTCTACATGTCCCAGAGGCAAAACTTCCCAGCTGTTGGTATGGTATTACAAAACTTGTTTGCAGCCCTCACTAATTCGAACAGAACCCCCCCCCCCCCCCCAAAAAAAAAGAGAAAAAAGACAACAAGAGACTAAAACATACCAACAAGAGTGAAGTATTGCCACACCGCCATTGCACTCCTGCGAATGTTGGCCAATTGGCCCGACAAGGTGACTCCAAGTTCGGGCTGGTGCCCCACCGATCTAAATAATGGTGACCCAGGAGTAATAAACCCGTCCCAATAGGGGGGTGGTCCCTCCAAAAGTGGTCTGAATCCTCACTACAAGGAGACACCCCCCTATTAATCAACCCGGGGTTGATGAATTCCGGGGTTAACATTACTTCACATCAATCTATCGACGCATCTCTCTGACCTACCGATCCATCCATGTATCTTCTATCCATCCATCTGTGTTTCTCAACCACTCTATCTCTCAGTGCTTCGCGAGTGCTGTGCCTGCCACGAAACTTGTACCAGCCCATGTTAGATTGCCAAGAACGGCATACAATGTCTTGCGCTTGCTGAGGATCCCCCAAGCAAAATGAACAAATGTGTCCAGTATGATATATTCCCTTAAAAAAAATGGAAAGTATAATATATACTCAAGAAAATGGACGATATCGTAAAACACCACGGCGCATGATGGCTGACGGCTGACAAATGGGCACCGTGATGGTCATAAAGGAGCAAAGGCCAAGGATCCGGGCAAAACCAAAGGAGCACATGGGTGTCTTTATTTTTAGGGATTGCACCCCAAAAACTGGATTCGGTCTTCCTTTTGTTTTCCCTTACGCCAACCAAAAAAAAAAAGGTACAAACTCCAAAGAACAAATACACACCCAAATGGTTGGAATCATGTTGGCCCCATATTAATCAACTCCAGTTTTGACGTAGGCGTGCCCCTCCAAAAGTGGTCCGATTCCCCATTACCTTCGCTATCCACAAAACTTGTGGTCTCGAAGCCATGGTCCCATCCGCCTGTGCGCCCGCCAGCGCGAGCACCGGGTGCGCATATGCCTGGTGTCCTCAGAAAAAGACTGAAGGGCCGTGGGCGAAACCGGCGGACGGGAAAAATCGCAGGACGGGTATCGCAGAAAGAAGAAACCAATCCACCCCTATGCGGCAGAAACAAGTTCTGACATTTAGGCCAGGAAGTCTTGCATGGCTCAGCCAGGTCTTTGTTTGTGCGTTTGATGTGCAACGTTGCAGCTTAAGTCAAAACCTCGTCAAGCCTCTAGAAAAAGAAGCATGCCATAAGCAGCCTGCGTGGCACATGGCGTGCCCAAAAAAAAGAAAACTGCTGCTAGAAAACCACCTGGGAGGGTTCAAGAGGGGATTTCCGGCAGACTTCGCAGAACTGGACCGGCCGACTTCGAGTCGGCCGGGGGGCTCTGCCGGGGCCCCGGACTCAGCGCCTCCACCTCCTCCAGCTGCGAGTCGTTCAGCGAGGGCTTCAGCTGCCCAGGGCTGGGCTCGTAGAAGAGGTCCTGGGAAGTGAATTTGCAAACGCATCTAACTTGGTTGCTGTTGACCCCCCTGCAAACAGTTTAACTGTTGGGAAGTTTAGTGGAAAACCCCTTGATTTCAACCAAAAAGTTAAAGTCTAAAGATCCAACTCAATAGCAGTCAAGCTAACCCCCGTCAGAGGCTCCAGACAAGGTTCAACCCCCTCCCATTTTATCAGCTGAAATAGGGTTCGTCCATCTTTAGTGCATCTGGAAGCGGGTTGCGATGGGAACTGAAAAAAGCAAAGGCGTCTAGAAACACTGGGGGGGGGTAAGGTGAACTAAGGTTCTGGGGGGAATGAGGTGAACACAAACTGCAAAAGAAGGTTCTGCAGAAAGAGGTATGGGGTTTAGGTGAACTGCGGAACTGCAGATTAGGAACCTACTAATTAGGCGGTGCCTGACTTTGAAGCACATGATCGATCATAGGTCCTCGAACCGTAGGGTCCCTCCGGAATCCGGAAACAGTGAGATCCCGAGACGGCCTCGAAGTACTTCACCGCAGAGCCCTGGTTGAAGAGGTCATACTCGGCCGACACCTGCGACACAACAAACAAACAATGGGTTCGCATGGTTTGAAAGTGGTGCTGCCAGCCATGCCCGAAAAGGACTCCGAATGCCGGCAGGCAGGCGCGCACGCGCACACTCCGAATGATTTTGCCGTCGCATGAGCTGCGATCTTTGTTTCTGCCTGGCCTGCGTTTCCGGTCGCAAGGGACCAAAACAGCCGTTGAATCGATGTGGGTGGCTTCAATGGCCTTTCTCAGGGCGAATCCGCGGCTTCAACCATGGATCGGCCCTCAGAAGGTGCAGTATCGCCCTTCGGCCAGAAGGCTCACTCGGGCTTCTTGCCTCACCGCTCATTCCAAGGGCTCAAGTGGGGTCGCCATGGATTGAAACTAATCATAAAGCAAAAATTACATGCCACAACTCAAAATAGACCACCGAAACCCCGCCACAGGCAAACATCCCCAAGTCAAAGCTGCACTTCCCCCAGACCCCCCGAAACCCCCCATCGAATGATCGAGCTGCAAAGCTCCGCCTTGCGCTCCGGGGGCTCCGGAGCCATCCGCAACATCATGGCACCGAGGAAGAGGCAGTAGGCCAAGAGGAAAGCCCCACACGCCACCTGAAGCCATCCGCTGATCTTTTCCCCCGACACGAGAAATCGGGAAGTGGATCAGGAGCAGTTGGCATCGGGGTTTTGTGGAGGGATGAAGGTTGAATATGCCACTTCTGAGAGGTAGGTACACACTGCCATCCAAGAAATTCGGGCAAGAATTGGTGGTATATATTTTCACATGTGCATCCATACCTCGAAAACCCATGCCTGAAAATGCTCTTGGTTGTTGTGCTTAGTTTAAAGGGAAGCCAAGAGGACAAAGAGCGTCCCTTTAGTTTGACCCCTACCCATTTTTCTGCCGTGCAGTGGATGGAAAAGATATATTTCGCACCAGGTGGCCTTGTGTATGTATATGCAAATGTGTATGCACATATATTATATATATAAAGATATGCCGTTGGGCTGTCATCCATCTGGTACGGGATCTTCCCACCCACATTACTGGTTTGTCTATGGGCGACGCCCTCCAAAAGTCCCCTCCCCCATTGTCCAGCAGGCCACAAGTCTCAAGGACATCCACATGTTCTTTAGGGGGCTGGCGCTTCACCCACCCAAGTTGTGACTTGCTGCGAGGTCGGGAATGACCTTCCAGGTCTTCCCCACAAAGGAAGACCACAAGGGCATGGTCGGGGGTGCTGATCACCAGCAAGTTGAGCATTCCTTGCAACCGCAAGCTCTGGGCCAGCTGAACATCTTGGAGTGCCTTCAGGCTTTCAGGGCTCGCCTCTTGCCTTAGGCACGCTTGGGCAGTTGGACTTCGTAGGGCAAATCTTCGCTCGCACGTCAAGCATCCTCGATTTCAACAGGATCCGGTTGATACTTTAGGGTGAAGGTCACGCCCTTGCCCCGTAAAGAGGATGCGAGAACAAGAAAAACAAAACCTAAATCGGGAGGTTGTGCCGTCCAGTTTCCTCAGGTTGGCCGAAGCCACCTTCAAGCCCCCACCATGTCCTACCAAGCAGAAAAACGGGATCCCGGACCAACGCCATGCAAGGACTGACGGGCTCCCAGAAGGTGGTTGCCAGACACGCGGCGCCAACCGCCCCGCGTCCAAGGGCCTTGTTGGGCAAGGGCGCCTTTGGAAGATCCGGCGGCAGCGTCTTGAGCCACAAAGCCACCTGGCAGTGGCGCAAAACTCAAGACCTAGGGTTACGCGCAGGTTTTTCGGCCCCTCCTCGTTTTATCAGGGCTTCCATTTTGGGGCCCCTAGTTTTCAGCCACAAGCGATGCCTCCGTCAAGGCGATGGCGATGAAGACCGTGATCTGCGAGCCAAAGCGGTGCCTCGCGGCGCCGGCCCGGTCCCGATCCACGCTGTAGAGGTAGAACTGGCGCCTGGCCCCCTCCCCCCGGCAAAACGTGGACCTGGGGAGATGGCAAATCAAGGAAACTGCACCCCCCCCAACGCAACACGTCGACCTGGGGATTCCTGGGAAAAAAATGGGGAAATCAAGGAGACCCGAAGAAAGCTTTCTTGCGGCTTTCGGCGCATGGCGGGGAAGGCGAGGGCAATCAGGAAGAAGGGCCGCCACACGTTGCCGGGATGCTCCGTCGGGATCCACAAGTTAAGCTTCAGGATGAAGCCGTTCAAGTCAATCAGAGAGGTAACGAGAAGCATGGCATGTGCCCGCAGGCACCTGGCAATGGTGGAGCTGTCCTCCCACTGCAGTGCGCCTTGATACTGGGAAAGCATCATAATCTTGCTACGCAGCGTTGGGAGACTCATGATGCCCGACCAGCGATACTCTTTGATCCGCAGATACCTGCATATGTACATGCCCAGCTCGATCCCCACGGCGTTGCAGACCAGGACATCCAGGATCCACTGGTCCCACCAGCACTCGTTGAAGTTGGGCACCGCGTAGATGAGCGCGATCCTTGGTTGCTGTAGCGACCCCCTTGCAAAAAAGCTTTAATAACTGTTTTTTTGTTGGGGGGGGGTAGTGGAACACCCCAAAAAATACCAAAAGTTCAAGTCTAAAGATCCGTTACCCAATAGCAGTCAAGTAAAGGGCCGCTTCAAAACATATTTAACAAAGAAACAAACAAAGGAGAAAAAAAGCAAACAAGCCCCTGGAGGTCTGCATCAAACAGAAAAACCAGTCAAGGATCTCCAGCAGCTCCCAGCCCACGGACATGGTCCACAGGAGGAAGCGGTCCCGCACCAGCAGGCCCTTGATCATCCAGCCGATGGCGTGCGCGGGGATGAAGATGTCCTCGCGAAATCCGCGAAATCGGCGAAGCAACCTGCTAAAAGTGACGAACTTCTAGTGGTTTAATACGGAAAGCTAAAAGTTGACTTCTAGTGGTTTAATGCGGAAAACCAACTTGGCAGAAATTGAAGTTAAAGTCCTAACATCCCTTGGCAAAATGCAACAAAGAAAGGGGTTTGGTCCGTCTTTTAGAGGCACTCAAAGGATGGTCTTCTTCCCGGGTTTCCCTTACAAACTACCATCCAAGCAAAAGTTGGCAAAAAGTTGAAGTCTTAACATCCAGCAAAATGCAGCGAAGCATCCATCTTCCCCCAGAGATTGGCGGCATTCAGCACGCACATCTCCGGGGTGGCGTAGTCTGGGAGCTTGGAGCTGACCCCAAGCGTCGGGTCGAACCGGTGGAGCAGCTGCCGGATCTCCTGGTTGCTGTAACGACCTCCCTGCAAAAGTTGCTCTTTTTTTCACTTGTTGGGCGTTTAGTGGGAAACACCAACTTATTTCAACCAAAAAGTGGAAAAGTCTAAAGACCAAACCCAATAGCAGTCAAGTCCTCCGCGCTGAGGAAGAGCAAGCAGCACAAGGTGAGGAGGTACAGCAGCGAGAGGCCAAACATGGCTCTCCAAAAGGCAGGGTGGGGTCGCACAAAGGGACCTGAAGGGAACGCAAGCATCCCCACGCAGAGGTACAGCGCCACCAAGTGGGGCAGGGAACGGCGAAGCTGATCCATCCATGCCCGATGCATGGTTTCTTCGCTGTGCGGTGATGCCAGGCTGCAGTAGTAGAGATACAGCATGCAGCAGACCAGCGCAAGGAAAGCATGCACCTCAGCGGACCTTGACACGGCCACATCCATCACCGGCCGACTCTCCAGACTCCGCACCAAGCGCTGAAACTGCCGGTCGCTTCGTCGCTCTACCTCGGTGGCAGAGCTCCAAACCACCTCTGCCTCGTCGCAGGATGCACCGGACTCCTCGGCAGTCTTCGCCATGGCGGGCCGACAGCGCCCCTGCAACCCTGCACCCTAGAGGCCCTGCACGTTGCTTCACGGTAGCTGCACTCAACTGGTGATGCTTGATTTATTGTCATGCCCGTACATGCGTCTCTTGAGCCAGTGGGTCGAATTCCACCTCTTCCAAGGGCCGCGTGCGTGGCACGCCAACGCCATTACCTGTGCAGCCGGGCCCTTGCAGCGCCCAGCCTCGAACGAGAACTTGGGCGCCGTCTGGGCAGCCGCCTCGGCCACTTATAGCTTGATCATGTTGCTCTTGTGAGTCACAATCAAAACCCGGTATTAAAATGGTATACCCAGAACCATGTAAAGAATTAGGAAGGCGGCCGCAACTATTTCTGGCTGGGACTGCCCCTTACCGCCCTTACTAACCTTCATCTACCCGGGTATTGATTTTTGCTCTTGTGGGTTTTGAGCGAAGGTTTCCGGAAGGTCACACACGGCGGGCCCGCAGTTGGAAGGTTAGTGTGTCGAGCCTCTAGAATCAACTCGGCCCCATCGGGCGGTGTTGCTGGCTTTCGGAAGCGTAAACCACTTCAAGTCAAAACTCCGTACCCCCAGTGAACATCCCAATCCCCACTAAAATAGACTAAAATTGGTGGTGCACCTATCCCAAAATGGTACCATTGGTTTTGACCCACAGCCATATGTTCGATAGGCCTCCTGGAACACGTCCTCTGGCCAGCTGTTGGAAAGAGCCAGAAAACCCCGGGCCCTGCGCGCAGACGAGCACGCCTCTCGGTTTCTGAATAGGACACCGGGGACTGGAGGCGAGCGGTTCAGGAAGCACAGCTTCACCCGAACTCAAAGACAGTGCGATGTCAGGGCTGCCAGGATTCAAAAATGCGAAACTTCTGGAGACTCATGGGGCCTCCGGTTGGCCGAAGAGCCAAAATCCCCATCCAGCGTTCGCGATGCAGACACGCCACAGGTCTTTTCGTCTGAACCCCATGGGATTTGGCGTCCGAAACAAAAATGCTGGGGCCCCCTTCTCCAGCAGCCAGCAGCAGCAGCCGCATGGCGTCGCACGCGTCAGCGATCTGGGTTGCTGAAGGTTCGTCAACATGGAGGGTGAAAAATATGTGAGGAACGAAGCATATCTTTTTTGTGTTCATACGTTACCTATTCAATCTGGTCATTCTCATTACACATATAGATGTCTATATATATATATGTGTGTGTGTGTTCGTCTATGTGTACATATGTATATACTAATCAATGTTGATATACATAGTTCTCTCACTTTCCTATCTGAGTGTGTGCTTTTGGTGGTGTCCATGTTGTGAGACATCAGGAGTACGGGTTTCCGCTTTCACAGCTGTTCCCCGAGGCCGTGTCTCGCCTCTGGAAACCGAGGGCCGGGGTCCGACGCCAAACCATGCGCAAAATCCATACCCCAAAAGTTGCAAACTACATCTCCGAACTGTCCCTCAACCCCCTTCCCTTCCCCCCCCGTTTTTAACCAAAACAAACCAAAACACAAACCAAAACACAAACCAAAACAAACCAAAACACAAACCAAAACAAACCAAAACAAACCAAAACACAAACCAAAACAAACCAAAACACACCCAGCCGCTTCAGCCGCTTCGCGGGGGTGTCTCCGACCGTTCCGGCCGCTTCACTGCCCAAAAGGCAACTAAACTTGCGGTTCTCATGGGGGCTGGCGGGGTGGGAGGGGAGGGGGAGGGAGCCCCAAAAAAAAACTGATTCAGTCCTTATTAAGGCCTTATCTAGGGCTTGTTCGGGCTCCCTCCCCCTCCGTCCCTGCCTCAGGGTTCGTCAAGCCGTCTTTTTGTTGGGTAGGGCAACTTTGGGCCTTTGAGCTTTGCAACTGCTCGGGGAGCGTCTGGAGCACACGGACTTTGGCATGAGGCGCCTCCCTTCAATTAACAGCACGACGACCGCATTTGCGGCGGGACCTGTGGCAGTGCAGATAGCCCGGCCAGGGCCGGAACCGGACCCTGGGTCGTAAAACATGGGCGATTCTGAGCGCGAGAGAAAGATCAGCGTCTCAGCCGACATCAAACAACACGTCTTCAGATGTGTGTGCAAGGTGAACTTCGGAAAACTATCAAGGGCGCTATATACAACTTGCAGGGAATCATGCAAAAGCTGGCTCTGACTTTCATCCCTTGCGAACAGCTCGTGTTTGACTATCACGCCGGCTGACGCATCCAGCCCCAACTTTGGGAGATGGAAAGCCCGGAATGGCCACTGGCCGCATAGGCCAGCCGCTACCAGATGCCATGCGCTCGCAGCTACGCCAGCGTCGCACAAGGCCTATCTGAATCTACGTGACACCCCAAGGTTTGGCCCAGTTGATGGCAAGACCTGGCTGGACTTTGGTTTTGTAAAAACAAATCCCCAAAGACACCACCCTCCCGGGAAATGTCAGCTCCGGGCTCTAAACGGCTCAATCTAACCACGGGCGGATCTGTCCACCTCGGTTTGAGGAGCGCTTCAGCCACCCGGCTTTTGCGTCGCAGAAGGTCAGGGTCCGCAGAAACCCACTAAGGCTGCTTGAACCTGACCTGTTGCCAGAAGCTCTGGGACACGCCTACCAAAAGTCTAGCGCTTGGGAAAATCCGAAAACCCAAAAGTGCGAAGGGACCCACAGGGCTGGCGGTCTGATGTCTCTTGCCTCCCTCTCCACCTCGTTTCATGGCCAACGAAAAAGAAAATATGCCTTGCCTCACTGAGGCCCCAGCCTGGCGTGCCCAAGGGCTCCTTCGAGACCTAGCGGGCGACCGCGGGGAAAAACTCGACGGACCCCCGAAAGTGGGCTTCGATCTTCTTGCGGTCGATCTCCCCACCATAAAGAGGGACATCCCAAAACAAACCGGCAAAAAACGCGACGAGGGAAATCCGGCTCGTGTAAAAACCCATTCGCCAGATACAAGGAGGCAACCATGGAGCCGGGCGCTGAGGTCGCCCCAAGTTAGAGACATGAACGTCATGGCATTTGCCCCACTTACTGCCCCAAAAACAAACATTGAAACTGAAAAGAACCCCCTCCAGGACAATGTTCCTCTAACAGGGTCCATGTTTGGGAGGTAAACGTTTGCGCAAAACGCAAGCAATCTTTGGGTGATTTGGATTGGCTGGAGATCTGTCTTGAAGGGCCCACGTTCACCTGACCTGGTTTTCCCCTTGGCTCCCCTGCCCCCCGCCCCTGCCTTTGCAGGTGCAAGCCTAAACAACCCAAAGCCCTAAACAAATGGCACTACACCCTGACAACCCAACCCCTTATGCAACAAGGATGGAAAGCCAACCTTGTATCGGATGAACAATGTCCACGAGTTAACATGGATGAAACCCTGGGATGGACCACATGCCCAACCACTGCCTGGCGTGGATTTTCTCCATCCACAGTCACTGTCCAATTCCCCCCTCCCCCCTTTCCGAGTGGTGGACACTTCTTGGTTGACGTTGGAAGGGGAGCAAAAAATCAAATTTTAGCAGTCAAGTGAAGATTTCCCACTAAACCACAATAAGAAAAAATGTAAAATGTTTCCCAACAACAACCATGACTTAGGGTCGATTTTTGCAAAGAATGTCACGAGGTGAAAGCACGTGTAAGGCCGTCTCTGGCCAAGTAGGGCTCTCACGTTGCAACACAAGTCAAGGGAGCTTGGAGAATGGCCAGAGCCGAGCCTTGCTTCGCAACAAAGCAAGAACCCCTCCCCCCCAACCCCCAACCCCAAGCACCTCCTCCACCAAAGCCCCAACCTCCCAACCTCCCCCGACCCTCCCCAGCCCAAAACCTCCCCCACCTCCCCAACCTCCCCAACCTCCCCAACCCCCCCAACCCCCCAACCCCCCCAACCCCCAACCCCCTGCGCCTGGATGCGGTTGGCCTTCGCCGTCTTCGCCTTCGCCGGCGTCGACGCCGCCGTGGAGGCCGCCGTGGACCCCTCCTCCACGGAGCCGGCGCCGGACCTCGGATTTGGCCCCAGCGAGGTGAGGCGAGGCTCCGCAAGGAGGGGCTTCTTCCCGTGGTTTGGTGGTTTGGATTGGCGGTTTGGTGGGTTTGGATTGGTGGTTTCCCCGGCGAAAAGTTCGGCCAAAAACTTCCGGGAAGGTCTTAAACAGGCCGAACATGTCCAAAAACTTCCGGAAGGTCTGCAAGGCTAGCGGTTGGAAAGACACATCCGGTAGAGTGGGTTGGGTTCCGGTTGGGTTCCGCGAATCGGCTCCGAAGGCTCCCCAAGAAGGTTCCGTCATCCAGTCACCCACCCCCAAAGAACACACCCATAGAAGCACGGGCCTAAAAACAAAAAGGAAATGTTTGAAGGGCGGCTCGTCCAACAAGGGTCTGCGCACTTGCGTGTTTGTTGGCGAGTGCTTTGTCAACTGGCCCTCTCTTGGTGGCTGGTCAAAAGGGTTAGGCCTGGAAGATATGATGATTGAGATCTCCCAGATCTCGTGGTTAGCGTTGCAGGAATCGATGACCAATGCTTTGCATTGCCCGCTTCCGCTAAAACAAAGTTCGCCCGCTTGCAAACAGTGTTCATTCAGCTGCCCAAGTGTTTTTGCCTGGGTCCCGAATGAAGGGCAAAACACAGGTTTGAGCACTTTCAGGAAACCCTGGACCTATACTGACCCATCATTGTCGGCTTGGTGTCTTGAGCAGCTTCGAGACTCAACACCACCAACCCAAAAAATCACCAATCAGGGATGAAATGGCCTTTAAACAATCACACAAAAAAAACACCTCGGAGACCTGACAACTGAAAGAAAAGACCACAAGCCACGTTGGAAACACCGCCATGCCAAACCACAGAACTTCGCTCCGAAGAGCTCCCTCGTTCGAGGCAAATTTTGGGATATTTTTCAGCTCCGGAACGGCTCCCTTCCAACCACCGGTTAGAACGACTAGGTCCTCCAGGTTTGAGAGGTTAGGGTTTAGGGTACCGACTTTTTCTGTTTTGTCTGTTTTAGTAGGGGAACCGAATCTCCCAACCAAAAAAGGGGTGAGCAAGGGCACCTAGCTGAAAAACCTAGAAGAGGAGGCATAGCTCCCTGGCTAAGTGGAGTGCTGGAATCGGCCTTTCTAATCCGAGGCAAACAAAATCCTTCTTGCCCCGGAGGTCCCAAAACAGGAACCGCAAAACCCCCCCAAAATCAGCGCTCGACAAGTCGAAGCCTTGCCAGGTCCGGGCTGCGAGCGCTTCGCCCTTCCGATCGGCGAGCGCTTGGCCCGCTCCGCCCGCAGCTCCGACAGCAGATCCTTCTGGCGCAGGAGCCCGTCCACCTGTCGAATTGAGGGACGTGGGGTGCGTTTTAAGGGGCCTTGCTGGTGTTTCTTTGTGTTTTTTTTTCCTTTTTATACGGAAACCCAACGGAAACACCTTTGTGGTCGCTTGTTTGTTTTTGTTGTGTTCTTTTTGTTTTAACGGAAGGAAACCACCCATTTGTGGGGCTACCCTACGTTTGACAAATACCCACATAAGTCAACACCATTCTCAGGGTGTGCATTTGTTGGGGCAACGCGAAGCAGAAAGGGCTCCAAATTGACACGTACTTTATCGGTTTTGGACAGGACACTTTCCTAGACACAACCAAGGCAACCTGCAGGTGCAAAACCACCAAGCAGATAGCCCCCTTGGCCCTTCAAGCGTTTTGCAACCTGCACCTTGCTTAAAAAGGGAAGCGCAAAGGCACCACTCGATACAAATGTCTCTGGTACGGGAACATGCCTGAGATAAAAACATGTTGCCATTGAATGAGGCTTTGCACCTGCAACTTGGCTCTACCCTTGGCATGGTAGCACAAACTTGTTTTTGCAGCCCCCTAGTAAAAAACATGAACAGAACCAAACAACAAACAAAACTAAAAGCTTGCCAACGACAGTGAAGTTAGCCATACTCTGTAGCTGCTTGGCTTGCAGGATTTAGTGGCTCAAATTCCTCAAGCCGCCTCGCAAGCCGCAGTGACAACTGCAACCCAGCTCAAACAACTGCCTCAACACGGGTGACCTCCACCCCCAATTCCGCTTTGGGCGGGGAGTGGATGCTAGAGGATATGTTGCAGCACCAAAGCCCAGAAAGCAAATACCCCAGAGCAGGCGGTTGCAAGATAGACTCAAAATGCCCACCTAACTGAAGATGGGCAAACTCCTGCAGCTGGGATGGATGTATCAACTGGTGCGTTAAATGGATTTCGCCCATCCTCACGCAAAGCGATTCTGTGCCAATCAGCGCACACGGGCCTTGCACTTCAAATCGTTGATCACCTGGGCATTGGCTAACGAGGGGCACGAGCTCGATCGGCTCACGCGGCTTGATCGGCTCACCTGGCCCGCTCAGAGGTTCAACTTGGGCTTGGAACTGTGGCTGCCTTCTTGGGCGGGGCGGAAAAAAATGACTCGGGATCTGAAGATTACTTCGCCGGGAGGGTGGAGATTATATGCTCACAAACGTAGCCCAAAGCCAAAGGGCCCTCGAAAGAGCACCGCTCCTCCCTTGGCTGATAATTACTGTCAACTTCGGATTCATCCCGAAAGAGTTCGATAGTTTTGGCTAGTCTTTATGTGTGTATATATATATATATATATATCTATACCTTATATATATATATACATACCTTATATATATGTGTATATATATATATATATATACGTGTGTTTATGTATATATCCATTGCTTTCACACCCCGCCTTCGGGCTGACCCGTGGGCTTCCATCCGGCTTCCCCTCGCGCATCTCGCGCGAGCCCGGCTCTCGCGCGGCCGCGAGAGGCCCCGTGCGCCCGGGGAAGGGCCGGCCGAGGACCTCCGCGTACTCCCGCGCCTGGCGGCGCTGCTCGAAGACCTCGTAGCGGAAGGGACCTCGCGGGAGACTCGTAGGTGGCCTGTTCGAAAAATAGATGGCCCTGGTAAATGGAATCAACCCCATCTACACCAGGGCCCTCTACGTGTTTTTTTTTTTTTTTTGTTTAAGCAAACCAACCAAAAAGGGCACCTATGGGCCTCGCGGGATAAACTGGCTGGCTCGGGCCACAAAGCGTGTGGGGAATGACCCCACCTTCTGATTCTCACTTGAGTGGAGTGGCCAACAAGAGTCTGAAGTTGTTTACCACCAAACTGGGCTTCCCAGAAAGTTTGAAGTCCATGAACTCAGGAAGTGGGGATTCCATACCGGGAACCGACGAGAAAAGACTGGAAACAAGCGCGAGAAAGGCTTCCCAAAGAAAATTTGCTGACACGAGCTCAGGCGCAATTCCCGGAGAACTGCACACGCGGCGTCGCCGTCTCAAAATACGCTCCCCTCTCCTTTGCCCGTGGCGTTTGCATCGCCGCTGCTTGTGGCTGCGGCACCTGCGGCACCTGCGGCGCCTGCGCCGGCGCTGGCGCCGGCGTCGGCGCCGGCGGGGCCGCCTGTGGCGCCGGCCTCGCGCTCTCCATTTTCGCCCGCGCTGAGGCGGGAGGCCGCACCGGCCCAGACAGGGTGCTGCGGAATTCCCGGCGCTTCCGCGAGACTTGGGAGATGTCGCAGCAGGGCGGATCCATGGAGGTCAGGGACCTGAAGTAGTCCTCGCGCTGCGGGAGCTCGGCGTTTCCATGGCTCGTGGTGGACATCTGGTCCTTCCTGGGGCTCGCGCGCCGGACATCTATCTCCGGCCGAAGGATGCGGGCGTCCTTGGTCGCACAACTCCGTCAACATCGCTCGCAGAAAATCTCGGCCAATTGCTCTGGCTGACTGCCAGTGAAGGGTGGCTTACTTCCCAAAACAAATGTAGTCATTGTGACTTCCGAGTGTAACAAGCACACGCTCAACCCGTGCTTGGTTGCAGGCTGGGGAACAAGCACCCCATCGTTACCTGCCGGATTCATCAAACAATAGAACAGTTTTGGCATAGAAATGACGCATGCATACCCAAGCCAGCACCGCCCCGCCCGGGAAGGCCCACTCCAGAGCCAAGCAGCGGAGGGAAGCCCGGCATAGCCTGCGTGGCCCTGCTCGAAAGGCCCACTCTTCAACTCCGACATCTCTTTCCTCGGCGCCGGGGCATTTGCCCTGACCCCAGCTGAGCGCCACGTTTGGGCCACCCGTTTGTTCCGGGGGCACATAGCGTGAAGCAGCGTGAAACACATCACAGCCTGCAAAGTGCGGTGGGATATCATTCAACTTGAATCTCTTCATCCAATCCTGCGCCATGCCTGATGGAAACAACCCCTTTCCGTTTTCCGTGATACCAATGCGGAACTCGCCCATCCCTGTGACTACTGGAACTATCCGGATCGCTTTTTGGGGGTCGCGCCACCCGCATTAACCCACCAAGTTCTGCTCCAATAGGGTCGACATTCATGTTGACCCCGGATTAAAAAACCCTGGTGGATTAATAGCGGGGTGTCCCCTTTTAGTGGGGATTCAGACCACTCTAATTGGACGGGTTTATTAATCCTGGGTCAACATTAGAAAGTTAGCCGGTTAGCCACCTGGTTTGTAATGACAGGGCTAACTCCACTGAAGGGGTTTCTGCTCCAATAGCGTCGACCTTACTTTCGGCACTTTCAAGCGGATCCGCATCGCATCACAAAGGGAGAGGGAAGTCTGAGCCCAGCGTCTTCGCCGAGCTCCGCGAGCTCTGGTGCTCGATTTGCTGGTTCTGGAAGGCCTCCAAATTGCCAGGCCCAAAAGCGCAAAGGTCCAAAGAAATGCGCAGCCCGAAGCCAGGCAAAAAAAAAAAAAAGTCCAAAGAAAGGCGCAGCCGCCCAACAGTGAAAAGAAGGCCGCGGAAATTCCTATGTCAACACCCTTGGGTGGGGGGACTCTGCCTGCAGCTGGCATCCTCGCAGGCCCTCGCACAAGGTGTGCGTCACCGCCATTGCGCGGAGTGCTCACGGCCTTCGCCTCCCAGCGCGTTGGCTCGAGCCAACGGGCTGGCGGACCGCGCGCGCTCACGGGCAAAGGGAGCCTCGCAGCCTCGCAGCTGGCGGATTGAAGCCTCGCAGCTTGGAAGGCCGAAGGACCACTGCCTAGAGTCTCCTTCTGACCCGAATCAAAAATGGGTCATTGACCAACCATTCTTTTGGGGTCAGTGACCAACCCTTTTTTAAGGGTCAGAAGGAGACTCAAGGTCAGGACCACTCCTGGGCTCTTTCGCGAAGAAAAAGTCCTCGCGAACTTCTCGTCATGTCTGGCTTGGGGAAGTGAACCCCTGGCTCATGAGGGCGAATGGGAAAACCCACCCTCTTCCAAACCACCAATCAGAATTCACGCGCGAAGGCTGGCGTCGGGTCGGCCTAAGCTTTTCTTGCGCATTCGAATTCGGGTTTCTGATGTCGCGAGAGCGAATCAATCGGCGAGAAGGATATGCCTCTCTGCACTCGGTGAGACCACAGCCTTCTCATGCCTAAAGCCAGCCACAGCCCATGACTACGACTGCTTCCATCGATGGCTAGGTGTCCATTCCACACTTTCAAGTTCTTGGAAACCAAGCGATTTCAAGTCCTTTGGGGTCTTTTTGAGTTTCCTCTTGGCATCCCTTTCGTTTCCCTTGGGTTTCCTTTTGGGTTTCGGTGAGGATGAGGCTTCCCAGTGAAGATTTGGATTTTGAACCCCGTCCGGCCAGAGGGCAAATGGGAAACCATGTCTTCCTAAGCTCCACCAAATCAAAACCACCAAGGCTTATCTGGTAAGGAAAACCCAAGGAGCCCCAAAAAAAAGAAGAACAAAAAACTCATCCCCCCCCCCCCCACCCCCGGCAAAAAACGAAAAAGAAAGCCAGGCGCCCTCTTCAACTCTCATCCGCGGCCCTCGAGGCGCCGTAGCTCCCGGGGCCGCCAGCACGGCGCGGAGCCGTCCGAGTTGTGGTACCGCAGCGAGGAGACGCCCAGCACCGCCAGCACGCCGTCTGCGCAAAGAAAACCATAGGTGGCCTTTTAGAAAAATGGATGGGTTTCCCTGGTAAATGGAACAAACCCCATCTAAACCAGTGGAACCCATCTATTTCTAAACCAAATCAACCAAAAAGGATGCCTATGGAGAAAACGCGACTCTTGACCCGACTTAGGTCCGGGACCCCGCCAAAAGTTTTGAAAGAAAATGGCTGTTTGACCCTGGAGCCTGGAAAAAGTCAAGAATGAAAATGACTTTTGGCGGGTTGAAAGGTAAAAATTGGGGAGACCAAAACCAGGCAAAAGTTCAGAAAGGGTACGCTAAGCCTGGCAATGCACTGGGGCTATCTAAAATCATGGTTGCTTTTTTGAAGTAGATTGCACTGGAACTACGGCAGGTACCATTTGTGCCAGCCGGTTTTGCCTACAGGATGGTCCCCTTGGCTCCCTAGAAACCAAAGCACTGGGGCTTGGCCGCTTGGCTTCGGGAACTTGGGAGGCGTCAAGAATCCAAATTCACCGGGCCCTACCCTCTTTCCATGGAACGTGACGGGTTCTTCGAAGAGCTTCTTGAAAGCATGCCTGTCCACTCCCGTTGCAATGGTCTCACTTCCTGAGTCGATTGGGTTAAGAGTTTAAACTCGCCAGTTACCGCCATTTTTTTTACAAGCCAAAAAGCTCAAGTCCGAAAGAACTCAAGGGAGTGAAAGGCACTTTTCAACCCATCCACCCAAAGACCTCCACCTCCAACCCCTCCTCCCCCAGTGCCATGGACACCTCGAGTCTATGTTGCAACCATGAACCCTAAGAAACCAATACCATAAAAAAAGGAGGTTACAAAATATACCCCAAGTGTCCACCATACATCCCCCCCTCCACCCACCCACCCCCCGGCCTCCGGCCGTGAGGTGCCGCCGCAGCAGCTCCGCAGTCTCCGCGTGCGAGCGGCCGCGACCTCCCGGCACCGCCTCGCAGGAGCCGCGCTGCTTCGACTGCCGCAGCACCACGTGGCCCTCGCCTCGGGGCGCTGCTCGGTGTTGTTGTTGTTTTGTTTATTTGTTTTGCTGTTGTTCTTATGTTTTCTCGGCGAAAGGAGGAAAAAAAGCGCGCCTTTTAATTTTGTGGGGTGGCGGCGGAAGAAGGCACGGGGAGCAGCAGAGGTAGAGAGGAGCACAGAGGCTTTTTCGGGTCAAACCCGGCGGGGCAGAGGGTTTTGTTAGGGTTTTGGCCCTGTCGCCTAGGGTAAAAATGCAATCGAGATGTTCTCAGGCGAAATCAGGCGAAGGTCCCAAAATTTACCCTGGCGGATTCCGCTGGTTTCAAAACCACAGCAGCCCAAAGCCACAGCAGCCCAAAACCTCAGCGGCCCAAAACACAGCAGCTTCGTATCCAACCGGAGAGGAAAAAAAAACGAAAAAAACGCGCAATGTTCTGGGAACTGGCTTTAATTTGGTTTATGCCCTCTTTTCTTTGCCCAACAAAATCATGAGGGTCTCTTCTTCATTTTTTTGGGGGGGGAGAAACCGAAGAAAATCCATGGGGTGGGGTTCCAAAACGGGGGGCAGCCACGAACCGCCCCGCCGCTTCGGCGCGCCTGGCAGCGCCATGGCCAAGCACAGGGAGGCCTCCAAGCTGCCGTCCTCCAGGCTCCAGGTCTCCGACCAGTCCGACCACCCACCTGCAGAAGCCCAGGATGTCCGCAAAAACCGTGGGGCTATGGGGGGAGGGGGGGAGGGTGTCTTAGCTTTTTTGGCCATCTGGGCGTCTCAAAAAACTGGGGCACCCCAGAAACGTCGTTCCTGTTCGATGTCTGCAACCCCGTGATGGTTCCTGGGCCCCCCATGCCCCGCCAGCAGCGCTGGCGGACCGTGGGCCCCTGTCTTGAACCGGAAAACCACCGGACCCAGAGAAATGCTGAACCCCAGGAATACATGGAAAAGCCAGCCAAAGGCCCCAGCCGCCCTCCAGTGACACAAACGAGAAAGCGGCGAGAACGGGCTTACACGACAAGAGTCAAGAGTCTTCGTTGCTTGTTGCGTGTTTGGGGATCTTTGCCCGTCCAAAGAATCAGTCATGGAATTCCGGACGCATTTCAAGCGGAGGTGAGGGTTTCCTGGCCGCCCCTGCCCTCGGCCGAAAAAGCTTCTGCAGCGAAGGTCTTGCGGGCCGGGGCCAGTCCAACACCTACCAGTCCCGCCTGAGGTCACTTCCAGCTGCAGGCACATCTCCTGAAGGCATGCAAAGCCAAAAACGCAACCATTTGGGAGTGACTTTTTTCATGGGAATCTTAGGGTTCCTTTGGTTCGGCTTCCCTTGGAAAACCATCCAAAACTTGGTGTGCTCAACACCCATTGCGCTTTCCTGAGCTATGCCGCTTCTCCAACACTATGGCACCGATTTGAGTTGACTCCCGACCTCCCTTTTCGCTTGAACCTCCCGGGGGTCGGGAGGGTCCCTTTGCCACAAATGTGTCATCAGCCTCTAGGAGGCGCCCAAAAGGCCAACTCCGAAGGCAAAGAAATCGGCCGAAGACCTGGGAGCCCTGAGCGCACCTGGGAGCCCTGAGCTCGATTCTGCGAACCCTTGGATGCTTTCAGTGGAAACCAAAAGGAAGACCCAAATCCGTGCTGGGGCTCCGATTCCTTGAAACATGTGAAGGAGAAAAAAGAAAAACACGGGGCGAGCCAACCCCCATTTTGAGCAGGCAGGTGCCGGCCGAGACAGCGAAATACGCGGTCCTCCTTGAGCCGCAGCTTCAGCGCCAGCTGCAGCGGATCAGCCGCCGGGCCCTCGGCCCACTCGAAGGCCAAGGGCTTGGTGGCCTGGCAGCTGGCGGCCACGCAGGTACGCAGAGCAGCTGGCGAAGCCCCAAATGGCTAGGGGGGGGAGTTGGTGGGGGGGGGGGTGTCCCTTTCCCGTTGATTCCCTTTTTTCAAGAATTCAATCCTTACCGGATTTTAGTCGCGTTGTTTTGTTCAGGGGACTTAACTAGGTCGTTTGCGGGGTCAGTTCAACTGATTCCCTGCCGGTCAAATTCGCCAGTTTCCCGGTAACCCTGGAGTGCCCTGGAATTTAACCACAAGCGAAGCCAAGCACAAAGCAACGGGTGGGACACCTAGGTTCTCCAGATTTGAGAGGTTGGAATAAGTTGGTGCCCGATGTTTTTCTGTTAGGTCTATTTCAGTGGCGGAACCCTCCCCCAAAAGGATAGAGAAGAGCACTACTGGGGGACCTAGCCCCATACACTAAGAGGTCACTGTGAACATGCTATTTCATAGCCCTTGCATCCTGCTTCTCACTTTTTTCGGGTACCATTCTTAGGTGGTTTTTAAGCCGGAGGCTCCAAAAACCAGATTTGAGGGGACCCCAAGATGGGAACACACACCCCTTGGCCAGCGTGCAAAAAACGATTCGTCGGTTCTTCGGTTGGGGCCACGGTCGCCAGCCGAAGGCCTCCTGAACGAACGCCCGTGGCACGAATCCCACGCTGTGCATTGCAGCCAATCGACCAACGAAAGCACACAAAGGGAAGAGGCGATCTGGGCACTCTGCCCACAAAAATACACAAAGCCTCAGAAAAAAAATAAGAGAAAAAAAAAAGAAGAAAAAAAAACTTCGTCACCGGCAGCGTCGGACATTTCTGGGGCCACAACTTTCAGCCACGCCACTGAGCCACCAAAGGGGGAGAAGAAAAAAAAAGCCACACCCCGGCCGTCCTGCTCCCCCCACTGTATGATGGACACTTACTCCATTCTGCACCTTCATTTCGGGTATTTTGTTTGCTTTCTGCAACAAGAAGCTGCAAGTCTCCATGGCCACCCCACCACCACCACCACCACCACCACCACCAGCCCCCCCACCACCACCCGATCCGACCGCCTCCGGCTCTCCCTCGCCCTCCTCCCACCGCAGGGTGGCGCCGAAGAGCAGCCCCGGGCCAGCCAGCCGCGCGGCCGCCACCACCGCTGCGAGCTGAGACTTGGAGAGGCGCCACACCTCCTGGCGCACGCGCGTCCAGACGACCAGCGCCAGGGCTGGTCTCCTGTTGCCCCAAGTGTCCCTTGAAAAGACCCCAAGCAAAACACAGGGCTCCAACTTCCCCAAAACAAGGGTTGCTTGCAACTCCAACTCCAAAAAACACTCCGAACGTCGAAATGAAGTGTTTCCAACTCCACAGAATCACAAAAATCTGGACATGGATGTGCCCAAATCCCAACAAAAGACTCCAAAATCTGGAGATGGATGCGTTTCCAACTCCAAAAGACACCAAAAGTCGAAATGGCTTGCTTCCAACCCCAAACATTCACCAATGGGATGGATTTGTGTTCAACTCCAAGAATACACCAAAAGTTTACATGGATTGTTTCGAAGTCAACATTGTTCTGGCGTGTTTCCAACTCCAAAATCTCTAAATGGATGGGCTCCAACTCCTACAGATCAACCTCAAAAGGGGCTGTGTCCAACTCCAAAAAGATGCACCAAAAGTCAAATTGGATTGCCCCCCCCAACCCCCCCCCTCCCCCAAAAAAAAAAGCTGTCTCCGTAAAGACCTGGGCCCTCTCTCTCCCCTCTCCCCCCTTCCCCCCCGTCTCGTCCTCCTCCGTGGGCACCCACCCGGCCAGCATCCCGGCCTTCTCCCGCCAGCGCAGCCAACGCAGGTCCAGGCTCAGCGCGGCCTCGGCAAGGAATCCCAGCCCAAACGGTTTTCAGGCTGGCTCTGGCGGGTTAGTTGGGGTTAATCATAAATTGATTGCATTTCCAATATGCAAGCTGATCTTGTTTTCCAGCGTTCTCTTCTCCAAGCCCTGTCCACTGTCCTTGCTCACTGGGCGTCCATCGCGCCAACTTTCATCCGAAGTCGCCCCGCGCCTCCAGCTGCTCGAGACTAAGGCTCTGCGGGGGGAAGCTGAACCGCAGCGGCAGCTTCCTATGCCCAGGGTATGTGTCCCAAAGTTGGAGTTTCCGTCCTGGCTTCCCTTTAAACCAACCTTTAAAAGGGCACCCTCACAAACAAACAAAGAAACAAACAAACAAACAAGCAAACACACACACACACACACACACACACAGACAGAAGTTGATGAATGTTGGAACCCGTGTCACTCAAGCCTTTGGTCTATCTGTGGAGCCCCCCAAAGCTTGCGAACCTGAAATATCTGTGAAGCAAACAGTTTGGCTGCACTTCTTGTGCATTTCACCCGGTCTTATTCCTGTCGATTCGCCACATCAAAACCGTATTCTAGAATCCAAACATGCAAGTTTTCAGGGTGATAACCCCCGTATGGTGGACACTGAATGTGGTCTATTGGTTGCAACCTCCTTCTTTTGGGGTATTGGTGGTTTTTTTGTTTGTTTGTTTGCTTGATTGTTTTGTTTTTTTCTTCGGGTTCTTGGCTGCAACATTGACGCTAAGTCTTCATGGCACTGGCAACCCCCCAAAGGTGCGAATTCCCCCCCCCCTCCCAAATAAATGTCCACAAGCCCAGTTTTCAGGGTGGTAAACCCCCCCATCAGAAGGTACGACTGCAGGAGAATGGCTGTGGGAGAAAATGGCAACCCCAAAATGGGTTCTCGGAAGTGGCAAAGATGGACTAAAAGAACCGGTCCAATACTGTGGCTTCAGTTTGACCCCACATGGCTCGAATTTTCGATCTTTCAGCTCGGGCGGCGCCAAGCGCCGCAGCAGCCCGGTGAGCCGAGCGTTCTGCTCCGCCACGGGGGACAGGGTCTGGTGCACTCCGATGGACACCTCAAGAAACGGCCGGTCCACTGACCGTGGTGTGTTCGGTTTTTTTCCCCCCCCGTAAACGAGAAACGGCCGGTCGCTGGCCTGGTGTTGTCGATTTTTTGGTTTTTGTCCCCCTGGCTGGTTTCACCTGAAAAAAGTCCGGGGACCCGAGATTGGGTGAAGGGGAACCGCCAAAAGGATGGCAACCGAAAAAGGTCACTGGATTTCCCCCAAGTTGATGAAGTTGCGGGTGGTGTCCGACAACAATGCCGCTGCTTAGGGGCTCAAACCAGAAAAATGGCTCCGGGAAAATGGTGCGGCAGGTTCAAAGCCCCCCCGGGTGTGTCTCAAAATAGGGGGGAAAAAAACAACGCCCCTAAGATATGTCCCAAAACGAGTACCCTCAAAAAAAGATACCCAAATAGTTGGCTTTTGTTCGGGGCAGTTGGTTGCAGCTTCCCCTGATAATTTTCTGGGTTACCTGTACAGGTCATTGAATGGACTTATTTGGGGCGCGTTTCGTCCAATGGAATCGCAGTTCCTGGCTGAAAGCTGGTTGCAGGCCCGGCTTCAACGGAAAGCTCACCGAGAAACCCATGCTTGAATTCCACCCTTTGGAGACAAAACCGACCCAAAACATGGCTGTCCGGAAGTTGAACACAAAACGCAAGGGCGAGTTCGAATATGGGGGGTGCCTGCGTTTAGGAGAACCCCCCCCCAAAAAAAATGGTAGTTTTTTTTGTGGTTTCCCTTTACCCCCCCTTTCCCCCCCCCGGCACCACCAAAAAAAAGGAAGAACAAACAATATCCCCCAAAAAACAGACCCAAATAATAATGATAATAAGATAATATAAAATAAAACAAAATAAAATAAATAATAAAATGGACCTTCCGTGAAGACCGGCCTTGGCCCCAAGGTTCACCTTTTCATGAGCATGAGAACGACCTTTTTTTATTGAAAATAAAGCCGCGACGGTTCCAAGTTCCATGCCACGACCGCGAAACCCAGACCCCTGGAAACGAGAAAAGTGAGCTCGTCTGGCTTGGCCTTTGAAGATCTTCAAGGGGGGGGCCCTCCAAAAAAAAAGAGAAAAAACACTAAGTTGCTGTTGACCCCCCTGCAAAAAGTGTCACTTTTTGGGGGGGTTAGTGGAAAACCACCTTTATTTCAACCAAAAAGTTAAAGTCTAAAGATCCAACCCAATAGCAGTCAAGAACAGGGTGAGCAACCCCTAAAAAGGCCGGCTGAAGAAGGGAAGCATTGCAAGCAAGAGGCCCAGCTCAAGCTCCGGAGGCTCCGGGGAGTGCTGACCCCCGCCACCGCCCACAAGGCGTCGTTCAGCGCCGGCAGCAGGGCGACCATTGGGACCGGCGTGCGAAGACCGCAGGGCCAAAGGAAGGCAGCACAAGATTTGGGGATTGGGGGGAAGAAAGTGAAGAGTGCTGCTCCCCATTCCGCTCTCTTCGGTCGTGTCGCAGAGCCAGGCATGCGGTCGGTGCGAAGCAACGGTCCTTGCAGAAAGGAGAGTTTGGTGCGGGCGTCAGCATTTCTCTCTCGCGCTTGGCAAGGACTCCCCGAACGCCTGGACCTTTGCTCTTGAGCAATACAAGGCCGGGATGGATCCAATGAGCCCAGTCCTGCGTTGCGAAAAATGCCCCCTAAGGGGAGCGTAGAAGACATCGGTCCCATGGCGCAACCATGGAGATGCTACCAAATCACCTCGCGGCATCCGCTTCGGCCGCCTCCCACACCGCCCGGCGCGGCTCGGTTTTCGCCGACCCGAAACCCGCGGCTCAGGCGGCCACGGCGGGCTTCTTGGCCCAGCCTTGGAGCTCCTCCCGGCGGGGGTCCATGAAGCGACCCAGCACCTCGTCGTCCACACTCTTCCGCGCTTCCTGCAACACAAATCCGCGCGCGACTGGTGGGTAGCGTTTCAGCGGGAGGCTCAGAAACTCGGAGAAAAAACGGGTCCCTTCGGCCAGAAGGGTATGAGAACTTGGCAACAAAGATTTCAAACTTGGAACCGCAGAGGTCTGAGACCTCGGCTTGTCAGCTGGGCTTTCCCTTCAAACTGCTTTGGGGCAACCGGCAGTCCAACGACTTTTCCCGGACGGAATCGGACTGCCGATTCGCAGTGCCCAGCTCTACTTGTTTGTCTCTGCAATTAGGGCGCAAGGGGGAAGCAAATCCCATACTCGCTTGGTTCATGCTCAAAAGGACACAAAGGGCAACCTTGCTCGCCACAAACCTGACCATTCCTTGCCCAATTGTTTGAATGGTCTTCCTCGGAATCCCTGTCCTGGTGTTCGCGCACCACTTCAGCCACCACGTCCCCCAAGCGTTTCTTCACCTCGCCGGTGAGCATGCGCCCTGCGCTGTACTCCTCACCAATCCTCTCCAGTTCCTCATCGTCCTCCAGCCAAATCCTCCTTAGACCAGTCGCGGGAAAATCGTCCCACGACTTCCAAGGCCAACAAATCCCTTTTTCCAACCAAACCTTGTCTTTGGAACTTACCTTTAGTGCGTCATGTTCTCATCTGCTTGATGTGGCACCAGTGCGTGAGCGATACGCCAAAGAGGGCTGTGGTGCTGGGGACGGTACGGCGAGGAGCTGGAGACTTGACAGCGAACGCCAATTTTCCCGGGGCCCCAATAGCAGTGGAACCACCCATTTTGGCGAACACAGGGAAACCAGCCGATTTGGAAGCTCTGGAGGTTGCCCCTGTTGGGGACAAACCCATACTCGCTCTGAGCTTCAAGTACTGGTAGGCGACGTCCACGGAAAGGTTTGCCCCATTCGCCCGCTGCTCCTCCTCGGTCTTGCCGCCCCCGGAGAATGCATTCCTTTGGGTGCACATCAAGATGCGCATCAAAATGCCTAACCTCTTTCCAACCCTATGTGGACGAAACGCCTTTTCAAGATGGGCCACATATAATCCCAAGGTACACTCGCCCAATGGACCTATGCAGAAAAAGCGCTGATCACCTCGGTCTATCAAAACAGCCGAGTGCACACCTCCTCAGGACACCGCATTGCGGATTGAAAATGGCAAGGATAGAAAAATCCCAGTCTCCAACCGAACAATGAAAGACGATCTCACCAAAAGGCTACCCCCCCAAAAAAAAAATGCTTTTGTTACCAAAAAGGCTGCCAAAAGGCTGCCAAAAGGCTACCAAAAGGCTACCAAAAGGCTACCAAAAGGCTACCAAAAGGCTACACCCCCCCCCCCCCCAAAAAAAAAAAAAAAAGAAAGAGGCTTTTGCTCAGCTTCTTGTTGATCTTCTTCCGAAGCTTCTTCTCGGTGTCTGTGAGGTACAACGCCGTTGAGGCCACCGACGCGGACATCTTGGTCTGGTGGCCTGAGGTTTCTGTGGCGGCTCGTTTGTTTGTGGGGAGTTGGATTTTGTGAACCACTAGGGAAATGATTAAGCCACTAGGTACACCAGGAATCGCCACAGGGCCAAAATCTATTTTTTCGACCAAACATAGGCGTCCTTTTAAGGGAAATAGATGGCCCTGGTAGATGATTAAACCACGAGGTAAACCAGGAATCGCCATCTATTTTTCGACCAACACAACCAAAAAGGACACCTATGGGATTACCTTTTGGGGCCATGACTAATGTTAACCCCGGATTAACAAACCCCTGGTTGATTAATAGGGGTGTTCCCTTTTACTACGGATAATCATCACTTTTGGAGGGGACACCCCCCTAATGGGACGGGTTTATGAAAATCCGTCAACATTACCCACCCACTCCCCCCCAGGGAAGCCAGAGGAAAAAAGGCTGCGCCACTTTCGAGGACCTCTAAAGTAACCTCCCCCCCCCGTTGTGTGGTTTTCAAGGGAAACGATTGAAGGATTTTTGGTTTGGACCCCAAAAAGACGAGCCATGTGGGGTCATTGCTTTAGGGGTCTGGGCCATTACTCGAATTCACCTGGACTTACGGATCCCCCCCGTTTATAAGGCCCTCATGGGTGAGCTGGAAGGAGACCCAGAGCATGTGAAATATGTGGCTGTGGGTCAAAACCCTGTACCCCTGGTGAACATCAAAATAGGTGGCAAAATGGATGTTCATCCACCACAAAATGGAGCCATTGGTTATGCCCCATGGCCATGTGTGAGGAATCCTAGTCATGGTCCCAACGGCCCAAAATCACGATGAAGGGCGGATGAATGCCCCATGGAAGGACCGTAAGACCTTCTTTTTGAGAGGTTCGGACCCTGATCCACCGAGCGGATGGTGCCAGACTGAGCTTGGAAATAGAGCTTAAAAGCCGCCTCATTCGAGCTTGCACAAGAACATCCTGAGCCTTGAAGGTCGCGCCCCTAAAAATGGGAAGGATCTTCAAGAGAAGAGGGTCGCAAGAAGGAGAACAAGAAGAAGAAGAAGAAGAAGATCAGGAGGAAGAAGAAGAAGAACGAAGAACGGAGAAAGCAGGAGGAAAAGACTGCAACAAAAGAGCATGCCGAGATGGAAGAAACAGCATCAACCTGAGCGTCAAACAAACCGGGGAACAGCAAAGAGGAGTGGGAAGCCAGAACAAAGACTCAGAGCTGACAGCCAAGGAATCGGTCAAATAGGGTCCTGCAGATTCAGCCAAAGTCAACCTGAAAAAGATCAAGGCCAGCACCCATTCCGCAAAAAAATACACCCAAAACCTGAAATGAATAAGGGATCCCCAAGTGTCAGGATCTTTACCCTTGCTTTCGCCCGTTTTTCACCCCCGACTCGGTGAGCTCGCAAAAAGAAAAAAGAAAGGAAAAAACAAGTCCTGCAGCCTTGCCCCTGCGCCTTGCAGCGCAGGGAGGAACTTGCTGTGGATCAGCGCCGGCTTGGGCCACTTCAAGTCCTGAAGCCAACCCCCCCCCAAAAAAAAGAGAGAGAAAAAAAACACAAAAAAAAAACAGCAGCTGCAAGGTCCTGAAGCCAACGCAAGAAAGTTTTCTCCATCACATGGGCTCTCGAACTGTTACTTCTAGTAGGGGAACCCTCCCAACCAAAAAAGGGGAGAGAAGGGCACTGGGACTTAGGCATGGATTGGGTGGGAGCGGTGAACAGTTCGGCCCGAGTTGGACTTGGCCCTTTGACTCCGTGATGATCTCTTCAGCATCCGGAAATATTGGTGCTTTGGAGACCGGTGGTTTGGTGGCGAAATGGAGCGGCTTCCCATCTACCCCCCTCCAGCATGGATTCAGCGCCTGCAATCCCCAAGCCACCCATCCAAGCCACCAAGTACAGGTCCCCAGCAGTTGCCAAAAAAAACATGCAGAAAACCGATTCTCCCCCTCCCCGAACTTCGGGCCCTCGACGTTGGAATTGGCAGTCAAGTGGTTGGATTTCAACCACTAAGCCACCAGAAGCAAACATGCAAAATGTCTCCCAGCAACAACCATGCAACGCCCCAAAGGCGCTTTCCGCCTTTGCCCCGCGCCCTGAAGAAGAAAAAACATTCAACAAAAACCAACCCTCCGTCCTCCGCCACGCGGCGGCAGAGCCGAAAGTAGGGATCCTGGTCGATGGCCTGTGACCATAGATGTTTTGGGGCAAATAGATGGGTGTCCCTGGGTTTGCCTGGCCTGAGGTTTTTGTTGGCGCGGCTCGTCTTGTGCTTGTGGGGAGTTGGTACTGTGAACCACTGGGTAAATGAAGAAAAACCACCAGGTAAGCCAGGAATCGCCACAGGGCCAAGTCGATTTTTCAACCAAAACCAAAAAGGACACCTCTGCCTGCGGCACGAAGCAGCGCATGCCGGGCCGCAGGAAATCCGGGAAGCTCTGCGCGAAGGCCGGCGACGCCTGGAAGGACCGAGGGCCATGGGCGGCAGGGGGCCCGGCCCTTGGAAAGTGGGTGTCCACATGTTTCGCCTTTCGCTAAACAGTGGAAAACGGCTCTCACTTTTTTGAGGGTCTGGCCTGGGAAAAAGATGGTTTTCCCACTTTTTTGGGGGTGTTGAGTATGAAGACATCTAGGCACTGAACAGGTCGGATGACATTCTGAGCCCCGCCACCTCCGCCTCGGCTCTCACCCTGCCTGCACCGCGGCAAAGGCACTCTTGCCTCACTTGCCCGGCCATGCACACATGGACGCCCATGTTCTTCTGGCTGATTTGAAAAGAAGAAGGCCCCCCTTAAAAAAACAAAAAACAAAAAAAGAGAAAAGAAAGCACCCCCGCCCCCAACCAAAAAAAAAACAAAACAAAACAAAAATGAAACGGGGGTCCCTTTTTCGTCCTCTTCCCAGATCCGAGTTCTTCCCCGAGCCGCCGATGTTGTCGCTGAGGGTGAAGCCGAAGGTGTTCTGCGCCGTGCGCAGCGTCACCCGCTTCTGGATCTGCAAGGCCACCGGATAGAGCTCCCGGATGTAATCCGTGTCGCGGAAGATGAATGTCTTGGCCTACAGGATCCAACCTTTCAACAACATAAGAACCTAAGGCCCCCCCCCGCCCAACCAACCAACCAAAAGCCTACAGGTCCCATCCAACCAAAAGCCAAAAACAAACAAAAAAAAAACGTTCACCAACATAGGGCCCTCAGGCCCTAAGCCTCCCCACTTTCACCAAGCAAGTCTGACCCTTTTCGGGGCCTGGCCTTTTGAAAAAACCTTATTTCGCAGAAATCCACTCGGAGAGGGGGTGTGGGGCTCGGGGGCCATTGTTGAATCCTATGAGACACGCCCAAGAAAAACTCACCGGGCTCATGAGGCTGCAACCAGCCAGCGGGGGCCTATTCTGACAAGAACACGTGTCGCCTTTCAAGGCAGGATTTTGGATGTATCAACTCATTATTTAAATTGTGGTTTATGTAACAGGTAAATCTACAATTTGTGTTCGATGCTCAGCGCCACCGAATACGACTGAAGTTGGGGTCGGCGGTAAATGTGGGAGTTTAGAATTGGCTCTCTCTTGCCTGGTTCTAGGAAATGTTAAGTTTACACGCACAATAGAACTGAATAAGGTGCAGTTATTGATAGGGGAAGGGATTACTACCCACCTCTAAAGGAAACGCTGACTTGGTCGGCAAAGATTCGACCCTGCAAGTGAGCGCATCGCATTCCGCAAGTGCTGCAAGTAAGCCAATCGCAAGCTGCATGAATATGGACTATTGGCAATCGACAAGTGCCTTTCCCGCTTCCACGGCGGGGACTCGGTTTGCAACAGCTGCGGCAGAGGGGGTTCTGAAAAAAGGGAATAAATACCCTCCCTCCCGCAAACATGGACGCCGAACTGGGGCCGAACTGAAAGTTACCTTGTGCAAGTTTCCCGGGCGCAAACGTACATCTGGGCGCGAGCAGATGGCGCAACTCCCTCATGTTGGTCGTACTCTCCCCTTCACTTCCCCACAAAAAAGTTGAAAATTGCCCCCCCCCCCCCCCCCCCCACCGCCGAAGAATTCTCCATCCCCTGAGTCACTTGCTCCATGAAAACTCGGGATCACCTGGTACCTGGCGGATTCCCTCGAAAGGGCTGTGGGAAATGGCCACTTCTCAAAGACGTGTTCCCCCCATTTTGAAGGGGGAGATGCCCAAAAGTATCACAGAAGCAGGGGGAGCTCAACCAACCTAGTGATCCCACCCTCCCCGATTCGCCTGACTCCCCAAAACCGACCCATCGACCCCTCGACCCCTCGACCCATCCGCGAAGTCGCCGGGTCGAAGCCGCAGGCCACGATGTCCTTGGCGTTCTCCCAGGCCAAGCGCCTCGCCTCCTCGATGCCCAACTCCTTTCAGTGGCCCGCTGCCAGAAGGCCAGGCGCAAACGTGCGCGCGAGCGTTCGGGGAGAGACACGCGGTGGATTTTGGGCGGCTGCTTATGCTGCTGCTCGTGGTAGACGTGGCGGTGGCGGTGCTGATGTTGATGTTGCTGTTGCGGTTGCTGCTGTTGCTGCTGTTGCTGTTGCTGGTGCTGGTGCTGCTGCGGTGTTCTGGTTATTGCTCTTGCTCTTGCTGCTTCTGCTGTTGCTCTTGTTGTTGCTGCTGTTCCTGTTGCTGTTGCTGTTGCTGTTGCTGTTGCTGTTGCTGTTGCTGTTGCTGTTGCTGTTGCTGTTGCTGTTGCTGTTGCTGTTGCTGTTGCTGTTGCTGTTGCTGTTGCTGGTGCTGGTGCTGGTGCTGGTGTTGTTGTTTTGTTTTTGTTATTGTAATGTTACTGTTTCTTGTTCTTGCGATTGTTATTGTTCTTGTTCTTCTTGTTGTTGTTGCTGGTGCTGCTGTTGTTGTTGTTGGTGGTGGTGGCGGTGGCGGTGGCCTTGCTGTTGCTGTTGTCAGTCTCGGTGCTGTTGCCGTTGCTGCTGCGGTTGCGGTTGTTGCTGCGGTTGCGGTTGTTGCTATTGTTCTTGATTTTGTTTTTGTGGTTGTTGCTGTTGCTGTTGCTGTTGCTGTTGCTGTTGCTGGTGTGGTTGCTCTTGTTGTTCTTGCACTGTGTCTTGTCCTTGCGATAGTTATTGTTCTTGTTGTTGTTGTTGGTGGGTGGTGGCTATGGCGATCGCTTTCACGCTCGTATCTTTCTGAGCGCCATACCGTCTGCAGCGCCTAGCTTGTCTACTCGGCAGCTTGGGCGCCTTAGGTGGCAATCAGCTGTGACACCTGGGGTATAACAATCAGACTAAATGGCATGGGACAAAACCGCGGACCAGTGAACATCCCAATCCCCACTAAAATAGACTAAAATGGAGGTGCACCTACCCCACAATGGTATTGTACAGAACAGCAACTTCAAAAACGCTAGGCAGCGACCATGGCAGCTACAATGACACCCGTAAGGATTGGGACAATGATAATAAAAATAACTGCAATGCTGATCCTACTGTTAAAGTAAACAACTGATGATAATACAAGTACTGAAAATAGTCAGAAGCAACATGTCAATGAACAAACGCAGTTGGCTGTTGGGCCCAAGGCGTCCTTCTTGAAGAGGAACTTCTCGTCATCCGTGAGCTCAATGACCAGGGGAACATCGAAGGCTTCTTGCAGCCACTTGGTAAAAAGGAACGGCACCATGTGCCCCAAGTGCAGCGACTCAGACGAGGGCCCTCTGCCTGTGTAGATGTAAAACGGCTCGCCCTTCTCCTCAGGTTTTTTTGTGCGAGATGAAAAAGGGCGCGAGATCGGCGTTTCCACCCAAACGGGCCTAAATCACTTGCGTGAAAGCGAACAGCATCTGGAGACTTGGAGAAGACAGTGGAGGCCCCTCTGCATAATGCCGAGACTTGGAAAGAGGCATCTGGTGGCGGAGCCTGTCACTTGTAAGAAGCGAGACCCAGCCGCACTCACAGGCGAGACCGAGGCGCCCCCGGTCTTGCCATGTGGCGACCACGAACCACGCAAGTGAGTGCTAAAAGTTCGGCTGCTCGACTTTTGGAGTCGACTCTGCAACTTGCAATAGACTTAAACTTAAACCCAAAGCCCGTCTGCTTTCCGATCAACTCCCCAAGGAAGCAGATGTGTCGTCAAACATTGGGAGTCTTTTGAGGGTACCCCGGCTTGGTGGATTTTAAAGACGCATCCTTGTTGGGGAGCAACTAGACCTGCCAGAACAGCCTCCGAGCTGGAAACACGGGATCGCCTGCCGCAAAAATCCACCAGCTGAGTGCAGCCTGCCATCCCCAAAAGAAGACAGGGGGGCTTAAGGTACTCCATGAAATCGGTAAAAAGCTTCCCTTTAGCACCACGGTAAGTGCACTCTCAAAAAAGACCCCCCCCCCCTCAATTGAAAAAAAAAGCGCGACCCCGATCTGATCCACCTGGACCTTGCCATCAACACCCGGCAGGTCAAAAGCCTCGAAGGACCCAACCCCCGCCAGGGCGCGTAGGCGTCCAGCAGCTGATCCAAGTCCCGGTGCGAAAAGAAGAGCCCCCGACGCAGGAACCGGTGAGCCCTCTGTCCCGTGAGCCGCTCCATGCGCTCAATCTGCGCCTGGCTCAGATTGAAGACTCCCAAGAAAAACGCAAAGAAAAGTCGATCACCTCCCATCGATGTTGAAGGGCGACAAAAGAAGTCACCAAAGCTTTTGGTTTGCCACATGGTCCAACCCTGAAAAGTCCATAAGCTCCGCGCTTGTAAGAAAAACAAGCTTTGGGCCGTGCAGTCCGCAGTCCCGATGTGACGCCTGCGCAACCATGCTTGAAACACCGGCGTGGCTTCACCACTGCATAATTACTCGACATGGGGAAGCGTGCTTACAAGGACAGCCCGGCGCAAAGTCGTGGAGACCACCGAGACTCCCCGTTGAGCATTAAGCATGCAGTTTTTGTTCCTCCAACCGCCGCAAGCTTATGGCGAAGGAAGCCCGACCAAAGCACCTGTCACAAGTGGGATGGCTTCGTTGCCCGCAATTGCCCGCAAAACGGGGCTCCCTTGTCTGGTTTCTCAAGTGTCACTAGGGAAACCAGCGGCTGAAACGAAGGACGGGTGGGATGATACGGGAAGGCACTACCCTCCAGTACTCAGGGCTGGTTGCTTCACGCCGGTGGCTTCAAGCCGCCCCTCCCCCCCCCAAATGCCAAAGTCGCAACTCACGAAAACAAGGATTCGAACCATCCGGCCGGAACTCTCAAGCACTCCTACGCCCCGACCCGACGGGCCGTCGCACTTCGGCGCTTCTCCGGCGCCGGAGACGCGACGACGTCGCCTGGGTGATGGGTTGGCACCCAAAGGTCTCGATGAGCTTGTCGTAGTCCACTCCATCCTCTGCCTCCACCTGCGATCCATTTGGCCAAGCGCAAAACATGGCCCAGAAGAGCCAGATATGTCTGGGCGGCCCAAGGGATGTAGGCGCCCTGAAGGAGATTCTTGTACAAAAGATGGATTCTTGGCTTTCATGATTAAACTGGGGGAAAGTAAAAGTGGAATGAGGGTCAGCACAAGTTTGCTGGCAAAAGCAATGTCTGCCTTAACTCCGGAGTCTTAGAAATGGCTGGCCCATAGGACAACAAAAGATGACGAATTTCCGGGAAGAAACTGGCACCCACAATTGTGTCAAGCCTCTGGCAGGCACGAAACTGGCATCACAAGGGCACGAGAACCAAAAGCTCCCAGAGCGATCCCAGCCCATTCCATCCAAACTGGTTGGCGCCTGAACACACAGACCTGCTCGTCTGCTCACCCCAAACAACAACTGGTGCCTAGCGCCTTAAAACACCTGGAAATCGGGACCTGGTCCCGCCTGCCCCCCAGGCCTCCCAGGGAGTGACCACCTGCTCCTTCGGCTTCTCCGCCCGCCGCGCCATCCCCCGCGGCGGCTTCGCCGCCGGCTTCGCCCGCCGAGCCGCCCGCGCGCAGCAGCCGGCCAGGCCGAGTGCCAGGCCCCAAGCGCGAGGCGCGGGATCCAGGGGCGCCAGGGGCCTGGAGCTTGGAGCTGGTCGACAGCTTGGAGGCTGTCAACAGAAAACCCACGCCCCCAAGCCGAGGGGAAAAGAAAAAGAGAAGAAAACAAACGCATGGAGGTGCTCCAAACAACTTCGAAGCGCCGGCGCGTTTAAGGCGTAAAGCGCTGGGTTGCTGCAAATGGGGTAGGGACCATGCGGGGAACCTCCTTGAGGTCTATCCGAACTGCACAGCTGGCGATTCGCAGAGCGCCGCGCCTCAATTCCCCATGCCCGCTGAGGGGAGCGGGCCTCCCTCTAAGCACCTGCGCCGGCTGGTGCCCGAGCACCGGCGCTGCCGGAGCCACCAGCATCCCCTGACCGACGCGCAGCATCAATTTGCCAACCTGTAACCTGAGTTGAGGAACTATGAGGCAAAATCTGGCTTTCATCTGTGACCTGGGTCACAGAGCCCCTCGGCGGAACGGTGAGAAACAGCAGCCCGTCGATGTACCCAGCAGAGCCCTCACGCATCCACGGTTTTTGAACCTTTCAGAATAGGAGACTGGTCTGGATTCCTCCACTTTCGCACCCTGTTCCCTTCTCCAGCCTGGGCTGTTGCCTTCCGCGCTGCTGGGCTGAGCAAAAATACTTGCGGCGGAAACCATAAGCCGTGGAGATTGAAAGAAGGTTTCTCCCACGGGCAAGCAGCAAACAACCTTCAAATACATCCCACGACCCGAACCACCAGCCCGATGCCACTGGCGGAAATGTGAGCTGAACACTTCGCAGTTGTTGAACACTAAGAGACGCGTTCAGAATCTAGAATGCGGTTCGCATTGGGCTCGAGCCATTTCACTCGACCAACGAAAACTACCAACCAGTGCGGCAGAATGGCAGGGCCATTGGCACATGTTCAAATTTCAACTTGAGAACTGCGAGCCGGGGGCAAGAAGACTTGGCTCCATTTGGAACGGCCAAACGAAGCCTGGTTTCTCAAGGGAGAAGCCCCAAAAAGGATTGGTTTCCTGTTGGCTGCCCTGGGAGGGAGAGAAAAAAAAAGCACCGGGCGCCGGGCGCCCTCAGGAAAAGACACACCCATCTGCAGGTTCTAGAAGAATTCCAACACCTGGGCAGAACCTTCCTCCGTGGCTTCGGGAATCCTCTTCCAGTGCGTTCCAAAGACACGGTTGATTCTCTGACCAAGGGCATGCGCGTAGCCTAGGTGCATTTGTTTGGTGCAATCTAAACCCTTGCACAGAGCCGCGCAAGACCTTGTTGCGTGTCTACTTGTTTACTTTTTTGTGGGAAGTCAAAGAAAAGCAGCAAAACCAGAAGAGAAGAGCAGCTTGAGCGAAAAACTGGTTCCAGAACAAAATGATGAAACGACACTGGGGGGCCAACGGAACAGATCTGTTCATGCGATTCAGCGCTTTGATGCTGCGCATGTGCCCTAGCAATCTGAGAGCTCACGTTGGCCACCGTGCGCGGGCGCTTGACAGCCAGCCGACGAAGCAACCAGATCTAGCCCAGCCTGCTAATGTTGACCCCGGATTCATAAGCCCCTGTTTTATTAATATTGGGGGTGTTCTCCTCCAAAAGTGATAAATCCCCACTAAAACCGGGGACACCCCCATATTAATAAACATGGGTTTGCTAGCCACCCGGACATCCAACCAAGATCAAAGCACACAACAATTCAAGGGGACACTTTCCCATTCTTTGCAGGGATCCGTTCATTCCGGAAAACCATCAGAACCCAAAAAACAGCGATGGTTGAAAACAATGGGGAATCAACCCCTAGAACAATCCAACCAACGCGTTTTGATTGAACCCATTTTGCCCAGCCCGGACGGCCTATCTTTTCCCGAGCGCCAGGGTCGCAAAGGTCTTTCAACGCTGTCCATAATATAAATTGGCCTTATTGGACAGCATGCTGCCACCCCTGGCAAATTTTCTGACAAGCAACTTGCCGATGCTGCGCAAGGACTGACACAGCCCCTTCGAGTCTGCATCACCCCGGAGCACCGGCAAGTACCATCAAGGGAATGCCTTAGGCCCTTCCCACCAACTTGCACCAAGTTCGCCTTTCGGAGGTGTTTCTGCGGAACGGACCAGAACTTGAGCAAGAAAAAAAAGAAAAGAAACAGGCCGCGTCACACAGCCATCGGGGGCTCGCCAAGCGGCTCCACTTCGGACTCCTTTCGACTCACTCCGGCATCCCCTGCGGAGACGCCGGACCCTTCACGCTGACTCGTCGCGAAAGCCGGCCGTGCGCGTCCCCGGTCTCCCTTCTGAAGCGGAGGCGGTTCTCGTACATCTTCTGCCGGTACTGCTCGTGCACGATCTTGATGCTCAACGGGGGGGAGCTGAAGCAAATATACCTCGAGCAAGAAAACCCCCATGGGGGCCAAACGGCCACAAAGTTCTCAGAATCAAACCCGGTATTAAATTTTGGTCTACCCGGAACTGTGGAAAGAATTGCAAAGGCGGAGACCCCCTTGTGATTGTGACTTGCAAAAAGCCGTGCCGATCAAGAGCCAAGCTGCATCACCAGAAGCATCACGGTGCCTCCGCCCCCCAGTAAGAAAAGCCTCAACTCCGTCGTCGCCTGCGACGAGCGCCAAAACCGCCGCCAAAACCGCATGGGCTGCATTGCCCATGGGGTTTTCACTCACTTCCTGGATGGATACCTTCCCTTCCACAAACATAGCACCTGCGGGAGGGTACCTGGAAAATCATGTTCCTCTTGTACAAGACCTTCTGTCAGGTGCCAGGTGCCGGGCGCCCGGTTTTAACATGTTTTAACTCACTTCCTGGATGGAGCTCGACGAAACCTGTCCGCTTCCATCCACATGGCCCTTCCGAAAGCAATGAAGCCTAAGGGCCTCGGATCTTTGCTGACGGAACACCACAGCAACCCCCCGCCGGTTCAAAGCGACACCTCCCCCTCTGTTCGGATCCGTCCGATTCCGCAAGAAAAGAAACCGTGTAAAAACCAATCAAGCATGCGCGGAATCTTCCAGTACAGGCGCAACTGTCTGGAATCCTGGCCGTGCCAAGGATTCAAGCTGGACCCAAACTATGACGTCGGGGAGAACCGCTGTTTTCCAAAATGGAAATCGAGATCTGCAACGTTCACTCTAATTCCAAGAGCTGAAATAAGAAACAAGGGATCCCCACATAAAAGACCTTTATCATGGCTTTCGCTCGCTATGCCCCAGCTCATCGGTGAGCCAAAGCTGTCCAAAACAAGGGGGCAAGCATAGGCGTCCTTTTGGGGGAAATACATGGCCCTGGCAGTTGATTGAACCACCAGGTAAACCAGGGCCATCTATTTGTCCACCAAAACAACCGAAAAGGACACCTATGGGGGCAAAAACCTCTCACCGATCCTCGGGCAGAAGCAGCTGCACGCTGGTGCCCGCGCACCCCGAGCAGCTCCCCCAGGTATCGCAGCGCTCGCAGTCCCGGCCCTCGTATGCCGCGAAGTACCTCGTATGCCGCGAAGCTTCGGGAAGCCCGGCGCGTTTTGCGGCCGGTGCAGGTGAAGCAGCTTCAAGCCTTGCCTTCTGGCCCACGTTAGATTGCTTGAGTTGGTGTTGAAAGGGCTCCAAAGAACCCTTGTCAGCTCGCTCCCAGCGTGGTGACTTTCTGTACTTTGTTTGGAGGGAGACCTGGTTGAAGGTCTATATCTCAGGGAGGCAGTGGTATGAAGGCCTGGCTTGCGCCGTGGCACGCACCCTGGAAAGAAGGAAACAACCTGGCATGCCCTGTATGAACCATAAACTCATTTAGAGTATGAACTCTAGTGACCTGGCCCTGCCGTTGGACATATTGCGTAGCCTCTGGCAAATACCGAAGATGGAAATCGATCATCGGTTCAGGCCGAAACTGGCACAGAACTTTGCTGACCATGGGCCGTTTGCACCCTTAGAATCCCTCAGCTGGAAAGGAACGATTTTGTCCCTGACTCACGCAGAAAAACCACCCACAGCCTGAGAAATAACCTCCACTGGGTCAAAATCAAAGCCCAAGCCGACCCAAACTCGTGTAAAGAACCGCGCGGAACGATCTCCGCGCCGATCCGATTTCTGGCCGGCGTTCTGGACCCAGGGAAACTCAGCGCCGTTTGTTGGTTGATGTTTGCGAGCTGTACCCAGCTCTTCCCCCTAAAAAAAAAGACTTAAAACATAATAATGATAAGAATGATGATAATAATGATAATAATGATACTAATAATAATGATAACAATGATAATGATAATGATGATAGGAATGATGATAACACAAGACCCAGCTGGCAACACCCGGCGGTGCGACAACGATCCACCGATCCGCAAGAAAAACAAGCTCTTGGGATCGGATCCTCTCGCCCGGGGTCGATCCGAAGGTCCGGGGCGCAGCGTCAGGCCGCTGACCAGGAGGCCCAGGCCAGTGACGATGACGAAGGCGGCAAAGGGCCGGCCCATACCCACCACCATCCTCGGAGCGAACTGGCTTGGCCTCCCGGGCGGAGCCACTGCGAGGATGTGGCCGGCGAAACACGGGAGACGGACATACGAAACACTACGGAAAAAACAATGAAAAAGATCTGAACGGACCAAAACAACCGAAATGGCAAAAGAAACAAAAAAGAAGCAACGTAAAGCAAAGCAAAGCGCCAAGCAACGCAAAGCAAAGCAAAGCAAGCCAAGCAAAGCAAGCCAAGAAACGCAAGCCAAGAAACGCAAGCCAAGAAACGCAAGCAAAGCCAAGCCATGTCTTAACACAAAATTCCCTGAGCACACGAACTCGGAAAATCAAAAAAAAGGAGCCTTTTTCACCTGGCTCCTCACCACCTTTTTGGCGTCTTTCGATACATCCGGGGCTCCGGGGCTCCGGGAACTGCATGAGCTTCACGATCTTCAGGCTGTCCAAGCGCTTCTCGATGTGGACGTTGATGAAGGCCAGCAGCGGGGCCATGGGGAAGGCCACCGTGAACATCATGATCACCTCGAGTCGGGGGACGGGGGGGGAGGCAGCTGCTGAGGCAGCTGCTCAACCATGAGGAGAAAAAACCGGGGGGATCCGGGGGGAGGGGAAAACATACACAAGTTGATCTGGAACAAAACAGAAGCCAAAAACTGGGAGCCCTCCGCCTTCTGAAAATAAGAATATGTGGCTTCCCTCCAAAAGGGTGGGTTTGGAGCTTGGAGCCGTGGTTCGGTGGTTTGATTTGGAGGGGTTTCCCATGCAAACCCACTAGAAGCGGGGGTTCAAATCACAAACCACCAATCCAAACCACCAGCTAAGAGGAACCTGACGATCTGTCTTCTGAACAATCGCTTCTCAACGATCCTCTTGGTATCGATCCACTGGCCTGAAAAAAAAAACGATTTCCCGACATGTGAAGCCACGACTTTTCCGGCTGTCCTCAACCTGTAGTGGGTCAAACGGACATCCGACCACCAAACCAATCAAAAAAAGGGAGTGAACCGCCTAAGCAGGGCTGTGGGAAATCTTCTGTGATACAAGAGGCTTCGCAAAGACCAACTTCCCAAACAAAGGGGAGAAAGTCCCAAAAGTATCACAGAAGTGGTTGGAAAAAAACCCTTGCCACCCTACACACCTCAGGGACCGGATCCCTCTCTCCCCATTCCAAGCGCACACCCGGAAAAAAAGCCCGCCGCTTTTCAGAGCAGAGCTGCGCCGTACTGGATCACCAGCTCGATGGCTTCGTCCACCACCTGCGGATTTGGTTCCGTGTGAGCCAAGGAAAAGGGTCAACCCACTGTCACCATCGCTGCCATGAGGCCAGGCGTGCTTCGGAAGCTTCCCTGTTGCTGTTGTTTTGCCTCTTTTGGAAGCTTCCCTGTTGCTGTTGTTTTGCCTCGTTTGGAAGCTTCCCTGTTGCTGTTGCTTTGCCTCTTTTGGCTTTTTCTCTGCTTCAAGGGCCCCAAAAAAAAAAAGTGTTTTTTGTTCTCCCACCTCGAAGGGGAGGTCACGACTCAGCTCTTCCGAGACGTGTTCCAGGGCAGTGGATACGGGGTCCATAGGCTCTGGCACGCCATCGTCATGCAGCTCCCCGGTGAGTAAGTACCTCGCTTTGAAGCGCTGGCTTCAAATGAGACGCTCTGGGCCAAAAGGCTTGGCTCACTGGGTACACTGAGCATCCTCTTTCTGAGTATGATTCATATCCTCGAAACTCCAACCCTCAAGTTCTCAAGACGGGCTTTGTTTTCCCGAACTTCCAGGTACCTCAGAGTGGTCCACATGTTGGAAGCCACGGGCAGGGAGTTGCTCTTCATCTTCTTCAGCTGCTTCATCCACAGAGACCAATAGAACTCGATGAAGTTGTTCATGAAAATGGAGCTGAGGCAAAGGAAAAGCACCTCGGTTCTGCCATATGACCCTGGAGAAAAAAGTGCTGGAAAAACCTGACCATGGGGAAGACCAGTTTAGTGGGGCAGCCACCCCCCAAAAAAAGAAGAATGAAAAAGTGTGCCAGCACCTGAGTCACTTGCTAAAAACCTGGTACAAAATGGTCGTAATCCCAGAACCATGCTTCAAGAAGTTCTCCCTTACTACCCTCCAATTACCCGGGTTTTGATTGTGACCCTGGAGGAAAAAAGTTGGAACCCTTTTTGGGGAAGACCATTCTTGCGGGGCAGCCACCACTCCCTCCAAAAAAAAACAGAGGAAAAAGAACTGGTGCACCTGAAGAACCGAGGCACCTGCACCCTCAGCTGCGCCATATTTCTTTCCGCGAAGACGATCCACAGCAGGGAGTTGTAGGTGTTGAAGAGGTTAAAGATGAAGAGGCGGTCGAAGAAGTCCTTCTCCTTGGCCGAATCATCTCGGAAGAGCTGGTAGTTGTTGGTGTAGATCACCACCTGGCAACCCCAGGGGTTCAGACAGGCCTATCGATCTCTTGATGGCTGACCCATGGGCAATGGGCCAACTCTTACTGCATCTCATTGCTTGCTTCTCACTTGCCCCAAGGAGGACCCGGAATTCCAAGGGGATCACCTTGTGGGGCCATGACTCATGTTAACCCCGGATGAATACACCCCTGTTTGATTCATTGGGGGGGGGGTCCCCTTTTACTGGGGATTCATCACTTTTGGAGGGAACACCCCCCTAATAATGGGACGGGTTTAATATTCCTGGGTCAACCTTAAGAATGGTTGCCAAACTGCCAAACAGGGCAAACCAAAAGGTCAAGAAGTCGATTCTTGGGCAACTGAGGCTTTGGGACGTGACTGGCTCAACCACTTGCTCCGCGTAGGCCCACGCCTGGTAATGCACGACGTTCAGCAGAGGAACCAGCACGCTAGACGTGAGCCCTGTGACCGCGTATCCCGCTGTGGTGCCTAGCCGGCGCTTTTTTGCTTCTGCGTCTTTACCGCTGTTTTATGTTGTTTTGATGTGTGTATTGCTTTGTTTTTCTAGCAAGCCAGCATGCTGTTCTGCTCGTTCCGTTTATTGGGACAAAAGAAGCTTAAGCCAACATGCCTGTTCTCTCTTTGTTGTGTGCTGTTGCCTTTGTACTTGAAACTCACCAAAAAAGAAACAAATCTTGAGCCGACGTGCCTGTTCTCTCTTTGTTGTGCGCTTTTTCTTTCTTTAAAAAACAAAAAGATGGGCTTTGGCTTTCTTACACAAAAAAAAACTGACGCCGCCCTGCCGCCGCCATGTTTCCGACCCCCCTCTCCGCCGAATAATTTTCCGCTTCTCCCGGCCGCCTTCAAGGCCGAGGGCCTGGCGCGCCGCCAGCGCCCCGAAGGTGGCGGTGGTGGCGAAGAGGATGAAGACCCCGGAGGCCAAGTAGGAGACCAGGGACCGCCAGATCTGCAGCCAGTCGCTCAAGTAGCAGGCCTCGTCGAAGTGCCTGGAGGATGGATGTTGTTTTGTTTGTTTTTTGTGGTTTGGTTCCTGGTTTTGGTTTGGGGGGAGGGGTGCGACGAAGTGCCTGGGAGATTTGTTTTGTTTGTTCCTGGCTCTTTTTGGTGGAGGGAGTGGCTGGGAATAGGTGTGTCCCTTTTTTTTGTTCCGGTTCTTTGGTGGAGGGAGTGCCTGGAATTGGGTTTCTTCCCTTTTTTGTGGTCCTGTTTTTTTTTGTGGAATGAGTGCCTGGCAGTGTTTCTCCCCCTTTCTTGTGGAGAGCCAGGCCCAGGAAGGAGGACCAGAGCTGGAGAATTGAGGCGACCGCTGAGACACAGGACATAGCGAAACAAAGTTGGAAGCAGAAAGACAAAGATAAAACACATATGGCTGTGGGTCAGAAATAGGTACCTAGAATGGAACCCTGGTAAATGGAACCAAGCACTAAAACCTGCCTCTTGACCCATACGAGCCATCTGAGCTGTCCGGAACAGGTCCAGACAGCTAAGCACAAGCGGAAAAAGCTTTCAAGACAGATCTGATATGAAGGGACCCTTTCCCCAATGCGTACCAGCAAGTTTAAGCCGTGCATTTTCCCCGTCGAGTTAGTGACCTCTGTAGGTACCACGTCATGGCCCGGATCCAAGGATCTTCCTCTGTCGGCTCATACGCACGCTACTGGTGGTTTGCGTGTTTATGCGTGTGCGAGTGCGTGTGCATGTGCGTGCGTGCGTGTTGCGTGCGTGGGTGGGTGTGAGTGAGCCAGCGGGCGGGCGGGTGGGTGGGTGTGCGAGTGGGTGTCTGTGTCTCACTTCCCGAGTGGATTGGTCAAACATGTGTTTACAACTAAAAAAGTATAAAATCCAGGAACTCGGGGAGTGAGGTGTGCGCGTGTATCTGTGTATCTGTGTATCGTGTATCTGTGTATCTGTGTATCTGTGTATCTGTGTATCTGTGTATCTGTGTATCTGTGTATCTGTGTATCTGTGTATGTGCGTATCGGTGTATCTGTGTATGTGCGTATCGGTGTATCTGTGTATGTGCGTATCGGTGTTGCTTTTGTGTGTGCTTTGTGTTTGCTTGTGTCTGCGTGTGTGATTCCATTTGCAGGTGTGTTCGCATGTGCACCTGTGTGGGGTGTGCTTGTGTGGGGTGTTTGTGTTTGCGCCGGCGTCCTTGTGTGCTTCTGTGTGTGTGTGCTTGTTCGCGCGTGTCTCGCTGTTGGCTTTTTGATTGGCTCAGGACAGCCGCTCCAAGGCGCATAATGTCCGTCTTCAGCGCCCGGTCGTCGAAGTGGGGGTCATCTGCATGGGGGATCTTCAGAAGGCCCCTGCCACGGGGAACTGTCGCGGTTTGCGGCCCATTTTGATTCTTCGGGCTCGTAGGTGGTTTTTTGGGTCTCCCAAGCCAGAAGGGGAAGGAAAGGTACAAAGGGAATGGTATTGTTGATTTTGATCGGGGGTGTCCCCTGCTGATGGAAATGCTTTACTTTGGGGGCCCGACAAGTCCCCTTTTCGATTTAGCCAATCCATGTGATCTGCAGCCCCCAAAACTCACCCAAGAGTCATCCCCAAAGACAGGACAATTCTCTTCAGGTATCCTCTTAGCAGACCTCACAGAGGGGGCAAAACCATGCTGAAGGCTCAGGACTTTGGAGGGCGAAGCTCCGAGGGTCCCGGTAGCCCAACTGGCAAACTCGGCTACGGAAAGCAAAGCTGAACTCTTACACCGGGCGGTGGGAAATGGAATCCACTTCTGTGATACAACCAAAAAAAGCTTCCCAAAGACTAACCGCCCATATAAAGGGGGAGATTCCCAAAAGTATCACAGAAGTGGTTGGAAAAACCCCTTGATCCCACAAACCTGAACTCTTACGCCTAAACGCCAAGCTTGACTCCTCAGAACCTAAAAACCCTAAGCCCAACAGGTCCCACAGAGCGGAACGCATTGGGGAAATGACTGGCACGGGCTCCATGCGAGGCAGTCCTCAGCATGTGGTAGGTCTGCTGCTGGTCATCCTGCGCTAAGAAACGATGCAGGGACGGGTACCCTTTTTTTCTGCAGTCTATTTTAGTAGGGGAACCCTCCCCCAAAAAGGAGTAAAAGGGCACTAGTGGGGGACCTAGTTGAGTATGGACCCACAGCTTGGTGAAACAAAGGGGTTCCGCTCATGGCAGGTCAGTCCAACAACGAGCACCCACCAATCAATCCGCCTTCCTGCCCCCAAGCCAGGCCTCCTTCCTGCAGAAGGCACCCAGCCACGCCCAATTGTTCCGCCCAATTTTTCCGCCCGCCCCAACTCTTCCGCCTGGCTGGCATTGTCGAAGTTCTTCCGCCACTGCAGGGCGAACTCCGGCCTCACCCGGGACATGGTCGTCACCGCCCCCGCGCCGCCGATGTCCTCGACAGGGACGCAGGGGGGAGATGGTTTTTGGGGTGCCGATAGGCTGCCATGGTCCCAAGGAACTTCAAAGGCAGTCCGTTTACAAGTCTGAAGTTAAGCACTTTTAGAGGGTTAAGTGGAAGCCTCCACTGAACCCTTAAAGGACAAAAAGCTAAAGGGGATGGCCGGGAACCACCAACTAATGGTTTGCTTGATTTCCCTTTGGACCCAATTACGGCTGTTCACATCGCCACATGCAGAAACGCTGGTGACCAGTGGTTACATGCCGTTGTGGGTGGTCATGGTTCACCTTACTCACAGCAGCCCCAGATAGCTCCATTTTGTCATTCAAACGCCCGTCTAGTCATTAAGTGTCTTTCGCTTTTCGCCGCAAATAGCCTCTAAAGGGCCCGCCCATTCCAGAGTATCAAACCCTGCAATGCCTCCATCCCTGCGGAGCTCCTAAGCACACCACAACCGAAGGGCACAACTTTTAGTTCGCCCCTTGGCCGCCTCTTTGCGCGGCGGCTTCTGCTCGCCTAAAACCCGTCACGCCCATCAGCATCGATTTGGAGAGGCGTCCCGCAAAAACGAGGCGTCCGATCTCATCCAAGTGGCGCGCTTTTTCCCCCCGGAAACGGCCTTTTTTTCCCTTCCAGCCCGTCCGGCCGAAAGAGAAAACGAACCCCACGGCCCGTGTTTTTTTTGGCCCGTCCTCCCCCTCTTCCACCCAGCCGTTCTGCCAGTTGTGCGCGAGCCAGGCCGCCCTTCGGCGCCAGAGGATGCAGAAGAAGGTGCCTGCCCGGTTTGAGTCACGGAGCCGGAGGTTCCCTCCAAACCACTTCTTCTTCTCTCAGAATATCTTCTTCTTCTTCTTCTTCTTCTTCTTCTTCTTCTTCTTCTCCTGGGATGCCTTGCCCACTTCTCTCAATTGGAAGGCGAGACATCTGCGACATGCCAAAACAACCTTTCGAACATCGCCATGCTCACAGCTCGCGGCTGGCACTTCAAGGCGGATGGCCACAGAAACGAGCGCTGAACAAGAACTCAAGGGCTAATCCTCTGAGGTTCTGGACAGGCTCCTGAAGCCCATGAGCTTCTAAACTGAAGCATCCCCCCCCAGCGCTTGCTAGGAAAAGCTCTGCCTGTTGAACCCCTCCTGGTCACCCACTTGCCCAACAGCCCCTGAAATCCAAACAAACCTCTTCTGCTTGCCAGGGGCCCACTAAGAAAACGGGCGCCCAAACCCGGCGAAAAATGCATCTCGACAAATTCTTGCCGAGGCAAAGCCATCCAACTTTCTACCCCAAAGTGTCGCTTCTAACACAACTTGTCTGTCGGGGTAGACCAACGGAATCAGAACATGGGGCTGCAAGTGCAAGCCAAAACCTCCCTTTTGGTCACCCCTGGAATCGAAACCTCTTTTGCTTGCCAGGGGCGCCCCACTAAATGAACGGGCGGGCCAAACCCGGCGAAAAATGCATCTCGCCAGCCGCCGTTTTCCTTCCATTCGCGCAGCCGAGACGCCCCACATGGAGATGCACACGCCGAAGCCAGGCTGGATGGACTTCCCGAAGCCGTCGGAGTAGCCGTTGGGGGGCCCCGCAATCTCCGCGCACACGCCCAGCACGGAGGCGATCAGCAGGAAGGAGCTGTAGGTCTCCAGGAAGTCGAAGTAGCTCGCGATCTTGGGGCCGTAGTGCCTGGAGAAAGATGAATCAACCAGGAAACCTGTCCACCTGGAAACCTGGAAAAAGATGAATCATCCTGGGAAGAAGAAATAAAAAGGAACAAGAAAAAAAAAAACTGGAAGTCTCCAGACCTGAAGTTTGGGCGATGGGTGGTGATTTCTGAACTCAACCCGCGGGTGTGTAAATGCTATCCTTGGCCACCTCTTGGTGCCCAATCCCACATCCACCGACCTCTCACTTCGGTGTCGCCTGCCGCATCGCCGCGCGAGAAACACCGCCTAAACCCACCTCCACCGACCTACCTTCGTTGCCGCAACCGCGGGCCGTGTTCGGCAATCCGTCCGCCTGAGCACCAGGTCAATGTCGCAGCGGCAGCGCTTCACCACGTAGTAATCCCAGAGGCCCTTGGACCTCCACGGGTACATGAAGCCCCGGGTGAGGTGGCTCTCGGACATGCGGCTGTGCAAATGCAGCAGCCCGCCTCCAACGCCCGCGCGAGCGCGCGAGCGAAAGAGAGGCCGAGGCTGCGTCTCTTTTTTGGGGGGGCCCTTCCAGGCGGAGAACATCCGAAGGAAAATACCTCAAACAAATTGTAGACCCTGGGCGGTCCGTTTTCGGATCCCCTATAGAAGTGAATAACTTTGAGTGGGTTAAATGGAAATTCAACCACCCAACACCAACATGGCAAAAGAAAGAAGAAAAACAAACTACGGAAGCGGATGGCTTGGGACCATTATATTCCATGTATCAACCACTCCCCACCGGGTTCGAACTGCCGCCTGAGTCGATGATGTCGTCTGCTTGCAGCTGCCGCGGATCCATGTTGGCGCCGCCCTGCTTCGGGTTCTCATGTGGGGCCTTGCGATCGGACATCCGAACCCGATTCGGCTCGGAGGCTTCAAAATTCTGTCCAACCATCGTTCTTTTGGAAAACCGGATCCGTTTCCCTGGCTTTCCGGAGGTCTAGAAAGATTCGGATCCCTGGGTTAAGAATGGAATTGGAAGGTGGCACAAGAAAAATGCGTAGGGCGGCTTTCCCATCGCAAGTACCTTCAAAGAAAAGGAAAACACGCAGGCCCCAAAAGCAGCTCGAAAACCAGT